TGTCCAGCCCATCACATTTTTTTTTGGGGGGGGGGGGGTCTGGTCGTGGGGCCTGAACTCTGGGCCTGGGCTCTGTCCCTCAGCTCTTCAGCTCAAGGCTAGCACTCTACCACTTGAGCCACAGCACCACTTCCGGGTTTTTTCTTTTTGCTTATGTGGTGCTGAGAAATTGAACCCAGGGCCTCATGCATGCAAGGCAAGCACTCTACCACTGAGCCACCTTCCCAGCCCATTCCATCACAACATTTTAAAGCCCTTTTTTTAAGGGGATTTTCTAGTGAAATACAAATAACTTTTTAGCTGTATAAATCTGACTTGCCATCAGTTTGGTAAATTCAGTTCCTTAGATTTGAGTAATCCCTAGCCCCATAGTACTAGATTGACACATCGTCCTCCTAATATATCCTTTATTATTACAAATACTAGTACTTGAATCAAAACTGTGCCTTTTAGATTGTTTTAGTATAAGAAATAAATATTGCATATTTTCTAACATCTGAATTAATCTGTATATTCACTTGGCTTTTCCTGTGGATTTATTGTTGAAGCTGGACAGCCTGTCTTCATTCTGATTACTTGAGCTGAAATGATGAAGACTGTGTATAGCCATTTCTAGCCTCAAATATGGAAAAACAGAAAAAAGGAGCCAGGTGCTTGTAGCTCATGCCTATAATCCTAGTTATTCAGGAGAATGAGATCTGAGGATCAGAGCTCTAAGCCCATTGGTGCAGACAAATCTGAGAGTCTCTTACCTCCAATTAACCAGCAGAAAACCCAAGCGGAGGTGCTGAAGCACCAGCCTTGAGTGAAAACTAACAGAGAATATGAGGCCTCAGTACTAGCATGCGTGCACGCACACTCACACACACACAGTCAACAGAGAGAAAATGATGTGTATTAAAAAAGAATAAAGAATTTGCCTTGTTGTATAAGGTTACACAGATTGGTTTTTTTTAAAAACATAAGGACCTTGACTGAAAACACTTTTAAATAAAAATAGATGGGTGGATATGGATATCCACAAGTAATTAATTTAATCTTTCCTTCAGCTATACACAAATAGACATAGGCCTAAATATAAGAGCTAAAAACTGTATAAAACTTAAAACAAGAGTAAATCTTAGTAACTTTGGAATTAGGGAAAAGTTTCTAGTGAAGACAGCTCACAGATGGGAAGAAAATATTTACATATAATCAAAGATGAGCTAATTTTCCAATGGCCAAATTATAGATTGTTTTCAAAGGAGTATGTACAGGTGGTTAATAAACACATGAATGTTTACTGTTACTAGCCATCAGTAAAATACAACTCACAATGAGCTATCACTTCATAATCATTAGAATGGCTGTAACTGAATAGATCAATAATACTGTTAACAAGGCTATAAAGAATTTGGAACCTATACACACTGTTGGAAGGGTTGCAAAATGGTACAGTTACTCTGGAAAACAGTTTGATTGTGCTTCAAATGTTAAACATTGCATCATTGTAAGGCTTAGTAATTCTATCTCTGGGAACGTAACTTTGAGGAAACATTTCTACACAGAAGTGTCAAAGCATTATTGTTCATATTGGCCAAAAAGTGGAAACAACCCAAGTGTACCCCAGTTGATAAGTGGATCAGTGTCAGGGATACTTTGTGGAAAGTGTATTTGTTAGACAACTTCACAAGTTGACAACTTGTCTAACAAATACACTTTCTAAGGCTGGGAAGGTGGCTGTGGTAGAGTACTTGCCTTGCATGCATGAGGCCCTGGGTTCGATTCCTCAGCACCACATAAGCAAAAAGAAAAAAGCCAGAAGTGGCACTGTGGCTCAAGTGGTAGAGCTCTCGCCTTGAGCTGAAGAGCTGAGGGATAGCGCCCAGGCCCAGAGTTCAGGCCTCACGACCGGACCCTCCCCAGAAAAACAAATACACTTTCCACAAAGTACAACGTCACAGGTTACTTTGAATAAAAATTAAGACAATTTTAATATCACTATGCAATATAACCATATGGGATTACTGTCATATTTTCCATTGTTGAAGTTTTTGTGGTATATAAATATATCCATAAAGAAATGAAGTAATTATTCAGCTAGGTGGAAGAAACCAGTCATAGAAGACAATATAGCATAGTTTTCATTTATACAAAATGTCTACAGCAGGCTTATCTATTGAGAAAGAAGGTAGATTAGTGATATCTGGAACTTTTTTGAAAATATGCAAATTATCTGAGATCAGATTTTGGTGATGGCTGTGAAGCTGAATATTGCATACAGAATTGCCTCATATACTCATAATGAGTAAAATATGTTATTTGAATTTATCCCAATAAAACTTTTAAAAGTTGATGGACATGCACTGCTGGCTCATGCCTATAATCCTTGCTACCAAGGAAGCTGAAATCTAAGGAACTGCAGTTCAAAGCCAGCTCAGAAAGGAAAGTCAACGAGACTTTACCAACACTTTACCAGTTGGAAGTGGAGGTGTGCCTCAAGTGATAGAGCATTAGCCTTGAGTGAAAAAAGCTAAAGAACAACAAGCCCTGAATGCTCAAAAGAACACATTAATGTTCCTTTGTTACATAGTGATAAAACCCAAACTTTACAAATAACCAACTGATTTCTAGAGATAACTTAGTTGTAATTATTTGTTCATAATAATACTTGTTACCTAAGTTAGTACATTTTTTTCTTTTTTCATATTAAAGGTTGTAGTGTGTTGCTTTATTTAATACTAATTTGAATAAACTTCAATGCTGAGTGTTTGTTTTATTTTAAATCAGTTTGAGTTATAGTAAAAGTTGGAGTGAAGATTATTTTCCCCCAAACATATGTTTCATTGCCATTCTGGTTTTTGATAGAGTAGAGACAACCGTGCCATTCAAAGGTCATGGATTCTGCACTTGCTTAGACTAGGACAAATGTTGGTGTTCTATCTTTGGCCTTTGATGCATAATTTATTAGGGCTTCAGTTTTAAATGAGACTCATTCTGAGTTTGGGAACATTTTTTTCCCCTTAAACTGTGAGAAGTATACCTAGCAGTCGGGCTCCCATGGCTCTTAAATATAATCGTAGCTACTCAAGAGGCAGAGATAAGAGGATCATGGTTCAAAGCCAGCCCAGGCCGGAAAATGTGTTAACCAGCCAAAAATCTGGGAGTTGAGCTATTGCTCAAGTCGTAGCATTCTAATGACCAAAAAAGCTCAAAGACAGCATGTAGGCCCTGAATTCAAGCCCCAGAACTGACACAAAAATAAGTAAACAAGCACACAAACAAAGAAATCAATAGTAAATATATTTAGATTTTAGCCTGTTTTACTATATTTGTTCATACTACTCTAACTGGTGTCAGCTGAGTCTTACAGACTTTACTGCCTGAGCCTCAGGTCTTAGCCTCCCAAGTAGCTATGATTACAGGCATGAACCATGATTGCCCAGCCTATTTGGATATTTATAACACCGTCCATGGGCCATACAAAATTATGAATACAATCAGATGGGCTGTGGGCAGCCATAAGAACCAATGAAAGACATGTGTGTCTTCTTGTTTACTAAGTGGATTTCTTGGGTCTTTTGCATCCCTGGACCAGATGTTCTCAATACTTCTAATGCCTAATAATGCAATTGAGAATATAGGTGCTCAGTTTGTATTATTTGTGCACGCATGCATGCACACACATACACGCACACACATATACTGCCAGTACTGGATCTTTAACTTAGGACCTAGGTGCTATCCCTTAGCATTTTCACTCAAGACTGTCACTGTACAATTTTAGCCACAGCTCTGGCTTTTTGCCTGCTACTTGGAAATAAAAATTTCAGACTTGGGGCTGGGAAGGTGGCTCAGTGGTAGAGTGCTTGCCTTGCACGCATGAGGCCCTGGGTTCAATTCCTCAGCACCACATAAGCAAAAACAGAAAAGCCGTAAGTGGCGCTGTGGCTCAAGTGGTAGAGCGCTAGCCTTGAGCTGAAGAGCTGAGGGACAGAGCCCAGGCCCAGAGTTCAGGCCCCACGACCAGACCCCCCTCCAAAAAAAAAAAATTCAGACTTTTCTGCCTGAGCTTGGCTTTGAACTATAATCCTCTTAATTAGGATATAGGCTTGAGCCTCAGTGCCCAATAGATAACATTATTTGAAGAAACCAAAATTGAGTGACATTATTGATGACCTATTTTGTCTTTAAAAATGCTATCAACACATACATATAAACGTATATCCATACAGGTGCATATAATATACAAAGAGCATGATAGCTATGGTACTATTTGGGGGATTAGGAAGAGGGAGTGAAGGAAAAAGAATGATGGAAGGTGAATAATATCAAAATACAATGTGTTCATACATGAAGATGACATAAGAAATCTTACTGGAAGCTATTAAACAGAAGTGTGGCAGAATGGGAAAAGAGAGAGTTAAAGTATAACATCAACAGGCAAAATACTGTGGTAATCCTGTGGTATTCTACTAGAAGAAAAAATGAATGATAGGAAAGTAAAACAAGCCCTCTTTGGAGATGAGTACCAGTGGGAGGGCCAACAGAGTGGTTGAATAAGACAAACATGATTGCAATAATTTATATACATATATGAAAATAGAACATCGAAAGCTACTGAAATGCCCCCAAGAGGGGATGAGGGACAGTGAGGGAGAGTTATGGAGGGGGTAAGTTTGATTAGGATACATTTCATGAAGCCATGTTAGTGATTTTGATTCTAGGTATTTGTGGTATCTACAATTCTATCCTAGTGTATTGTCTATAACTCATTTTTATAATACATTCAGTTTGTCATTTTTACCTTTTAAATGTCTGATAAAAAATTTTTAATATTATGGCAAATTGATTTTGGAGAAGTCTCCTATATATCTGACCTAATATACTGAATAATTTGGTGGGTAATAAGCAGTAAATATATTTTAATGTCTTCCTTTAGTGATGATGTGGCATAGGATTCAATTTTTTTTTTTAAGAATGAGAAGTACGTGATTATATTAGCTTTTCTTTATTTGCAGAGATCCTGCATATTTTGATGAAAATTGGCTAAATAGAATCAAAACTGAAGTGGGAGATAATTGGAGACTAAAGGTATTTCTTTTTATTTTTTAATATTTTAAATATTTGTGTTGCATAGTACTTGTTGTTTTGTAAGATTAAAATCTAATATATGCAATGAGATATAGAAATACAGGGAGCCTATAGTGAAATAATGTGGAACTGAATATTGATGATCAAGATATATCCTATGTAAGTTTTGAAAGGATAGTGGCTTTGTAGCTAGAGCTTCGTGTCCACATAATAGCACTATTATTTACTTTATCTAGACAAGTGTTTCAGTCTTTCAAAACCTCATTTGTATCATTGTGAAGTTAGGGTTGTAATGAGATCTACAACACAGAAATGACTTGCTATGGAAAGGGCTTAGAATTATGTACAGTGCAGTGCTAGTTGTTAATGCTATTGTTAACAGTGAGAAAATTTGATAATCTTTGCAGTGGGGGGTGATGGGAAGGGATGGGAAGGGGAAACAAAGGAGGAGGCAACAATGCTTGATAAGAAATGTACTCATTACCTTGTTCGTGTAATTGTAACCCCTTTTTACAGTATTCTCACAATAAAAAAAAAGAAAAAAAGAAAATTTGATAATGAAACATGTTAATTTCTTTCTTGTTAGGCTTACATTCTAATATTTCTTGATTCTAGACCATAATAACAAACCTTGTTTATGGCTGGGAATGTAGGGAGCTTGCCTAGCATGCATGAAGCCCTGGGTTGGGTTTGATTCCTCAGTACCATATTAACAAAAAAGCTGAAAGTCGGCTGTGGCCTAGAGTGCTAGTTTTGAGCTTACAGAAGCTCAGGGACAGAACCCAGGCCCTGATTTCAGGCCCCAGGACAGGCAAAAAAAACAAAAACAAAAAAAAACCTGCTTATTCAAATACATTTGCATAGATAACTGAACAAATGTTTTTTGTTTTTTGTTTTTTTTTGGGTCCGGTCGCGGGGCCTAACTCTGGGCCTGGGCACTGTTCCTCAGCTCTTCAGCTCAAGGCTAGCACTCTACCACTTGAGCCACAGCACCACTTCTGGCTTTTTTTTTCTGCTTATGTGGTGCTGAGGAATCGAACCCAGGGCCTTGAGCATGCAAGGCAAGTGCTCTACCACTGAGCCACCTTTTCACCCCAACTGAGCAAATGTTTACCCTAACTTTATACAGTGATATTTTCATTTTACATATTAATTACAAGGGTAGGGAAGGTGGCTCAGTGGTAGAGTGCTTGCCTTGCATGCATGAGCCCCTGGGTTCGATTCCTCAGCACCACGTAAGTAGAAAAAGTGGAGCTGTGGCTCAAGTGGTAGAGTGCTAACCTTGAGCTAAAGAGCTGAGAGACAGCGCCCAAGCCCAGAGTTCAAGCCCCATGACCAACAACAACAACAACAAAAAATTAATTACAGCTCATTTTTTTTTTAGCTTTATATTCTTATGTGATTTTACGCTCAAGGAATTCCAAAAAAGCAAATGGAAAGATCCTGTGTACTTTTCACCAAATTACTCCAAGTTAACATGTATAACTGATACATTACCAAAACTAGGGAACTAACTTTGGTATGATTTACATTTCATTCAGATTTAACAGTACACTCTTTTATGTTTGTATGTACAATTCTTTGCTTCTCTGGCTTATGTATACTTTCTGCAACTATTACCACAGTGAAGATACAGAACTGTATCATCACCACTAGCCTCCTTTTTGCTGCCTTTTAAAAGCTACATTCATAATCTCTGCACTCCTAACCCTTTGCAACAACTGTTTTCTTCTCCATCTCCATAATTTCACTACCATAAATTTAAAAAATATTTTTGATACTCTTAGAGGAAGAACACAAAGGTGTAATGCCTCTTTGCCTCTTATCATGTGTTTATCAAAACTTTTAAAAAAAAGTGCCAATATTGGTGCTTGAGCTCAAGGACTCATGCTCTTACTGAATTCTTTTTCTCAAGGCTGGAGCTTTACCACTTGAGTTACACCTCTACTTCCAGAGTTTTGCTGGTTAATTGGAGATAAGAGTATTCAATTTGTCTACCTGAACTGGCTTTAAACATTCATCCTCAAATTTCAATGGCCTGAGTAGATTACAGGCATGAACCACTGGCACCCAACTAGTAAACTGATTTTTGTAATCCCATAATGGTCATGACTGGCAGTTTGAAAAAGCCCTAGAATTATTTTCTATTTGATATATACTATTAAACATTCCATAATACAAATAAGTATGTAAGTCTCTGTACTTAATGATAAACATGGTTTGTTTTTATATATTTCTCAAGATACATGTAATGAAAAGTATTGATAGCTTAGGTATTGAGACTACCAAAATCTTAATTTGTTATTTTTACTAAATGAATGAATAGAAGCTTTATAGTGAGGGAACAGGGCTTAAACTGAGGGCTTGGAACTCTCACTTGGCTTGCTTGTTCTCTGCCACTTTTGAACCCCACCTCTAGCACAGCTTTCTGCTCGTTAGCTGGAATTCTAAATGACTTTCCTTCCCAGACTGGCTTTGAACCATGATCTTCAGGTCTAAGCCTTCTGAATACCTAGGATTGTAGTTATGAGTCACTAATGCCCAAGGATAATGCATGTTTAAAATAGTGTTACTAATTATTTTGTGTTTGCTTGCTGGCTTGACCAAAAAGGGACTTCTCTCACACACATGTACAAAACTACATACTCATACTCACATGCACTGTCTTCAGTGTCATGAGTATGGCAATGGTAGTAATACAGAATTTTCATATTCTCAATGTTTGGATTTGAAATTCTTCAGCATTCTTTACCTGATGATCTACTTCAATTTTATGGGACATTCATAAAAAAACAAGATATAGAACTTTTTTGTGATGGGAAAAACTGCTATTTTAAGCAAACATGTCTGTTTTTAAGGTGTTCTAATTTCAAATGTTAAAATTAGAGGTAAAAGAAAATACATTATGCATCATATCTCTGAATTTTTTCAGAAATATGAGCTTGTGAATTTTATTCATGAGGTTGATTGTTGATTTTGTTTTATTCTGTTGTGTTTGAGACAGTTCTATCATTTAGCCTGAGTTGGCCTTAGACTCAAAATCCTTTCCCCCTTCCCAAGTGCTTGGATTGTAAACATATGCTTCCACAGCAGGTTTGTTGGGGTTTTTTGGTTTTGTTTTTTAATAAATGTTTTCTAGTTTAAAAATAAATGCCTTCAGCTGAGTAAAGATAGTTCAGTCTCTCTCATTTAATAGTCACTGGTTCTACTATTTTGTGTTCTAGGAATCTTCAATGATAGATTATCTTTTTTTTTTTTTTTTTTTTTTTGGTCCCATCATGGGGCTTGAACTCTGGGCCTGGACGCTGTCCCTCAGCTCTTCAGCTCAAGGCTAGCGGTCTACCATTTAAACCACAGTGCCACTTCCGGCTTTTTTCTTTTTGCTTATGTGGTGCTGGGGAATCGAACCTAGGGCCTCATGCATGCAAGGCAAGCACTCTACCACTGAGCCACCTACCCAGATTAAGTATCTTTAATCCAAACTCCAAAACCCTTTTGATCACAAGCAGTTCAGATAAATGATGATCCACAGATTCATATGACACATTTAATTCAACACAAATTTAATTGTTTCAGGAGAAAAAGAGGTAAAGAATTTACAGTTTTCAGTAAATAATGCCAATGACAATGCCTTGTCACGTCACACAAATAACATATGGCCAGTGAACTTAAGTTCTCGATTGAGTAAATACTAGGAGATATACATGTGATTCTTTTTTTTTTTTTTGGTCCAGTCATGGGGCCTGAACTCTGGGCCTGGGCGCTGTCCTCAGCTCTTCAGCTCAAGGCTAGCACTCTACCACTTGAGCCACAGTGCCACTCCTGGCTTTTTTCTTTTTGCTTATGTGGTGCTGAGGAATCGAACCCAGGGCCTCATGCATGCAAAGCAAGCGCTCTACCACTGAGCCACCTTCCCAGCCCCCACATGTGATTCTTTCTCCTCCTCATTTTAGGATCCTTCTCATGGGACAAGTATTTGCAGTGCTTGAGAGTATTATTCTGTTTTTTTTTTAATATAGTGGTTTTAAGCAGGGTGCTGGTGGCTCATGCTGTAATCCGAGCTACTCAGGAGGCTGAGATCTGAGGATCATGGTTCAAAGCCAGCCCGAGCAGGAAAATCCATGAGACTCTGATCTTAAACCACCAGAAAACCAGAAGTGGTGCTGTGGCTCAAGTGGTAGAGCACTAGCCTTGAGCTGAAGAGCTCAGAGTCAGTGCTCAGGCCCAGAATTCAAGCCCCACACCGACAAAAATAAAATAAAATAGTTGTTTTTCTTTTTATCTTAAAGCTCACAAATTCTTTGGTATTCAGTCAAAGAAACAAGTCTGACAGTGGAGAAACTTGGAGACATAACTTGTGCATTAAGAGATTTCCGAGGGTTATTTTTACTTTATTGTTTTGCTTACTGCTCTCAATTTAGAACTTATACTATATGAGATGCACTTCTTTCTTTCTTTCTTTCTTTCTTTCTTTCTTTCTTTCTTTCTTTCTTTCTTTCTTTCTTTCTTTCTTTCTTTCTTTCTTTCTTTCTTTCTTTCTCTTTCCTTCCTTCCTTCCTTCCTTCCTTTTCCTTCCTTCTTTCTTTCTTTCTTTTTTTTTTTTTTCGGTTGGTCGTGGGGCTTGAACTCTGGGCCTGGGCACTCTCCTTCAGCTCTTCTGCTCAAGGCTAGCACTCTACCACTTGAGCCACATGCCACTTCCAGCTTTCTCTGCTTATGTGGTGCTGAGGAATCAAACCCAGGGCCTCATGCATGCAAAGGAAGCACGAGCCACCTTACCAGCCCAACAATTCTGTTTTTCTAGGGAAAATAAACCTGTCGTTATTAAGGATACCATATGTATTTCTTAACTTATCTGCAGAAAGTCTGAGTAATTTCATCTTTTTTTTTGGTCAGTTACATAGGGCTTGAACTCTGGGCCTGAGTGCTCTCTGAGTTCTTCAGCTCAAGGTTAGCACTCTACCACTTGAACCACACTGCCACTTCTGGTTTTCTGGTGGTTATTTGGAGATAAGATTCTCACGGCTTTTCCTGCCTGGACTAACTTTCAACCTTGATCCTCAGATCTCAGCTTCCTCAGTAGCTAGGATTATAGGCGTGAGCCACTGGGACCAAGCTTAATTTAATCTTAACTGCAAGTTTTATTCAAATACCTTGCAACTTTTTGTCAATGTCCTCATTAATATTGAAACGTACATATATCTTTGAGATACTGGGGTTTGAACTCAAGGCTTCATTTCATGCTTTTGTAGGCAGACCCTTTTTACCTGAGCTATGCGATCTTCTCCATAATTGGAAACTTAATATGTGTTATATATCAGATTAAATAAGTGAAGCCCAAAAGGGACCAATAATACTTTTTGATTATTAGTACAAGTGTGCTATTAAATTTTAATTTTTATTCACTTTGAATATTCTTTATATGAAATGCTTATAGTAAAAAATGTATCTAATTTTGAAGTTTTTTGGATTTTGGAATGTTTCCACTTTCCCAGCCAAATGTCCCTAATCTGAAAATCTGGAATCCAAAATGACCCAAAATCTGAAACTCTGTGAATGTCACTATAACAGATTTTTTTTTTTCTTTTGCCAGTCCTGGGACTTCAACTTGGAGCCTGGGCACTGTCCTTGAACTTCTTTGTGCTCAGGAGTAACACTCATATCACTTGAGCCACAGTGCCACTTCTGCCTTTTTTTGAGTAGTTTATTAAGGATAAGAGTGTTGTGAACTTTTCTGCCCAGGCTAGCTTTGAGCCACAATCCTCATGTCTCAGCCTCCTGAGTAGTTATGATCACAGGTATGAGCCACCGGCATCCAGATAACAGAATTTTATATTAGGAATGTTCATAATTTTGTATTTGTGTTATGATTCAAATTTAGCTCAGGATTTTTTAATTTATTAAATTATACTTTGACGTGTGTTTGCTTTTTACCCACTTGCTTCTCTCTCTGAGCAGATTAGCAATTTAAAGAAAATTTTAAAAGGAATTCTGGATTACAATCATGAGGTAAGGCCTTTTTTTGCTTTATTCTACTTGGAAGTATTATTGTAGGATAGTTTGCCTTTAAAATAAGTTTTACATTAAGGAAAAATGACCTTCAGAATTAATAATCACTTTCTTATCCCTTGTGTAGTTGTTGGTTCAAACAGCTGTTTATCAGGTACTAACCAAATGAATAATATGCCTCATTATTTTATAGGTTATTTGTAGATGATTATTAATATATATTGATCCATTGATCCAGCCAGCAACTCTGTATCTTTTGATTGGAGAATTGAGTCAATTAAATATTGAGTGTTAGAATTGCGAAATATGTTAGGGGAAGAATCCAAAGGGATAGCTCCTCTGAGCAACTAAGTACTAAACTAAGTATTCAAAATAAATACATGGAAGTGGAAACATTTGGGGGAAGAGACAAAGGGTTTATAGCAATGGGAGGAAGGATGTGCGAATGTAGTCATTATATTCAATTTACATTATGTAAAAAATGAACTCTGTAACTTGAGAAAATGAAAGAATGAAGGAAGGAGTGACATTGACCAAGAAGTATTGTACTCATAATTTGACTTACGAAATTGTAACCCCTCCATATAACTACCTAATAATATTTTAAAAGAAATGAGTGTATATAGATCCTATCATTAGTTATCCCCAATTTTGGTGTTGTCTTTTCTGTTTTTCCTGTTTGTTTGCTCATCTGGTGAGATTGTTTCTCTGCTTCTTCCATGTTCATGTTAATCTTTTGTATGCAGTATGTCTTTGAGTATCTTCTGTAGTGCTGGCTTGACTCGTTTACTTGTGTTTCTTTTTCTTATTCTTTTTATTTTTAATTTTATAATTCACAGGTATCAATTGTCCCAAACAAGGAGTTTCATTGTTACATTTTCCTACATTTCTTATAATGTGCTTTGTCATATTCACCACTGTATTACCCCTGTAATTTTTTTTTAAGCCATAAATTTTTATTTCTTGAAGGTGCTAAGAATGCTTACTAGATCTTTTTGGCTTAGAAGAAATAACTTTTCATTATTTCTTTTTTGTTTTTCCATTTTGTAAAGTACAAATGATAATTTTTAATAAAGTAACAGTGAAAAAGAAATTGAAAACTCATTTCTGTGAAGATGGTGATAGTATTTCAGGAACTAGTTACTGAGGTATTATTATACTTAGTGCTGTACTCTTACCCATGAAGGAATGCTGTTTTCCACAACTCACACTAAGAAAGGTCAGCAGCCTCTACATACCTCATTGTTTTTCTCCTACTGTTTTTTACTTTTCTTTCTCTAACCCTACAACTCTTGTTTGGCAATGTTTTGGCCTTAGGACTACAATCTAACCTTTGTGCAACAGAGAATAATACTGTTAAGTTAGCATTTTAGCATTGATACTTTGCATATGGCTTTTTAAAAGTCTAATTATAGTCATTATTATTTGATAATGAGGAACAGTTGATGTGAATAAAACTAAAATCAGATATTTACACAGCCATTTATTAAGCCCATTCTATGATATTTTACTCAGTCTCATTTCTCCTTTCACAGAACAGACTTTTTTCCTTCTTACCACCTGCTATAATTTGTATTTAATATATTCCTTTTTGCGTTTACTTATTGTATTTCTTTTTTTTTTTTTTTGGGTCTGGTCGTGGGGCCTGAACTCTGGGCCTGGGCGCTGTCCCTGAACTTTTTTGTTCAAGACTAGAGCTCTACCTCTTGAGCCACAGCACCACTTCCAGCTTTTTTCTTTTTGCTTATGTGGTGCTAAGGAATCGAACCAAGGGCCTCATGCATGCAAGGCAAGTGCTCTACCACTGAGCCACCTTTCCAGCCCCCTGTATTTCTTCATTTTGTTCTATAAATTATGAAAACAGAACTCTTACCTATGTATTTAATTTTTTTTTACAAATGCATACTCATTAATTCTACTTTAAAAATTTCTTCTAAAGCGACTTAGTAGCTACTTGGGAAGCTGAAATAGAAAGATCGCTTAAGCCCAGGAGTTTGAATCCAGCTTGGGAACATGGTGACATTCCCATCTCTAAAAAGAAATAATAGTAATATTATTATTATTAGAACTATTTACTTCATTAATGTACAATAAAAAAAAATTGAAAATAACCCATATATTTGACAATAAGAAAATTGTAAGTTATTTGTAGAACAAATAGCATGTACCCATAAAAAGTACATATTTATAAAGACCTTATAAAAATACAAAGTTACATATACCATAAGTTACCAGTTTTATAGACCTAGACACAAAGTTGTAACTATGTCTATGTAAGTTCACAATTTCAAATCTCTTAGGCCGGATTCATTATGAAGTCAGTTCTCAGCTTGAACTCAGGGTCTGGGTACTGTCCCTTAACTTTGATGCTCAATACTTTGTCACTTGAGTATCCACAGTTATACTCAGCCACCTGAGTAGGTAGGATTGCAGGTGTGAGCCACTGGTGCCCAGCTGCTGGTTTTACTTTCATGTTTTGGTAGAACACATTTTCTAGTAGCATCTTTCAAAATCTATGATCATTTTTTTAGTCATTGCAAATTAGGAGATAATCTTATTTATCCCTTCAGGGTTGAGTTGGTTGTGATAATCTATAACTTCAGTCCTGCTGTTAAAATTTTTCATTCAGATTTCCCATTTTCTTTTGTTAACTTGTATTATTTTCTGGAAGCTGGAAGTTGTTAGTTTCCCTTGGTTTTGTTTTTGCTTTGTGCTGGTCCTGGGACATGAACTCAGGGCCTGGGCACTGTCCCTGAACTGAACCTTTTGAGCCATAGCTTCACTACTTTTGGTCGTTAATTGGAGACAAGAGTGTCATGGACTTTCCTGTCTAGGCTAGCTTTGATCTGTGATCCTAGATCCCAGCCTCCTGAGTAGCTAGAATTATAGGCACGAGCCACTTGCTGCTTATTTATATATGGTGTATATACATATATACATATAATTTTACTGTTATTATTGAGATGTTGTACAAAAAGGTTACCATTTCATAAGTCAGGTAATGGCACATTTCTTTTTTTGGACAATATCACTCCTTCCTTTGCTTTCCCCCACTTTTCCCTTTCTGTCCATGCCCACAATTTACATAGTTCATTTTTCTATTCCAAGTTTGTTAATGGCATGCTTTGGTGTGAGGTCCATTTTTTGGTTGGGGTTTGTTTTGTTGTGCCTGGCACTTATTGAGGCCTTAAAATACCTACTAGTTTTAATTTTAGGCATACTTTTATATACATAAAATTTAATTTCCAAGAACTCTTTTAGTTTTCCAAGTGGAATTTTCATATCCTTTTCTTGTTTTATGAGTATATTTTCTGATTTCAGAACATATTTATCAGATATGTTCTTTGTTTAACCTATCTGCTTAATTTTTTTGTGTGTGTCATTCTAAAAGTTATCTTTCCTATTCAAGGGACAAATTATCTTTGTATTGCTTGATGATGCATTCATTCATTTAATTCAGTTGTTTTCCATTATCATTTAGAATAAAATTTACTTCTTTAACATAATTCACAAGGATCTAAGTGATTTATCCCCATTCCTATCTTCACTTCAATTCCTATTATTCTTTTCCCCCAGACATGCTACCCTCATCAGGTGTACCCCACCTCAAGACTTTGTCCTGGCCTTTGAGTTGTGCATTCCTTGCATATTGTATAGTTAACACTTAAAATAGAGGCCCTTCTTTCTCACAAATATCCATCACTTTTTCATTGTAAACATATTCAGAAAGTACATTAAATATAAATGTGAAGTTTAATAGTTATGAAGAGAATAATCGTGTAATGACTATGTAACATTGCCACTAGATTACTGCTTTCCTTTCTCCTATTCAGAGAAAAACTGATCCGTGTGTGTGTGTGTGTGTGTGTGTGTGTGTGTGTGTGTCTGTCTGTCTGTCTGTCTGTCTGTCTGTGTGTGTCTGTTTGTCTGTGTGTGTGTGTGTGTCTGTGTGTGTGTGTCTTGTGTGTGTGTGTGTGTGTCTGCCAGTTCTAGGGCTTGAACTCAGGCCTGGGTGTCTTTACTGAGCTTTTTTGCTCAAGACCAACATTCTACCATAGCTCTCCTCTAACTTTTTGTGGTTAATTTGAGGTAAGACTCTAAGGGACTTTTCCTTCCTAGGCTGGCTTTGAACCATTATCCTCATATCTCAGCCTCCCCAGGAGCTAGGATTAGAGGCGTGAGCGATTTGCATTTAGCTCAATCCTGATCTTTTAAATAATCTTTTTCCTTTTCTTAATAGTTGTTTGTTGTTGTTTTTAGTTGTTGGTGGGTTTTTTTTTTTTGTTAGTTTGCTGGATTCAAACTCAGTGTCAGTATTTTCACTCACAGATGGCTCCACTTGAGCTATACCTCCAGTTTAGCTTTTTTGCTGGTTATGGTTAGCTTGAGATAGAGTTTTGAGGGACTTTTCTATCTTTGAATTGTAATTCTCAGCCTCCCGAGTAGTTAGGATTACAGGCATGATACATCAGTGTCCAACTTCTTTGATAGTTTTGCCATTTATGGAAGTATCAATAACAGCATTAAAATTTTTCATTTTCTTTTACTTCCTTCATCATGCTGTTGTTTGAATTTCTTTATTTTTGTTTTTCATGTGGGAGATTTTACTCAACTGTGTTCATAATCCTGCCTTTATTGACATTTAAAAGTAAAACTGTAAGCTGGGCTACGGTGGCTCACGCATGTAATCCTAGCTACTCAGGAGGCTGAGATCTGAGGATCACAGTTCAAAGCCAGCCTAGGCAGGAAAGTCTGTGAGACTCTTATCTCCATTAAACCACTAGAAAACTAGAAGTGCCACTGTGGCTCAAGCAATAGAGCACTCGCCTTGAACTGAAGAGTTGAGGGACAGCGCCTAAGCCCAGAGTTCAAGCTCCACTACCGAAAAAATAAAAAAAGTAAAACTGTAAAAAGGCTAATATCTGAGTGGGTGTGTTTTTAGTGTTAAAGTTCTCTGTAGAATTATCCAGTAGACATTCTCACATTTGTTTGTGTAAATCATTTTGTTTGGTACTAATTTCCTCATGAAGAAATCCTTCATTCTTCTTTCTGGTATACATTTTTTCTACTCATCATTTGAGAGAAAAATGGTTCTAGTTCATATCTAGTTCATATCGAGTCACACTCAGAGCAATAGTACAGTTTCTTTGTTCAGTATACGTACCACACATCAAATCAGGGCCTAAGTTGCAGTGAGGCAAAATAGTTATAACATAGGTGTGAAGGCAAAAATAGAAGTTGGGAGTAAGATTGACAAAACAGCTCTGCCCTTGGTAGAAAGTTTATGGTGATAATTAATCTCTGCTAGTTATATTATATGGTCAGATAACTGTGAATGCAGTAGTAATCTTCTTATTTCCATTCAGATTTTAGGACAGCAGATTAATGACTTTACTCTTCCTGATGTGAACCTTATTGGGGAGCATTCTGATGCAGCAGAGCTTGGAAGGATGCTACAACTCATTTTAGGTTGTGCTGTGAATTGTGAACAGAAGCAAGGTAATTTACTTAAACTTACTGTGTATATTTAAAATATTGAAGGAAGTAATATATAATGTATAATAAATATTTTATGTATAATCAGATACTCAAGAACATCTTTCTAAGGCTGTCCATTTTCTATAATTTTGCTAATACTTTGTTTTTGTACTTAAATAAGTTTTGCAAATAAGAATAAATTCTTTATGGTAATAGTCTTCACCTGTAAGACCACATAATTCTTTTATTTATTTTTATTTTTATTGTACAGGTAATGTACAGAGGGGTTGCAGTTATAAAAGTCAAGTATTGAGTACATTTCTTTTTGAACAGTGTCACTCTCTCCCTCATATTCTCCTAGTTTTTTTCCCTCGCAATCCCTTTCCCCCCAAGTTGTGTAGTTCATTTCTAACATAGTGTCTAGTGAGTATCACTGCTGAATTAATTCACCCTTTGCCCCTCCATTTCTGAAGACCACATAATTCTATGAGTATGTTTTTTTTATTTGTTATGGTGCTGGGGATGAAACCTGAGGCCTCATACACACCAAACCATGTATGCTACCATTGAGCATATTGTTTTTCTTTGTAGTATTGGGGGATTAAACTCAGGTTCTCAAGCTTGCTAGGTAAGTTGCTCTACCATTTAAGCCATTCCATCAGCCCCTTTTTGTGTCAGTTATTTTACTTATTTTCAAGATAATGTTTCACTTTATACCTGGGCCAGCTGACCTGTAGTCCTCTAACTTATATTTCACCATTGTCCTTGGAGCATGACAAGTACATGCCAGCTTGTCCATCCATTGGGCTTCTTCTGTATCTGGGATGAAAGGTGCCACTGCAGTCTGTCATTGGTTGAGATAGAATCTCATGAATTTTATGATTCAACTGGCTTTGAACCTCAATCTCTGCTAGGATTATGGGCATGAGCCACAGTGCTCAGATCATGTAGATTATTTTAATGCAGTTTAACAACAGGTTATGAAATTTAATGTTAAGAGGGCATGGTCCATCTATTACTTTAGAAATTCAATGAGCAAACAGTTGCAGTGTAATGAGAGTGACTGAGATCCCCCTTGCCCAGCATATGTCTATAATAGATGTCTTAGAAATATTTTTAAAACGTTGAAACGTTGTCTTTGCTAGGGGGGGAAAGAGTGGGAAATGTCATTGTACATACTCTCTAAATAATAAAAATAAATTTCGAATTTAGTTCCCTACCTATAAATTTAATAGATATTCTCTCAAGAAACCATCTCTTCTCTGTGTGTGTATGTGTGTGTGTGTGAGAGTGATACTGGAATTGAGCATAGATCTTTGTACATACAAGGCAAGTACCCTAATAGAGAGCCTCCTCCTAAATTTTAAAGGTACTTTGACTATCTTTTAAAGGAAGAAATAATATTATACATTATCAAAATGGTTTTATTCTACTTTTTTGTGTGTGAAAACTGTAAGTTACTTCATATTAATGTACCCTAGCAAGAAAACCTTAAAGTTTAAAAACCATTCACGATTCATTTCATGAAGATGGACAAAGACTTAAAATTAATGATTTATCTATGTATATCTCAATACTAAAAAGCTGTCAGAACTACCATGTAAATCAATTATTTTTCGTAGCCGGGCGCTGGTGGCTCACGCCTGTAATCCTAGCTACTCAGGAGGCTGAGATCTGAGGATCGCGGTTCAAAGCCAGCCCGGGCAGGAGAGACCGTGAGACTCCTATCTCCAATAAACCACCAGAAAACTGGAAGTGGCGCTGTAGCTCAAGTGGTAGAGCGCTCGCCTTGAGCTGAAGAGCTGAGGGACAGCACCCAGGCCCAGAGTCAAGCCCCACGACCGACAAAAAAAAAAAAAAAGAGCATGGGCTATAGTATTTAACTAGACTGTTCAGTGCAGTTCTACTGCTGTACATTAGAGGGTAGGTATGTTATTGAATCTCAGCCTTTTAGCTTCTTAGTAAAATAAACATTTAGTGCCTACTTCATAAGGTCACTCTGGTGACTAAAATGATGAGATAATGAATGTAAAACAGTAGTTGTTTGCATATAGTAATGGCTCCAACAATATTAGTTACATGGAATGTAACTTGTTACAGACCTTTTTTTTTTTTTAATTTAGTTTTTGGGTCCGGTTGTGGGGCCTGAACTCTGGGGCCTGGGTGCTGTCCCTCAGCTCTTCAGCTCAAGGCTAGCACTCTACCACTTGAGCCACAGCGCCACTTCCGGCTTTTTTCTTTTTTCTTATGTGGTGCTGAAGAATCGAACCCAGGGCCTCATGCATGCAAGGCAAGCGCTCTACCACTGAGCCACCTTCTCAGCCCCCTACATACCATTTTTTTAAAACATGCATTTAAGCTATCTTTTGTGCATTTTTATAAACTTTCAGATAGTCACAATTTTGAAACTATCTTATCATAAGGAAGTCTTTAATAGTTTATGTTTTTTCTATGAATATAGGGCATATAAATTAGTGAAGTGTAGACTTAGAAAAAGTTATTTGTATTAAATTAACTTTGCAGAATTTGTTAGAAATATATATTGCTTTTATGTGTCCAAGAAATCCAAGGTGACATATATGTACTTTTTAAATTAAAGACCAGCATTGATATTTGCATAATAGTGTGGTCAACTTTTAGATACTTAAGTGTTCATCTGATCTTAAGTAAAGCTTTTTTTCCCTGTATTGACAGTTTTTCATTTTCACAATTTCAAATTATCATACATAGATATGTTTTACCTTAAATATAATTTTTCCTCTTCTCTAGTTGATTTATTTCACCAATATTTATTGAATTGATAAATTACAGGCTGATTACCTTGTAGTAGACAAAAAAAGATACAATATTTGCTCTCTTGAAGCTTGATTGGTGAAAAAGATATTAAATAATAACAAAAAATCAAATCAGAAAAAGAGATAAGTAGACAGGGGCTCTTCTAAATGATGTTTCTATTTTCCTATTTCCTCAAACCTGAAAATGGGAATTATATTTCTGTTAACTTGTTTTTATTCTATTTTAGTGGTCTAGAAGTTTAATAATAATAGTTAATGTTTCTTTGAAACTGACTGGTTTTATTAGTCTTCCATTCAGGATTTTTTTTTTTTTTTTTTTGGTCCTGGGGCCTGAACTCTGGCCCCCATTCAGGACTTTTTAAACCATATATTCTTGATCTCTGTTTTTATTTTTAAATTTTATCATACCATGCTCATATAGTTTGTAATTCAAGAATTAAAATACAGAACTTTCCACATTCACAATGTTTGTATATTACTAAGATGTCTTAAAGTTCCTGTCAAGACTTTAGAGAAATCTCTTAAGAATATACTTTTTGTTTTTTTGGGGCGGGGGGTGGGGGAGGGTCTGGTCTTGGGGCCTGAACTCTGGGCCTGGGCGCTGTCCCTCAGCTCTTCAGCTCAAGGCTAGCGCTCTACCACTTGAGCCACAGCGCCACTTCCGGCTTTTTTCTTTTTGCTTATGTGGTGCTGAGGAATCGAACCCAGGGCCTCAGGCATGCAAGGCAAGCGCTCTACCACTGAGCCACCTTCCCAGCCCCATTAAGAATATACTTTAAAGTGGATGAGAAATTGCTTAATTGTTTATGAGTATCTGATAATGACATTTTTGTTATTGTTGTTGGTTGTGAGACTTGAACTCGTGGCTAGGCACTATCCCTGAGCTTTTGTGCTCAAGGCTAGTGCTCTACCACTTTGAACCACAGCTCCACTTCTGTTTTGGGGGTAGCTAATTGGAGATAAGAGTCTCATGGACTTTCCTGCCTGGGCTAACTTTAAACTGTAATCCTCGATCTCAGCTTCCTGAGCAGCCAGGATAACAGACATAAGGTACCAGTACCCATCTCTAATATTGACTTCTTAGGGAACCTTAGAAAGTTCATCAAGCCCTAGTCTTCCAGAGTTCTTGAAAATGTATACCTGTTAAATTAGCATGTTGAGTAATCATACTTATTACAGAATAGAATTAGAAACAGTAAAGATATTATCTATATCCGTATTTCTATTCCTAAGGAAAAATAAAATAATATATATTGAGCTTCTTGCACAAACTAAATGTTCTGTATGGTTACATAGATTTAGTTTTCCCCCTGACATTGTATAAATGATAAACTTGTTGAGCAGAATTTTAACATCTCTCTAATTCTTATTTAGAGTATTTTCTGCTCTCAGGAATATAGTAAAGAATCATACATAATTGCAATTCTGAATGTTAAGTATTAGCTGTTACTTTGTATGTATAGGTTTATTGGTTACTTCAGCCATTTGCTATCTAACTTTTGAGGTGGGTTTGTTTTAGTGGTTTGGGTTTAGAGCTTTTGTTGTTTGGGGGGGGTTGCTTTTTTTTTTCTATCTAACTTTTGATGAGGTTCTCAGCCTATTTCCTTGTCTACACAATGAGTATGCAAAATCTTGAAGTCATCAGGAGTGAATGAAATTACATCTGAGTTTTTCTTTGTAAAAGCACTATATAAACAAAAAGGGCTTTTGTGAGATTTTGTTTCCACTGAGGATGTGGCTTAAGTGATAGAAGATTTGCCTGCAAGGTCCTGAGTTAATTCCCAGTACTGTGAGGTAGAATGAGAAATGAGGAGCAGTTGCTAAGAGCTTTGACTTAACTGACTTAACTTTTTTCTTGACTGACTTCTCTAATTGTGGTGAATTAGGTATGACAGGTTGGAAAAGGCAGTTTAGTAGTAGAAAACACACTGACAATAACGTTTGATTCTCTTCTATCTGATATTGTGGTAGATACTAATAGAACAAAAATGGTTTTACAAATTAGGAAGTTGGGGCTCATAAATATTTGATGTGCCAATATTTCTTACTTGTCAGAGACAAGTAAGACAAAAAATGTCTTCCACATTTAAGCTTAATTTGTGCTAAACCAGGCTATGAGTTTGGACAGCTAAGATTCAGGGTAAACTCTTTTGCATAGTGCACCTCATTCTCCAACATTGCTTCATAAATGTGTACTCAGTAATCACATGTAATTGTGTTTTAGACTTCACAGATATGTAAATCATGTTCTATTTAAAATATTACACACTAATGTATTTCTCATCATCATTTTATCATTTATCATTTTACGGTGTTCGCGGGGAAGGGCCTTGACGTGGCAACACCGCTTCTTAACTAACGCTTCCCCTCTCACACCTACTAACATCCTGACCTCCCTGCCCCACTGTTACTTCTTTGCTTCTGGTAAACTACCATTAAGCTTCTTTTCCCCATTACATGTCACTGCTTCCTTTCTTCTATGTTCACAGTCTTTCATTTTGAGGGCTGGTCAATCATCCTCACTACACTAGTTTCTGTGTTTGATACCTTAGAGTAGAATATCTTAAAAATATTCTCTTGCTGTATTTCAGTAATATAGTGGTTATCATTCAGAAAACTAAATAAAAATTGAGCTCAAGCTAAAGGAATTCTCTTTTTTTGGTTGTTTTTACACTGGTCCTGAGGCTTGAACTCAGCATCTAGGCAAAGTCCTTGAGCTTGTTAGCTTACACTCAGTGTTCTTATTACTTGAGCCATAGCTCTATTTCCTACTTTTTTGGTGTTTAATTGGAGGTAAGAGTCTCGCACACTTTCTGCTTAGTCCGTCTTCAAACCACAATCCTCTTATCTTAGCCTCTTGAGTAGCAAGGATTACAGGTGTGAGCCACTGACCCCAGCTTAAAAGAATTCTATATTTACCAAATAGTAATTAAGTCATAATATAGTTATCCTCTGCCCTAAAATTTGTGATTAAGATTTAGTTGTGTTTTGTATATTGTATGCATAACCACACTGAAATTTCAGTGGGTACAAGTTCCTTAAAACATGGTTTTGGGGCTGAGAAGGTGGCTCAGTGGTAGAGTGCTGGCCTTGCATGCATGAGGCCCTGGGTTAGATTCCTCAGCACCATGTAAACATAAAAACTGGAAGTGGTGCTGTGGCTCAGAGTGCTCACCTTGAGCTGAAGAGCTGAGGGACAGCACTCAGACCCAGAGTTAGGCCCCACCAACAAAAAAACAAAACAAAAAACATATTTTTGATAAGCTAAAAGCTTTGACATTTACAACTAGAATATTACAATATTAATAACTAGTAATGATATAAAATTAGTTTTTTATAAAACTAGTTACCTGTTTGGCAGAGGATTACAAATTGGCCTTCCAAATGTATGAGTCTTTTATGAAAATATTACTTTGACAATTTCACATTAAGACTTCTCTAAACAAGTATTTGGAGTGGTGAAATTATTTTGTATTTGATTTTTGTGTATGTGGAATCACAGAGGCAAGTTCAGGTAAAAACTTCCTCATTACCTTGTAAAGTATATATTTACTTTGGAATCCACCTGACCTGTTGATACTTTATGGTCAGTGTACTTTTGTCATCCATTATTGGATTTGAGAATAATTTAAAACAAGGCTTTTTTTTTTTTTTGTCAGTTGTGGGGCTTGAACTCAGGACCTGAGCATTGTCCCTGAGCCTCTTTGTGCTCAAGGTTAGCACTCTACCACTTGAGCCACAGTGCCACTTCCAGTTCTTGAGTGGTTAATTGGAGATATGTTCACAGGGACTTTTCTGCCCAGGCTGGCTGCAAACCATGATCCTCAGATCTCAGCCTCCTGTGTAGCTGGGATTACAGGCATAAGCTACTAGTGCCTGGCTAAAGCAAGGCTTTTAGAAAGAAAGGAATTGTTTTTCAACATTAGTAATAGTAACAGCTAAGAAATCTTTCTCTTTTTAGTTCTGGTAAGAATTAGACTATAGTGGTTGTTTCTTTAGCATAGTAAAGATGTGGGACATCATTTTATTTTATTTTTTATTTTTTGGTCCGGTCGTGGGGCCTGAACTCTGGGCCTCAGCTCTTCAGCTCAAGGCTAGCACTCTACCACTTGAGCCACAGTGCCACTTCTGGCTTTTTTTTTTTTTCCTGCTTATGTGATGCTGAGGAATCGAACCCAGGGCCTCATGCACGCAAGGCAAGCGCTCTACCACTCAGCCACCTTCCCAGCCCAGTAGGACATTATTTTAAACCCCAAATCATACAGTAATTAGCAGTACTAAGTTTCTATCTTAAATTCCTTTGTCCTAAGCAGGTGTCGGTTTCATTGTTTTATTTTTCCTCTGTTGTACAAAATATGAAGTTAAGAGTTTGCCCCATTCAACCCTTGATGTCACATAAGATTAATGAAGACTTCAGAATTTTTTTAAACAATGTAGTAAAGAATAATGTGAACAATAATGCTTGGATTTTAGAAAAGTTCTTTCTGGCTTTAGACTTCGCCATTTCATCATTCACATTGATGCATATTTATTATACTCATGCTGTATTCACTGATCTTTAGCAGAGCTTCAACTTTATAAGCAATGGTAAAAGGAAGAAAAAATGTCTTCAGGGAAGATAAATGCAGTCGTCTTCAGCCTTTACTGTGGCATGTATATGAGGCACACTAACCATGTATGAGAGATTGTAGGAAGAGTCAACACATAGGAAACCACTTATAAAAATCAATGCAGTATTAGCCTTTACCCCTTGGACTGTTTTTAACTTGAATAGTGACATTCCAGATTGTTCTTGTTTACAGAATACATTCAAGCCATTATGATGATGGAAGAATCAGTTCAACATGTTGTCATGACAGCCATTCAAGAGGTATGTTGGAGTTTGTGCATACTTTGTGACAAACTAAAATAGAAATTTTAAGTTTAAGTAATAGAAGTTAAAAATTTTGAAAAAGAATCTACTCATTTTTTGACAAATTTTGTTCAGGGCCTCATATAACTTAAACTCTTAAGCTCTTATCATCATTATCATCATCATCATCATCATTCCCCTACTTTTTCTTTACACTTAGGATAGAACTTACTTTATTTTTTAAAAATCATACTTGGTTAAAACAATTTTTTTTTTTTTTTTGCTATTGGCTCAAATTCAGCCTGGGCAGTATCCCTGAGATTTTTTTTTCCAAATTTATTGTTCTTTATTTATATTCAATAAAATGGAGGGGAAAATCCTGTTTTGAGCCAAGAAGGAAATTCAACAATGGCAGAAAACTTAAATGTGCTAATGACATTTTTTTTCCATCCTGATGAGTCATATAATTCATTTGTTCAGTCCAAAAATTCTTTAAGAAATAGTCCTTTAACATTATCTGTGTCCCTGAGATTTTTCCTCCAGGTTAATGCTCTACCACTTGAGCTACAGCTCCTCTTCTGGCTTTTTTGAGTAGTTAATTGGAGATAAAAGTCTCACAAGGCTTTCCTGCCTGGGCTGACTTGGAACCACAACTTCACATCTCAACTTCTTGAGTAGTTAGGATTATAAGCGTGAGCCATCTATGCCCAGTTCACAACTCTTTATTTAAATTTTAAATGCTTCCTTTACAAATATAAATGTATCTGTTCCCTCATTTTTAAAAATATCTTTAATGAAAAAAAAAAAAAAGGAGGCTATGATCCTAGATCCTCAGGAGACTGGGATCTGATGGTCACTGTATGAAGCCAGCCCAGGCAGCAAAGTCCTTGAGCTTGCTGAGCTACACTAGGGAATCAGATCTATGTCATTATCAACTCTAATGGTCATATTTTTCAACTAAAAAAATCAATCCAGATTGTCTAATGCATGATCTGATCACAGAACAGAATATTTAAAATTAGGCTTGTCCCCGGAAATCCAGGCCATCTGCTTACTGTTGTGTTACTCCACCCATTGGCTTCCTCATCACACACAGGCCTGGAGATGCCCCAGCTGTTAGCCAGGCCTTGGGACTGAGAAGTAGGGAAAGGGAAAAAGAGCTAATATATACTGAGTTCTTGCCATGTGTCAGACATTTTCTATTATCTCATTAACTGCCCAACCATCTAAGATAGGTACTCTGATAATCCTTTGCACAGATGAAGAGACTGGTTCAGACAGCTAGACCCTTCCCCAAGGTCACACAACTACCAAACTAGGCTCAGAGTAGGCTCATGACCCCAGTGAGGTGAGCTATCTAGCAGAGAAAGGCCTTCTAAGGAGTGAGAGAAGCACAGAGCAGAAATGCTAGTCAGCTACTGTGAACTTGGGATATAATGGTAAGAGGTAAAGAGACCAAAGGCAGATTCCAGCTCTTCTCTGTCTTCTGGAATACACATTCAACCTCTCAGTCCCATACATTGTAAGTATACTGGTATGTGCTCACAGGAAGTGAGGATGTTAGGAGGGGCTTGGAGCCCATCTCCAAGGAATAGTTGGAGGAACTGTTGCTATTTGGCCTGGATTTGTGACTTCAGAGATTTCCATTTCTCTTTTTTTTTTTCTGTGCCTCCCCTTACAGACTTATATAGTTTTTTGGTTTTTTGTTTGTTTTTTTTTGGGTCCAGTCGTGGGGCCTGAACTCTGGGCCTGGGCGCTTGTCCCTCAGCTCTTCAGCTCAAGGCTAGCGCCCTACCACTTGAGCCACAGCACCACTTCTGGCTTTTTTCTTTTTGCTTATGTGGTACTGAGGAATCGAACCCAGGGCCTCAGGCATGCAAAGCAAGCACTCTACCACTGAGCCACCTTCTCAGCCCTAGACTTATATAGTTCTGAGGGATACAGAAGACAGGCATGTTCTGTGTGGTCCTAGAAGTCAAAGATAAGAGGTGCTTGCTATAGGGAGTCAGATTTGAAACTTGCTCTGGTCAGTCCAAGCTATCCTGTCATATCCTAGAGAGAGCATGAGCTCCCCATTGCTACAAAAAAAAAAAATCTTTAATGAGCCAGAAACTGTAGACTAATTCCCAAATATAATAATAAGTAATATCTATTATAAATGAGCTGCCTACATCACATTTAATATTTGGTTCTCTGTTTGACAAAAGTGAGTCCAATCCTAGTCATATCCCAGGCAATTTCTGTTGAATATGTAGAGCATAAACTTATGAAAGTACAATATCTAATAGCTAGTTGATCTCAACATGTGAGAATCTTTTCAGTCATAAAAGAAATGAGGCACAATCTTAAAGGAAATGAAACCTACAGATTTGATAGGAATATGCAACTAATAAGAAATTACATGACAGGGAAAATGCCAAATATAAATTGTGTTGTCTTATACATTTTTGCATTTATCTCTGACACTACCCAGAGTTGAGCCATATTTCGGTTTAAGGACACAGTCATCCTCTCAGAGACTAGCTCCAGTTTCAGGAGTATCCAGACTACCTTACATCTGAACAATTTGGTTTAAATTCAGGGGTTCCCACTACACTTAAGTTTCATAATTCACTAAAATGATCTAGAATTCAGGAATGGTAATAGTTCTATTATAGCAAATGGATGCATTTTTAAAATGTTAAGCAAAATAAACATAAGGTAAATATCTGAGATGGTTCTAAATGCAAAGCTTTTGTTGTCTTTTCCCTCTGGACATGTTATTTTCTGGCTTATCTCATGACAATATACAGAGTTTTCCCAAACAGGGAAGTTCATGTGGCATTTTATATCCAGAGTCTTCATTAGGAATTTATTACTTTAAAGTGATTATTTGAATCACTGGCCATGAGCTTGAAATTGGTTTCCAGCTCCAACTTTGTAGATTGTGTAGTTGATCTAGTTGGCATGGCTTGCCCCAACCTGTATTCATTTTTCTTAACTGACTATAAATAATAGACACTGTTCTCAATAGGAAAATCCCAAAGATTTAGAGACTACTTTTTAGGAACTGGAGGACAAAGGCCAGCCAAGATTTTTACTATACACTACCTTTCAAAACAACAAAGTATTTTGAAAAATTGATCACATTTATGTTTTGGCACTGGTAGCAGGAGTGTAAATCCAGGTAATCTTTTACAGTCCTATACAATTAGCTTTTAGATGAGGATTAAAATGACTACTATCCAAGCAAGATACCAGCTTGCTTTGTACTTTAGTCCTAGATTGGTATGGCTTCTCTTTAGTTACCAGTGACCTAGCTTTTTTTTTCTGTAAGATCAACCTAATAAAATCTGTGCTATCCTGGGCTGGGAAGGTGGCTCAGTGGTTACATGCATGAGGCCTTGGGTTTGATTCCTCAGCACCACATCAGCAGAAAAAGCTATGGCTCAAGTGGTAGAGCACTAGCCTTGAGCTGAGCTAAGGGACAGTGCCCAGGCCCAGAGTTCAGGCCCCATGACCAACCCAAAAAAAAAAAAAAAATCTGTGCAATCTTTACACAATTCCCACTCAGTGGTTCAACTTGATTCCCAAGCTCCAGCTTTCACATTCACAGTCCAACCAGTAAGAAGAATGAAGGGAATGTACTTCTTAGTAAACTTGTATGGCTTCTCACCAACAGTAGTTAGATATCAGTCACACAGTTATCCAGGAAAACTGAAAAAATGTGGATCTTATTCCTGGTGCTCATAGACTATAAGGATTCTTTTCCTAAACAAGAATAAGAAAAAGAAAAAGAACAGTATTTACCTTACTGCAACCAATCCTTTAATTGTACTTTAAAGAACTTATCCTGGGCTGGGAAGGTGGCTCAGTGGTAGAGTGCTTGCCTTGCGTGCATGAGGCCCTGGGTTCAATTCCTCAGCACCACATAAGCAGGAAAAAAAAGCCAGAAGTGGTGCTGTGGCACAGGTGGTAGAGTGCTAGCCTTGAGCTGAAAGCTGAGGGACAGCGCCCAGACCCAGAGTTCAGGCCCCACGACCAGCGAAAAAAAAATTTTTTTAATTTAAAAAATAAAGACTTTATCCTAAAAGAAACATGAAATACAAAGACAAACTATAATAATAATAGTAAACATGTTTTTAAAACCTATTATATGCTAGATAGTGCTGGTAGTCACTAACCAGTGTCATCAGTTAACTCATTTTAAATTAATTTTAATTAATTAATTTAAATTAATTGTAATTACTACTCAGATGAAAAATTTGTTATATTTTATCACAATAATAAAATGAAGAAGCATTTACACTATAATCCTGGGAAATACAAGTTATTGTCATCATTTTATAAAATAGAAACTGAAGCATAGGAAGTGAGTAATTTGCTCAGTTTCACACAAAAAGTAGTGGCAGGTAGAACTCAGATCATGCCTATAACCATTCTGATACTATATCTCCTCAATAATTACCTCAGTACTATTCCTACTATTGAAACATTAAATATAACCTAAATACCCAGCAGTATGGCAGTGGATAAATTCATTATGGTATATATTGGCTTATTGCATAGTTATTAAAGCATATTTTTGAAAAATATTTAATGCTATGGAAGAAACTATGCAATACAAAAAAAAAAGGACACCAAAGTAGAAAACATGAGTAGTATAGTTTCATTTCTGTTAAAAATTAAGCCGAATGCTGGTGGTTTAAACCTGTAATCCTAGATACTCAAGAAGCTGAGATCTGAAGGTAGATTTTCGAAGCCAGCCTGGGCAGATAAATCTGTGAGTTCTTTTCTCCAGTTATCCAACAAAAAGCCAGAAATGGATATGTGACTCAAGTGGTAGAGCATCAACTTTGAGTGAAGAAGCCAAGCAAGAACATAAGACCCTGAGTTTAAAACACAGTACCACACCCCTCAAAATTAAAATGAGTAAAAATACATTTATCATATTAGCATTCTAGATTGTTGCATACTCTTGACTATTTCTGTTTTCTAATTTTGTTAGCAGAAATATATAAAAATGGTGTGTTTCCATTAGTTAGCTAGTATTTAAATTATTGTAACTCCATCCAATGGAATATTATATAGCTGATAACATGTTAAAATGTGTAACATGATAAAAAAGAATGGACAAATTTGAATGAAATGAGATACACAATTGTATGTATGATAGGATGCCAATTAGATTTTTAAAGTATACCTATTACATAGATACTTTATTCATTTACCAAATAATTGTTTGATACCGATTAATTCTAGTATTGGTTACCATGACACAAGTAGACACTAGGGTTGAAACGCAGTTGAAAGCACCATGATGAAGAAAATATAAAAACATCCAAAAAGAATTATTTAAGACTGTTTTGGTGTTAAGTAAAGCTTCTCTAAGGAGAAGATTTAAATTCTGAACGGTGAGGTGAGGTAAAATAAGAGACGTGCAGAATGGTTTTGGAGTCCAGGAAGCAAGAGAAAGCAATACATAGAGGAATTCAATTAAAAATCAGTACCCATAGTAATATTGTGAGGAGAGTAGTCAAGAGATGAAACAGGAAACAAAATTATTAAGACATTGTGCAGTTGTGTTAAGTATTACAATTTTAGAAAGTAGATTCTAAAGAGAGAATACATTCAAGTCTGTATTTGAGAAAATCTGTGCAATAGGAAGGACGGGTTAGAGGAAAACAAGGCTAGAAAGAGGGAGAGCTGCTAACAAGACCTTAGTAATTATGCAGTGATGATGTTGCTGCAAGAGCAAAGAAAAGTGGGCAGATCCATTGGATCTTGGGATAGGGAGATAGGTCAGATGGGTAGATTTATGAAATTGAATTTATTGAAATTGAATGATTTGTTATAAAATCCCTTTTTAAGACACATTCTCTTTTTTCATCTTTATTCAGATGCTACTACTATTATTAGATTGTTATATTAAAGTATACATAATATAAACTTTTCTATTAGTGACATTTAATAGATTGACAGTATTTTTTATACATTGTCACTGTTTAGTTCAGAACTTGTCACCCTAAAAAGAAAACCTCATATTTATTAAACAGGCAGTCATTCCACATTTTTTTCCTTCTCTAATAAGTCAACCAGTAATCTTTCTGTCTCTCAATATTTTTTAAAATCTGGATATTTTCTATAAGAGGAATAATACATTCTGGTATCTTATGTTCGATCTCTTTCATCTAATATAGTGTTGTCAAGGTTATTAATACTTTGTTCCTTTTTTAAAAATGTTTTTTATTGTAAAAATAGTGTACAGAGGGGTTACAGTTAAATGAGTAATGTAACAAGTACATATCCTATCGAGCATTGTTACCTCCTCCTTTGTTTTTCCCCTACCATCCCTTCCCTCCCACCTTGTTGGTAGTGGTTTTTGTGTATGTGTATGTTGGTCCTAGAGCTTGAACTCAGGGCCTAGGTGCTTTCCCTAAGCTTCTTTTGTTTAAGGCTAGCACTCTACTACCTGAGCCACAGTTCACAGCTCTACCTCCAGCTTTTTTGGTAGCTTAAAGGAGATAAGAGTCTCATGGACTTTTCTGCTAGGGTGGACTTTGAATCTCAAAACTCCTATCTCAGCCTCCCCAAATAGCTAGGATTTCATCCCTCTCTCTGAACTTATTACATAGCTTGAAGGACTAGTATTTACCACTGTGCCCATATTTTATTGGTTGCGGTGGAATCTCAATTTTTTGCCTGTACTGGTCTTGAACTTCAGTCTTCTTGGTCTCTTTCTCCTGAACAGCTAGGATTACAGGTGTGAGCTAACTAGGTTTTTTCTTTTTTCCTTTTTCTTTTTGGTGGTACCTCTCCTGGGGCTTGAACTCTGGGCCTGGGCACTGTCCCTTAGTTTTTGTGCTCAAAGCTGGTGCTCTACTACTTGAACCACAGCTCCACTTCTGGCTTTTTGATGTTTAATTGGAGATAAGAGCCTCATGGACTTTCCTGCCCCAGCTGGCTTTGATCTTCAGATCTCAGCCTCCTGATTAGCTATGTTTACTCACATGAGTCACTGACAACCAGCTCAACCTAGCTTTCTTAACTATTTAAAGGCTGATAGGTAGAAACCATAACGAAAAGGAAGATAGAGATTGAATTATAAGCAAGAGGATTGATAATAAATAGAATAGAGTATTAGAGAAGATTGGGAAAGAATGAATTGAGCACACAGGTAGCAGAATGAACCTTGTATACAAGAAGAGCTGAGTAGTGTAATAAGAAGGAAAAAGGACATGAGTGTTAATTGTATGCTTGAATATTATGGAAATTCTTACCTGGTAGCAAGACTTTCTGATACAAAATGTAGGGAATAGATGAGGTTTGAGGAGAAGGAAAGAATTAAAATAGTCCCTAATGAGATTTTTAAAAAAGAAAAGAAAAGCTACTGGTTGGGAACACAATAGCTGTTCTTTTTTAACAGCTTTGAGAATGGAGATTGGAAACTATTAATAGCAGCACCAGTTTGTGGGGGTTTTAAGTTTGTTTCAGTTCTTTTGCTCTCTCAGTACTTAAATGGTCAGTATATATGGCCAAAAAAGAAGTAGATGAATTGACCTTTGGTTAGACTAATCTTGGATTGAGATTTTCTTTTTTAACCACTGAGAAATAATGAGGAAAGACAAAGTTGAGAATAATTTTGTGGCTTATTGAAACAATAAGCCACAAAATCTAATTCTAAATAGAAAATGTAATTGGTTAAAGAAAGGGCCAACCACAGAATCTCAAGTAAAGAGGAGGAGAGTCCCAATAATAAGTTGATGATGTTAGCAGAAGAAAACTTAAGTAAACATTAGTAAGTGAAAACAGCCATGTTCATTTTGAAGTCTAGGCACTCAGTAGGAGAATAGATCCGGGACTAATGGGCTATGACTGGAATAGAGAGACAGTATGAAGGGATACTTAAGAGTTTCATCAAGAAGTGCTACTGTGTTGTGGTAAGGACTCAAATGTAGAGTTTCATCAAGAAGTGCTGCTGTGTTGTGGTAAGGACTCAAATGTAACAGTGGGGAAAAAGAAAGAAGTATGGAAGAAAACATCTTCATTCCCTTCTTCTGCCCGCCTCTGAATTAGGTGCATTCTGTCTATGAAGTGTATCACAGCTTTATCATACAATACTGTATGTATCTTTCTGACTTGAACTTTACTAGGTTCATGGTTGGTGTAAATAGCTAATTCTTACTCTTTTACAATTAATTAAAAACTGGTTATTTCTAGGTAGAATTGTTCTATTTTTTAAGTCTTCTATAATGGGTACTATTCTGTTAATTAGAAATAGTCTAAAATGTCTCCCTTCCAACCTTTCACATATCCTTTGTATCTTTCTCTGGACAGTATAAGGATAAAAGAAACAAAGAATTGGAGGGAATGAGGAAGTAGAGGGATGGGTGCATACAAGCAAGCTTTTATAAATATTATCCATGCAATTTGGCTGATGTCCACATGTATTCTTAGAAACAAATAGGCACTTAATGCTGTCTTTTGGCAGGTTTTTAATATCTTCTCTCATTTTTAATTTTCTTGCCTTTTTAGTGATAGTAAGTTATACTTGATGTTTGTATAGCTAGGCTTGCAGTGAAAGAGCATCAGAATTCGTCCCTCTAATTTTATTTTTTTTAATCATTTATTATATGGAAAAGTCATAATGCAAAATGGAGTACAATAGATTATCAAAGATAGCTGACTATTAGATAGCTTATACACAGATAATGGAAACAAAGTTTTGTCAGTCCTATTTTGGACATACCTCTAACTAAATGAAGGCTTTAAAATGGAGTGAAAGTTGGAGAGTCAAAAGAAATAATTACAAGAAAACATTGTATTTACTTTGTTTTCTACATAGTTTTTTTTATTTCAATAGTGGTTGGATGTTTATTTTGTTATGGATCTTACATAAAATATCTTTTTTATCTTGTTGTGGTTATTTATATCTTTCAGCTAATGAGTAAAGAATCTCCCGTGTCTTCTGGAAATGATGCCTATGTTGACCTTGATCGCCAGGTATATAATTTTTCGTTTTCTTTATTCACACAAATGCCTTCAAGGGATAATCTGCATATATGTTAGAACAATGCTTCAGTTAAAAGTTTCTCTGGAGGAGGCTGGGAAGTTGGCTCAGTGGTAGAGCGCTTGCCTTGTATGCATGAGGCCCTGGGTTCGATTCCTCAGCACCACATAAAGCAAAAAAAAAAAAGTTTCTCTGGAATATATTGGTATTTTTTAATTTTACCTAAAATTTAAGAACTGAAGTTACTTTGTTAATAGACACTCATAATTTGGTTTATAAAAGTCTGTAATTATATGCATTTATAATTGATGTCATGACATTAGTTCTCTTAACTTACTATTATTCTTGTTATCTAGTTATTTTCTTTTCTTTTTCCATTAGTAATACCTCTGTGTACACTTAAACACAATAAATAAATTTCTGGAAAATTGCATGCATTTACTGTTATGGCTTATTTATCATACACATATTTTTTCTTTCAAATCATTTTATTCCTCAATTAAAGATGTTGCCTGTATCTTTTCATCTGTGAGGTAATGATGAATCTGTCAGAAAATTAAATGTTCTGAAGGAATGTTTGTATTTTTATAATTTCAATGGGAAAGTTATTTTATAGTTTATCACTTGATAAAAATGCTATTAAGAACACTGCTGGTTTTCGGGTTTGCACTATTCTGGGACATGTTTGAAAGAATGAACAGAAATGAATGAACAGACACTTTTGTGGGTTTTTTTTTTATAACATTTTAATAGCAAACTTACAGAAAGCACAGAAGACAGGCAACATTAAAAATATGTACTTGCATGTAGGACAACTCAGAAAAATGGAGTGAACAGATGGAATCTACTGTATGATAAAAATACTACAAACACCATTTAGTTGCCATCAATAAGAAATTTACTTTTTTTTTTTAAATCCAAATGCTGGCATTGTCCAGAAAAATTTAACAGGTTTATTTATAGTTGTTATAAAGTTGAACTAATGAAACTTTTATCACTGAAAACATTTTGACTTGTATTAATGCATTATATCCCCACAGTTATATTAAAAATTTACACATAAATGAAAATGGAAAAACTACAATAACTGATTTCTGTCCCCTATTTTTCCACTGGCTATCATATACTTAGGTACCTTTTGACCCCATGGGGAAAAAAATCTAACATTCAGAACTACTGATAACAAGAAAAGGGAGGGGGACTTTGAGGATGAAATGCCTCCCATTTTAGTTGGTTCTTAAGCATGTTCTCCACGTATGCTGTGTGCTAGCTGGATAGCTTTTGGCATAATTGTCACAAGTTTGGCATGAATAGTACACAGATTGGTATCTTCAAAAAGGCCAACCAGATAGGCCTCACTTGCCTCCTGCAAAGCACCAATAGCTGCGCCTTGGAAGCGCAGGTCTGTTTTGAAGCCCTGAAAAATTTCTCACACCAGATGCTGGAAAGGGAGCTTGCAATCAGAAGTTCCGTGGACTTCTGGTAGCGCCTAATTTCATGGAGTGCCATAGTACCAGGCATGTAGCAGTGCAGCTTCTTCACCCCTCCAGTGGAGGGCACGCTCTTGCACATGACTTTTGTTGCCAGTTGTTTCCTGGGTGCTTTGCTACCGGTGGAGCCATGGCAGAGAGGCCTAACTACTCCTTTCTCCCTCAGCTGGAGCTCAGCAACCAGAGGTGGTGCTGGAGTTGGAGAGCAGCTCTGGCCATGTTTTTTGTTTTTTGTCTTCTCTCATTTCTCCCTGTTCTTCCAGGTTTTCTAAATGTCTTATAGTAAGATCTTTGCATGTTATAGAATTTTAACCCAAGCTATAATTTGTCTTTGTCTAGTGTTTATTTTTAAATGTTTTACCTTGTATGCATTTTGATGAAACTTTATTTCAATTACTTTTCATAATTTGCTAACAGAATTTTGTGTAATGATGGCACACAACTAGGGGGTGTTGGTTAATATTAATTTAAAAACTTTAAATGTAATGCAAATTAGTATTAAAATATGATTTAAAATTTTGTGTCGAAATACACTATTCAACAATTGAAACCCTATACCTCTCTTACATGTTGTATCAAAACAAAATTTCTCATTTATTAAGAGAACCTGCATTGCCAGGAACATGTAGTTCAGATAAAGAAAAATTTGTGCAAAAAAATTGGTTTACGGAAAGAACCAAGTTCAAAGGCCAGAAAAGATAAAAGCCTTAGTGGAGAGTTTTTTTACTTTCTTCCTATGCCATCCAACAAGAAATAAAAGAGAAAAAAAATACCTTAATTTTGTGTTGTACATGTATACTATAAATTGTCCTTGTTTCATATTGAAATATTTCTTGTATTTGTTTTTAACCAGTTGAAAAAAACTACAGAGGAGCTGAATGAAGCTTTGTCAGCAAAGGAAGAAATTTCTCAGAGATGCCATGAATTGGATATGCAGGTATATTATCAAATACACATATAACATTAAATACACCATATATTATGAAATGGTATAGCTTAGCTATAATTTAACTTTAATTAGACAAAAAAAACATAAAAATCCAGCTAGGTTTCTGTTTGAGGTAGGCTGAATAAAGATATTAATTTTCTTTTAATGCAAACCCATTAAGGTAATAATAAATGAGTTAAAATGGTATAAACTCACAAAAAATTATGAGACAGGAGAAATATTAGCGCAGTCTTTGTTGTGTACTTATAAAATGGGCTTTCAGAGGGCTGGGGGAAAAAAGCGTATTTTTAATATTTGCTGAATACTGTTTTGCAAATGTTTTCTCAGCTTCTGCTTTCAAGTTACTGATAGTTTAACAGTCAGCTTACAGAATGTGTAATGTTTAACACTCTATTCCAGCACATAGTCTTTACTAACTTCTGAAAGCCAAAGGGCAGTAAGAGAAGTAATAAATGACTAAAAGGGGCAAAGAATACAGTGGCTAATAGCACCTATAAGGACCAAGCTGGGGTGGCAGGGAAAGAGGGGGACACTGTGATGGGAGAATTCCAGAGAGATCCAGATAGGAGAAAGGGTAAATTGAGGTTGTAGTAACTAGAGGTAGAAAATAGTCCAAGCCTTCAATTGTTACCCATGATTGACTACATAAATGTCAGTGTCACGGTTCATGGGATATCCTTAATGTATATCCTTAAGATGTAATGCAATGCTAGGAGAAACCTTGCTATTAATTTTTTTTTTATTATTTTTTATTTTTTGTCAATCCTGGAGCTTGAACTCTGGGCCTGGGCCTGGGTGCTGTCCCTTAGCTCTTCAGCGCAAGGCTAGTGCTCTACCACTTAAGCCACAGTGCCACTTCCAGTTTTCTGGTGGTTTATTGGAGATCAGAGTCTCATGGACTTTCCTGCCTGGGCTAGTTTTGAATCGCGATCCTCAGATCTCAGCCTCCTTAGTAGCTAGGATTACAGGTGTGAGCCACTGGCACCTGGCTTTTTTTTTTTTTCTGCACTGGAGTTTGAACTCAAGACCTGGGCACTGTCACTGAGTGCTTTTGCTCAAGGTTAGCACTCTGCTACTTTGTGCCACAGAGCCACTTCTGGTTTTCTGGTTGCTAATTGGAGATAGGAGCATCAGACTTTCCTGCCTGGACTGACTTTGAACTACTATTCTCAGATCTCAGCCTCCTGAATAGTTAGGATTACAGGAGTGAGCCACCATCAGCACAGCACCTGGCCTAACTGATCTTAACTGTAGGGAAAACCTGTAGCATAGAGGGAATGGATCCAAGTAAACAGAAAATTAGCTATGCAGATAGTAAAGAAATTTGGAGAAACTTGAAGTTTTTATTTCCAATTTGTTTAACACCTCAGTGAAGATATTGTTCTATGAAATAAAGGCATAGAATGTCAGGTTCAGTAGCACATGCCTATAATCCCAGCTACTCAAGAGGTAGAGATGGGGAGGACTACAAATCAGGACAAATTGAAGCAAAAAGATAGTGAGTGATACACATCTAAACAAACAAGCTAGGGAAATGTATGTGTAATCCCAGATACATGGGAGGTAAAAATAGGGAGTTAGTAGTCCAAGTCTGGAACTGTCAAAATTAAAAATTTAATAGAACAGTTAAGGTTGTAAAAATATCTTAATGTTAAATAAAAAGTGAGATCTTTTGTCTAGAATTTACTTGAAAAATAAAGGAATTTGTTAGGAAGAAATAGGTGGGTATTTTTTTTAAGGTAGAATACACATATCAATCATGCTATCCCAGAAATACATACTATTATATGTCAGTTTATAAAAGGATTTTTTTAAAATGTCCATCTGGGAAGACTAGATTTGAGATTCCTACTAAGACATGCAAGTGGAAATGTTAGTCAGTTTATGGTTCTTGACTAGAAACGGGAATTTTGAGATGTTAGAAAATAGATTGTTTACAACCACAAAACTGGAAGCCATTCTATATGTAGACATTGCAGTAGCAAGGAAATGGAGAGGAATCAGCTGAGGAAAATAAAACATAAGACAAATAGTTCAGCAGAAACAAACAATCAGTTTATCAAATGTTGTAGATCTTGGTGATATGGAGGTCTTTAAAAGCCCCGAGAGTAGTAGAATGGGAGGGCCATAGCTTGAATAGAACATGTTCAAGAGAAAGTGGCTAAAAAGAAAGGAGGTATAAAAACTTTTTTTTTTTACCTTTGTGAGACATAATTGATAAATAGTAAATTACTTGTGTGTATGTGTGTGTGTGTGTGTATTTATATGCATGTGTGCATGTGAACAGCAGTACTTGAACTCCTCAGGGTCTGGACATTGTCCTTTAGGGTTTTGTGGGGGGAGGGGGTTTGGAGTTTTTTTTTGTGACTTTTGGGGGTTTTTTTGTTTGGGGGGGGGGGGGTTGCCAGACTTGGAACTTGAACTCAGGGCCTGAGCACTATCTCTGAACTTCTTTATGCTCAAGACTAGTGCTCTACAACTTGAGCCACAGTGCCACTTCTGGCTTTTTCTGTTTATATGCTACTGAGGAATTGAACCTAGGGCTTCATGCATGCACTCTACCAGTAAGCCACATTCCCAGCCTGTTCCTTGAGTGTTTTTCACTCAAGGCTGGTACTCTACCATTTGAGGCAAGCTTCATTGCCAGCATTTTTTGGTGGTTAATTGGAGGTAAGAGTCTGATGGACTTCCATGCCCAGGCCAGCTTCGAAGTGTGATCCTCAGATCTCAGCCTCCTGAGTAGCTAGGATTAACTTAAATTTAACATGCATAATTTTAATGCATTTTGATTTACAATAATCATGTGAAGCCATTGCCAATCAAGATAATTAAGATAATTAAGCCATCAGTCTAAAAGTTTCCTTTTCATTTTTATAATCCCCACACCAGTCCTCAGGTCTATATATTCTGTCACTATGGGTTAACTTTTTGTTTTATAGAAGCATATCAGAAGAATCATACAAGCCAGTTGCTGGTTGCTAAAATCTGTAATCCTAGCTATTCAGGATGCTGAGATCTGTGGATCAGAGTTCAAAGCTAGCCCCAGGCAGGAAAGTCTAAGAGACTCTTATCACCAACAAACTATAAAACAACAACAAAAACCTCAAGTGGAGCTATGGCTCAAGTGCTAGAACACTAGTCTTAAGCAAAAGAAACGCAAGAACAATGCCTGGTCCCTGAGTTTAAGCCCCAGGACCAGCACAAAAATACAAAGGAATCATACAGAGGCTGGGAATGTGGCTTAGTGGTAGAGTGCTTGCCTAGCATGCATGAAGCCCTGGGTTCGATTCCTCAGCACCACATAAACAGAAAAAGCCAGAAATGGCACTGTGGCTCAAGTGGTAGAGTGCTAGCCTTGAGAAAAAAGAAGCTCAGTGACAGTGCTCAGGCCCTGAGTTCTGCCCAAGACTAGCCCCCCCCCCCCCAAAAAATAATAATAATAATAAGGAATCATACAACCAGGCTATTCAAGAGGCTGAATGCCCAGGCCCTGAGGTGAAGCCCAGGAACAACTAAATAAATAAATAAGAACACAGTACATTTGCTCTATTTTTGGTTTAGTTTCTTTCTTTATTTTGAAATTCATCATGCTGTCACTATCAATAGGTGACTTTCTTCAATGCCAAATGGTATTCTTTTAGAATGGACGTACTGCAGTTGACATTTATTCACCAGTTGATAGATTTGAATCATTTCTAGTGTTTCCCTATTACAAGTGAAGCTGCTAAAAATCTGTGTAAGATGTGTAGGCATATGCTTTTATTTCTTTTGCGTGAATACCTAGGAAATTAATGGCTTTCAGATTTACTTTATAGTCATATGTTTAGTATACTAAGAAATTGCTAAGCTTTTTTCCAAAGTTTTGAGATATTTTATATTCTTATCAGAGACTCAAGTTTGTACTTACCTTTGACAATACTTGGTATAGTCAGTTTGAATTTTATCCATTGTCGTGACAATATAATAACACTGATTTAAGTTTCCATTTCCTTGGTGACTAATGATAATAATCTTTCTGTATTCTTAAATGTATTCTTCTTCAAAGAATACAGAAAGAAAGAAGTATCTTTTCAAATATGGAATAAAACCAGATGTTGAGACATTTGCCTGTAGTCCTTGGGAGTCCTTGCCTACTTGGGAGACTGAGGCAGGAAGATAGAATGGGCCTAGGAGTTTGAGGTGCCTGGGTTACATAGTAAAATTTCATCTCAAAATAAGTAAAATAATTAATAAAAAGAATGAATTCTTACTTTTTTATATTGTTCTACATGTGCAATATTCTAATGGAAATGTTTTAAGTAGAGATTGATTGAACGCCCTTGAAAATAGTCTTTGAGCTGATACCAGGGTAATTAGAGGAAATAACTGCTGTTTTCTCATATTCTATCAGGTTGCAGCATTGCAAGAGGAGAAGAGTAGTTTGTTAGCAGAGAATCAGATATTAATGGAAAGACTCAATCAATCTGATTCCATAGAAGATCCCAATAGTCCAGCAGGAAGAAGACACTTGCAGCTCCAAACTCAATTAGAGCAGCTACAAGAAGAAACATTCAGGTAAAAGACTATTCATTAAGATCTTAATTTTTTTAATTTGGTAAATGTTATTTAACGTTAAAAATATGGTATAAGGGGGGCTGGGAAGGTGGCTTAGTGGTAGAACGCTTGCCTTGCATGCCTGAGGCCCTGGGTTGGATTCCTCAGCACCACATAAGCAAAAAGAAGAAAGCCGTAGGTGGCACTGTGGCTCAAGTGGTAGAGCACTAGCCTTGAGCTGAAGAGCTGAGGGACAGCGTTGAAGCCCAGAGTTCAGGCCCCACAACCGGACCCAAAAAAAAAAAGAATATGGTATAAGGAACTTTGGGGCAAATGAAGAACAAAGTCTATATAATAACTAGCATCTCCAATTCTTTTTTTTTTTTGGTCGGTAGTGGGGCTTGAACTCCGGGCCTGGGCACTGTCCCTCAGCTCTTCAGCTCAAGGCCAGCGCTCTACCACTTGAGCCACAGTGCCACTTCCAGCTTTTTCTGCTTATGTGGTGCTGAGGAATCGAACCCAGGGCCTCATGCATGCAAGGCAAGTGCTCTACCACTGAGCCACCTTCCCAGCCCATCCAATTCTTATTTCAATATGAAATAAGTATACATCTAGAGGGAATGTTGCAGCTGCAGAATAAATGAGTAAAGGGAAGAAACCATGTATCAGCCAATCCCATACACCTATCACACCTCTACCTGCTTTGGAGCTTTGTAGCAAAAGTAGATTGAAAAAAAAAAGAAGATAGGAAAAATGATAGTGCAGGGGGGCTGGGAAGATGGCTCAGTGGTAGAGCGCTTGCCTTGCATGCCTGAGGCCTGGGTTCGATTCCTCAGCACCACATAAGCAAAAAGAAAAAAGCCGGAAGTGGTGCTGTGACTCAAGTGGTAGAGCGCTAGCCTTGAGCTGAAGCGCTGAGGGACAGCGCCCAGGCCCAGAGTTCAGGCCCCACGACTGGACCCAAAAAAAAATAAAAAAAATAAAAATAGAAAAATGATAGTGCAGGGTCCTGAGAACTTCAAAACAATGATCTTCATCTAAAATCTAAAACACTTTCAATAAAACAAACAATTGGGCATGGACAGGGATTTATAGTAGAGATTTTCCTTGTTTGTTTGGTCTCTTTGTGTGGGCATTTGTGTGTGTATGTGGTCCTGGGTTGGAGCCCAGCAAAAAGCCAGAAGTGGCTCAAGTGATAGCAAAGAATGTGAAGCCCTGCCAGGTGCCAGTGGCTCATGTCCATGATCCTAGCTACGCAGGAGGCTGAGATCTGAGGATCAAGGTTCAAAGTAGGCCCATGCAGCAAAGGCCATGAGACTCTTATCTCTAGCTAATCACCAGAAAACTAGAAATGAAAACTAGAAATGTCTCTGTGACTCAAGTGGTAGAGCACTAGCCTTGAGCTAAAAGAGCTCCAGGGCCAGTGCACCAGTGGCTCATGCCTGTAATCCTAGCTACTCAGGAGGCTGAGATCTGAGGATAGAGAGGTAAATATGGATTAAGATGCATGGTATTCATAAATAGATGTGTTGAATTGAAACTGCTCCATACAACTACTTAAAGATAATTTTAAAAATTAAATTAGCCAGGCGCCAGTGGCTCACGCCTGTAATCCTAGCTACTCAGGAGGCTAAGATCTGAGGATCATGGTTCAAAGCTCGCCTGGGCAGGAAAGTCCATGAGACTCTTATCTCCAATAAACCACCAGAAAACCAGAAGTGGCACTGTGGCTCAAGTGGTAGAGCACTGTCCTTGAGCTGAAAAGCTGAGGGACAGTGCCCAGGCCCAGAGTTTAAGCCCCACGATCCACAAAAAAAAAAAAAAATGTGAAGCCCTAAGTTCAAGCCCCAGTACCAGCACACACAAAAAAAGAACTTTCAAAACTTGCGTTAAAAGCAGAAACTATGAGGTATAAAATCAATCAATTGAATTAAATAAAACTAATTCTATGTATTATATAAGTAAAATTAAAAATAAATAATCAACTGCATAAAATATTTGACAAGAGAGACAAATAGCCTTGCAAATTAAGGAAAGAATATATGTATGTTAAATAAACAAATCTGGTTATTTACAAGTAAGAATAATATTAATTCTAGTTTGGAAAAATATGAAAAGAATTCAAACTATAGGATATACTCTAAAACTGTCAACAGATTTTTTGTTTGTCTATTTCCTTTGCCTCTTTGTCTTTTGCAAATTTTCAACAAGTAGCAGGTTTTTTTGTTTTGTTTTGGGGGCCCAGTTCTGGAGCTTGAACCCAGGGCCTGAGCTTTGATCCTGAGCTTTTTGCTTAAAGCTAACACTATTCCACTTGAGCTGTAACTCCACTTTCAGCTTTTTGGTGGTTAATTGTAGTTAAGAGGCTCATGGACTTTCCTGCCTGAGCTGGCTTTGAACTGTGATCCTTATATCTCAGCCATTAGAACCCACTCTAAAAGTAATAGATTTTAATTTTCTAATGAAAGCGTTTAATGCCAGGCATTGGTGGCTGAGATCTGAGGAACACAGTTCAACACCAACCCAGGCTCAAAAAAGCCAAAAGTGGAGCTGTGGCTCAATTGGGAGATCACTAACCTTGAGCACAAAGAGGCTCAGGGACATTACCCAGGCCAAGAGTTCAAGCACCAGGACCGGCAAGTAAACAAATAAAAAGTTTAAACTTTAAATTATATCTACAGTATTTATCTGTCTGAATTAAAATGGCTTTTATAGCTGGGCACCAGAGGCTCACACTTGTAATCCTCGGTACTAAGGAGGCTGAGATCTGAGGATCATGGTTCAAAGCCAACCTTGGCAGAGACTTTTATCTCCAAGTAACCACTTAAAAATCAGAAGTAGAGCTGTGGCTTAAAGTGGTAAAGCACTAGCCTTGAGCAAAACAGCTCAGGGACAGCACCCAGGCCTTGAGTTCAAGCCCCACAACTGACAAATTTTAATTAAAATTAAATGACTTTTATTTTCTTAATTTCCTTGAATTTGCTAATTTTCAAGAAGGAAAATAATTTTTAGTAAAAAAAAAAAATAAAGTATATCTGCAGTTTTTGGAGATGTCTACTCCATGATGTCTAGCTTTTTGACAGTAATAAAGTCACCTGGGTACTTCCCTGAGCTTACTATCCATGCCACTCCTGGAGCAGTTGTATCTGTTTCCATGACAAATGTAGCCACAAGCCAGAGACATTTTCAAGAAAAGTTTATTTCCCACGTTACATGTTTTTATTTTCTTTTACTCTTCTAAGGAGAATTATGAGACTACAAGAAGGGCTTTTCAAATCTATTTTGATTTGGTTACAGACTAGAAGCAGCCAAAGATGATTATCGAATACGCTGTGAAGAATTAGAAAAGGAAATCTCTGAACTTCGGCAACAGAATGATGAACTAACCACTCTGGCAGATGAAGCTCAATCTCTAAAAGATGAAATAGATGTTCTTAGGTATGTTTGTGAAATTTCAGGCCCATTGTCACCCGTCTATCTCTGATGTTGAAATTCTGGCCTTTCTGAGCACACCAATATCTTTTAAGAACCAAATCACCTGGGTTCTAATCCCAGGACCATTTACTTAATGGATATGTAACCATTTTTTTCTTTTTCTTTTCTTTTTTCTTTTTTTTTCAAAAAATAGTGTACACAAGCCAGGCACTGGTGGCTCACACCTGTAATCCTGGCTACTAAGGAGGCTGAGATCTGAGGATCACGGTTTAAAGCCAGCTGGGGCAGGAAAGTCTGTGAGACTCTTATCTTCAATAAACCACCAGAAAACCAGAAGTGGTGCTGTGGCTCAAGTGGTAGAGTACTAGCCTTGAGCTGAAGAGCTGAGGGACAGTGCTCAGGCCCAGAGTTCAAGCTTCATGACTGACCCAAAAAAAAAAAAAAAATAGTGTACACTTACTCAAGTTGCTATGAGGAATTAAATGAGTTTATATTTGCAAGCATTCAGAATGATACCTGCCAAATAAGTGTCATAAAGTATTTGTTAAATACAATTTTACCTGTAGCCATCACTTTACACTTGCATAGCACTGATGCTCCTCCTCCTACTCCTCCCCGTTCCTTCTTCCTTCTAGTTTCTTCTTGTTCCTTTTTCTTCTTCTTTCTTCTTCCTTTGTACTCTTTCTTCTTCCTTCTTCTTTCCTGAGCTCTTAGTTCTGGTCTTCCTTTTTCTTAATTACTAGCATACCAGACAAGGTGTGTCTTTGGAAAGCATCTTTCTTTAGTTACTTTTCCTCTAGTTTTCTCACTCTATCTCACCTCACTGTTCCACCATTTAATTCTTGCACAATCTTTTGTCACTTGATGGTTCATTCTGACTGTCTATGTTTTCTATCTTTTGTTCTTTGAACACTGAGTGTACAGATAAAAATCACACCGTTCCATGATATTTTCCTAGTATAAATTAGGCTTTTCCTAGTATAAATTAGGCCCCTATCTCTGTCCACCATTCTATTCCTCACTGTTACATACCTTTATCTTCCATTTCTTTCGTAGTTCTTACATTTTCATAGTTGTTCTCATCTGTCTGCCACTATCATGCCTTCATCTCAGTAGATGACCTTATTTCCTACTGTGTAGAAGAAAGAAGTAATGAACTGTTTGACATTCTATATCCTTTGTGCTCTCTATACTTCTCTGCATTCCCACCCATCTTTTTCCGTTTTTGCTTCTGTACCTATTATTATTTTGCCTGTTGGGTATTAACACTTTCATCTATATTAAGTATTCCTTGCCTATGTAAGGACTGTGTTACACAATTATCATTTATCTTCTTATCTTGAATCTCAGTCTTTCACAGACACACACACAACACACACTCACTTAATTCTCTTTAAGTGCATGTGAACACACACCACACATATGTGTGTGTGTATGTACCCAAGTGTGCATGCTGGTACCATGGCTTAAATTGGGGCCTTGCACTGTCACTCAGTTTGCTTGCTTATAGCTTGTGCTCTGCCACTTAAACCACATCTCCAGTTTGACGTTTTGCTTATTAATTGGAGATGGAGGTTTGTAGACTTTTCTGCCCAAGCTGGCTTTGAACCATGATTCTCTGGTCTCCTGAGTAGTAAGGGTAACAGGTTTGAGTCTCTGGCACCTGGATAGGTCACTTTAATCTTATGAGAGAAAAGAGAGAGGTACTTATCAACCCTTCTAAAACCAAGCTTACACTACATAAAATAAAATTTACATTTTCCCTCACTATCTTTGTGTGTCTATCCACACTTGTACATTGAAACCTATGCCCCTGTTGTCACTAGTGACAAATCATTAGACACTGTACAATTTTATTTTACTTTTGTGTTAAACGTGAGCTCCCTTTGCTATTTACTTTTCTTAAACTATATAACATTCTAAATGAACTTTCTGTAAGTTTGGTTATATTTTTATCCTAAGTAAAATATTAACCTAGAATTACTTTGGTCTTATAATTTCATTATTACATATTTTACCTTATCATTTTTCTTGCTTTGACATTGAAACAGTTTTTAACTATATTTCTGACTTTAAAATTTCATATCTCATTCTAGACATTCTTCTGATAAAGTGTCTAAACTAGAAGGTCAAGTGGAATCTTATAAAAAGAAGTTGGAAGACCTCGGTGATTTGAGACGACAGGTTAAACTCTTAGAAGAAAAGAATACTATGTATATGCAAAATACTGTCAGTCTAGAGGAGGAGTTGAGGAAAGCCAATGCAGCTCGAGGTCAACTTGAGACATATAAGAGACAGGTAAAAGAACAGAGACAAAGTTGTTCATTACAGCAAGCAACTGCATATAAGCAAGACTGCCAACTTGTCTTTTCACAACTATTAACCTTTTCTTCATTATATTTATTTCTATTTTTCTTACAATTTAAAAAATTTAAAGTTGAGCACTAGTAGTGTATGCCTAAATCCTAGCTACTTAGAAGGCTTAGATTAGGAAGATTGCTATTTGAGCCAGCCTAGCATATAAGTGAGATCCATTCTCAAACAATTGCTGGGTACAGTGGTGTGTATATGTTAACCAATTATGTGAAAGACAGATTGGGAGGACTGTGGTTTTAGGTCAGCCTGGGTAAAAAAGTGAGAAGCTGAGCTGGCCTGTACCATCCCAGCTATGATGGAAAGTGTGAATAGGACTAGGATTCCCAGCAAAAAGTGAGAATTTATCTTAATATAACCAGTGCAAGACATGAGCTGTAGGCGTGGTTCAAGTCTTAGAGTAGTATCTGCATATCACATGTTAGGGCTTGAGCACAAACCTTGCCACAAACAATAAACACATTTAAACATAGGCCTATCAGAAAATTAATTGGTCTCTCTATAGTAGATCCCTTTTTTAAAAAAAAAGTCTTAAGATTTATTATATCCTAGTTTAGAAAAATACAACACGTCTGCAAAAAAATAGTATGGTAAGTTTTTGTGCTTCAAAAATAAACCAAACTAGGTACTGGTGGCTCACACTTAAAATCCCAGGTTCTCAGGAGGCTGAGAGCTGAAGATTGAGACTTGAAGCCAGTCCAGGCTGGGAATGGTGCTTTGGCTCAAGTGGTAGAATCTAGCTTTGAGCACAAAAGCTCTGGCACAGTACTCAGGCTCCTCAGTTTAAAAACACAAAAGGAAAGTAAATGACTCTTGCCTCCTTACTGTTGACTTTTGTGTTGTTTTGTGGTTTTCACTCCCTTTGTTTTTCTTTTTTCTGTGCTAATCCTAGGGTTTGAACTCAGGATTTGGGCACTATCCCTGAACTTTTCTGCTCAATTCTAGCACTCTGCACTTGAGTCATAGCTTCACTTCAGCTTTTTGGTGGCTGTTAATTGGAGATAATTTTTCACACCTTCCTACGTGCAAACTTTGAACTGGGATCTTCAGATCTCAGCCTTCTGAGTAGTTAGAATTATAGGCATGAGCCACTGGTGCACAGCTCATTTCTTTGTTTTTTTAAATATAATTTTTTGTATTTTATTTATTATTTATTTATTTATTTTTGTTGGGTGTGGGGCTTGAACTTTGGACTTGGGTGCTGTCCCTGCACTCTTCAGCTCAAGGCAAGCACTCTACCATTTGAGCCACAGCACCACTTCCGGTTGTCTAGTGGTTTATTGGAGATAAGAGTCTCATGGACTTTTCTGCCCGGGCTGGCTTTGAACTGTGATCCTCAGCTCTCAGCCTCCTGAGTAGCTACGATTACGGGCGTGAGCCACCAGTGCCCAGCCCAGTTCAGTTCTATACTTTTGCTACATGCATAATTATTTTTAAGAATGTATAACATTTTGACATGTTCTAGATCTTTATATAAATGATTTAGTGAAAATATTTTACTTTTTTTGTCAGTTGAATATTTGAAGGTTTTATCTTGGTTGATAAAAATCTATTTTCATTGCTGTATCCCTTTGAGTGACTGATTCCAAATCCATTTTGTTGTTGAAAGGTATGTAAATTGATTCTGCTGTGTATGCATATATATATATATATATATATGTATGTATATACATATATATATATATATATAATAGAAATGCCAAACCTGGCACCAGTGACTGTAATCCTAGCTACTTAGGAAGCTGAGAGCTGAGGATCACAGTTCAAAGTCAGCTGGGACAGGAAATTCTATGATACTCTCATCTCCAATTAATAACAAAAAGTCAGAAGTGGATTAATGGCTCGAGTGGTAGAGCTTTAGCCTTGAACATAAAAGATAAGGGATAGTGCCCAGGCCCTGCTTTCAAGCCCAAGACCAGAACACACACACAAATGCCACTATGGTAACATTGATCATGTTGTCTTTTATACATGTGTGGAGATTTTGCAGCCTTATGGGATTTCTTATTGTATCTTCAATGTGTTTAGATTATTTCTGGATTATATTTCTAAACTGATTTTATTTCCAACAAGCACTAATATGAGTTATTTGTTTCTGTCATCACCAACACATAGTATTGTCAAAGGTTATATTTTGCCAATTAGATGAACAGAAAGTATGGCTTCTTATTACCCAGATTACAAATGTATCTACTTACCATGTTTCTTTTTTGAATTACCTACTTTTATCTTTTACCCATTTTAAAAATGGAATTACTGATTATATAAGTTCCTTATATATTCTAGGTGTTAATTTTTCATCACTGACACATTTTTTATTTGCTGTATGTCCATGACCTGTTTTTTCACACTTTTAAAAATATTTATTTTTATTAAGTAGTTGTACAAAGGGGTTTTGATTCCAGAAGTCAGGTTACGAGTACAATGTATCTTGATCAATGTTACTCCTTACATTATTCGCTCCCATTTTCCCCATCCCATTCCTACCCTCAAGTTAGGTAGTTCAATTTTTATGTAATGTACATTGGATATAACGGAAACAGCTCAGATGCCCCACAAGATGAGTGGCTCAAGAAAATATGATACAAGCTAGTCATTAGTAGCTCATGCCAATAATCCTAGCTATTCAGGAAGCTGAGACCTGAAGATCATAGTTTGAAGCCAGCCTAGGCAGGAAAGTCCATGAGAGTCTCAGCTCCAATTAACTAGCAAAAAGCCAGAATTGGAGCTGTAGCTCAAATGTTAGAATGCTACCTTTGAGCAAAAAAAGCTCAAGAAGCACACACAGGCCCTAAGTTCAAGCCCCAAGGCCTGCACACACACACAAACACACACACACACAAATTTGGTACATATGTACAATTTTAATCATCTATCAGAAAGAATAATATTATGTCATTTGCAGGGAAAAAGTCAGGCCCAGAGAAACAAATGATACATGTTTTATCTCATATGTGGACGTTAGATCTAAAATACAAACAGACATGTGGTAATATTAAAAACTCTATACTTAGCTGGGCGCCGGTGGCTCATGCCTGTAATCCTAGCTACCCAGAAGGCTGAGATCTAAGGATCATGGGTCAAAGCCAGCCAGGGCCAGAAAGTCCATGAGACTTCAATAAACCACCCAGAAAAATGGAAGTGGTGCTGTGGCTCAAGTGGTAGAGCGCTTGCCTTGAGCTGAAATGCTGAGGGACAGCGCCCAGGCCCAGAGTTCAAGCCCCATGACCAACAAAAGAAAAATAAAATTGTATACTTAGGGGACAAGCTCAATGGTTTAACTCCTCTGAACAACTAACAACTCACTTAATAACATAAATACCAGGAAGCTGAGACATGTTCTGGGGACAGGGGAGTAAACCAGAAAGGGGGCCATACAAAGGAAGAAAGAAGTTTTGTTTCTTTCTGCTCTGTATTTGTTTCTTCTTAATCAGTATATCTGACCTTCAAAATAACTTTGTGAAGAAATCACAACAGTGGGAAGCCATTTTATATTGTTCATTATGTTCAGAATGTTTTCAGTGTTTTGTCAATATAATAAGTTTCTGTAGGTTTGTAGCCACATTTTAATTAAGAGAGAGAAATTCTACTGTATTCCTGATTTTTCTACCTAAAATGGATATTGAACGTTATCAATTATTTTTCCCATATATGTTGAGAACTTCTTATGCTTCTCCTTTATTAACGTAGTGAGTTTTATAAGTAGGGATTTTCAGAGCTTAAACTCTTCTTGGATTTGTGAGATAAACTTAGCTTGGTTACATTTTATTTATTTTTCACATTGTTAGGTTCACTTATTTTACCTAGAATGTTTTGCCTCTTATTCACTTTAAATTTTCTATGCTATACTTCTCTTACCTTGACTTATACTATCTTATAAACAGAGTTGAAGAATGGTCTCTCTTAGATTTTAAAAAAAAAGGTGAATGAGAGACACTGAGCTCAAGCCCTAGTGTCAGCACCAAAAAAAAAAAAAAAAGGTTAATAGCCAGTGCCAGTGCCTCACCCTGTAATCCTAGCTACTCAGGAGACTGAGATCGAGGATCAAAGTTCAAAGCCAGCCTGTGAGACTCTTTTTTTTTTTTTATTTATTTTTTGGGGGTCCAGTCGTGGGGCCTGAACTCTGGGCCTAGTCACTGTCCTTCAGCTCTTCAGCTCAAGGCTAGCGCTCTACCACTTGAGTCACAGCACCACTTCCGAGTTTTTTCTTTTTGCTTATGTGGTGCTGAGGAATGGAACCCAGTGCCTCAGGCATGCAAGGCAAGCGCTCTACCACTGAGCCACCTTCCAAGCCCTAATTTAGATTCTTTATGGTGGTAGGGATCAAACTGACGGCCTTGGACTCGATGTACTAGACAAGTGATCTACCATTGAACTGTCCCACTCCACCCTCCAAAATCTTTTTTGTTTTTTAACTAGACATGGTTTTACTGTAGGGTTTTGGCTGGTCTGAAACTTGTGATCCTCCTCCCTCTACCACTTTACTGATGGGATTATAGTTAAGCACTAAAATTTTAAACCTAATATGTAATATATATACTATAGTATTATATATTACATATATCAGTTATAAAACTATAGTATATAAATATATAAATGTCTGTTAATTCCAATCTGAAATCCCTAGTAGATCTTATTCTACTATTCAGTTGCTATTGATATTTTTTGCTGATTCTCATTTTCATGACTTTTCTTTTTCATGTGGCCTATAAAATTTTGGATTTTTCTCTTTAATGAGCTGAACATCATTTTAATAAATTAGAAAGGATAACTAAGGGTACAAGGTTGTAGTTTTGTTTTTCCTTTGTTATAACTAAGGGTTATAAGTTGTGGTTTTGTTTCTTTGGACAATGTGTTTATTTTCTCATGCTGGATTTTCTATAGTATAACTAACTAGGATAGCTTTAACTAGGATAGCTTAGGTTTCCCCAGACAAGGCAAGTATTAAAATATAAACACAAATCCATATGTATATTCTTTTAAACTCAAGGCACTCAGTTTATCTTGTCACCTGAGAGATTTTATTTTTATAATCCTCTTGTTTATTGCTCACTTAACTAACTTTTAGAGTCCAAGTGGGCTTAATAACTTCTTGACTCCTGTTAAACTCAAAAGCCCTATGTTCATGTACTGGCAGCAGGTGCCTCTTGGTACCTACAGCTTCTTCCTGAATTTTCCACATTGGTTTTAAAACGTTTCTTAAAAATTTAGTTATATGATTAGATGCTTCTCAGCATCCTTCTTTTTTCCCTCCATTCCCTCCTACACTTTCCCTTCCTCCCACTTCCCCACCTCTCTGTTCCTTCTGTGCTCTTGTATAGAAAAGGTTTCAGATTATGCAGTTATCTGTACTGATGGAAATGTAAGTCTTATAGATTATTTTGTAATCTCGAACACTCTTGTTCCTGCTAAATAGATTTCTAAAACTTTAGGAATCCATAGTGTCTAGACAGGTTTTTTTAATTGTTTATTTAGTTAGTTTTATATTATTTTTGTGCTGCTACTGGGTATCAAGACTCAGAGTCTTGATACTGACCCTATGCTTTTACTACTCAAGCCTGGGACTGCCACTTGAGTCTCAGTTTCAGCCTTTTTTGGTGAATAGTTATAGGTAAGAGTGTTAATGGACTTTCTTGCCCTGGCTGGCTCAAGCTAAAATGTTCAGATCTCATACTTCTGTGTAGCTAGGAATTCAGGTGTGAGCCACTGGGTGCCTGGCTATTTTTATTTTTTGTTAGTATATACAAGGGAATTTCAGTGTTACATTTCCATACATGTTTATAATATATGCTAATTACTCTCATCTCCTCTATCATTCTGCTTTTACCTTGTCCTGACTTGTACAGGTAGATGCCCAAGAGTGGTATGACTGAGTCATAAGGAAGTGCTATGTTTAGATTTGAGGAACCTCCAAACTGCCTTCTAGAGTGGCTGTACTAAGTTTACATTCCTACCAACAATGCAGTAAGATTCCTTTTTTCCTACATTGCCGCCAGCATTTGTTGTTCTCATTCTCCATGTTGGCCAATCTAACTGGAATGAGATGGAATCTCAAAGTTTTTTTGATTTGCATTTCATTTATGGCCAGGGATGGTGAGCATTTCTTTATGTGTTCTTCTGAGAAGCCTCTCTTGAGCTCCTTTGTCCATTTATTTATATATTTATTAGTTTGGGGACGGGTCCATTTCTTGAGCTCCTGTATGTTTTGGATATTAGGCCTTTGTCAGTAGAATTGCTAGTAAAGATCTCCCAGTCTATTGATTTTTTTTTTAGTTTAGTAACTATGTCCTTTGCTGTGCAGAAACTTTTTGATTTGATGTAATACTGTTTGTCAAGTCTCTCCTATCTTTTCTGCCCCCAGAACTCTTCCAAATGTTTCTGTCTATATTCCTTGTAATCGTTTCAAAGTTTCAGGTCTAATATTGAGGTCTTTTTTTAAATTTTACCTTTTTAAATGTCATTGTAAAGATGGAGCACAGAGGGGTTACAGTTACATAAGTCAGATATTGAGTACATTTTTAAACAATTTTATTGTTATTATAAAGGTGATACACCGAGTTGTTACAGTTATATATGTTAGGTAAAAAGTACATTTCTTTTCTAACAGTGTCACCCCTTCCCTTATACTCTCCCACTTTTTCCCTTCTGACCCCACCCACATGTTGTATAGTTCATTTTTAACATAATGTCTAGTGAGTACCATTGCTGCATTTGTTCACTTTTGTCCCTCTATTTCTGTGCTCCCCTTGCCCTCCCAAAGGCAGATGATGAAAAGAAAACCAAAACAGCAAAGAAAAATCCTCTTGTTTTCATTTCCTGGAGTTCATTTTGATAAATATTCTTTTATATGATCAGAGGCACCATAGGTATTGCACTTCTGTGTTCTACTCACTGTTCTTCTTACTATATGTGAATGCCTAGAATCCTGGATAATTTATCATGTCCTAGTATATTTTAGATCTGGCTTCAGCATATGAAAGAAAATATATTAAGGTTGAGGTCTTTGATCCACTTTGAGTTGATACTAGTACATGGTGACAAACATCCACTTTTAGTTTTCTTTATATAGATGTCCAGTTTTCCCAACATAATTATTAAGATATGTTCATAATTATAAGATATATTCCCACTGTATATCTTTGACTCCCTTGTCAAATACCAGATAACTGTAAGTATATGGCATATGACTTTATTTCTGGGTCTTCTATTTCATTGATCTTCGGGGCCATTTTTGTACCAGTACCAAACTGTTTAGTTATTATAGCTCTGTAGTAGATAATGAGGTCTGACATCGGGATACCACCAGGATTGCTGATTTAGCCTAAAATTGCTTTGGCCATTGAAGGTTTTCTTGTTATTACATGTGAATTTTGGGTTCTTTTCTCTATTGTGGTGAAGAATGTCGTTGAGCTTTTGATGGAGAGTGCATTGAACTTGTAGATCACCTTTGGCAGCATGCCATCTTCACAATATTAATCCTGCCTATTCTTGAACATGGGAGGCCTTTTCATACCCTGATGTTGTCTCAGATTTCTTTCTTCAGATTTTTATAGTTTCACGTTAGACATCTTTCACATCCTTGGTTAGGTTTATTCTTTAATGTTCTGTTTCTTTTAGGCTACTGCAAATGGAATTGTTTTCCTGATTACTATCTCTGATTGCACATTATTAGTGTACAGAAAAACTACTGGTTTTTGTAGGTTGATTTTGTATCCTGCTAGTTTGCCAAAGTTATGGATCAGCTCTAGGAACTTGGGAGGTGGAGTCTCTTGGGTTCTTTAGATATAAAATCATGTTGTCTGCAAATGGGAATAGTTTGACTTCTTCTAGGTGAATTCCTTTGATTTATTATTTTTGGCCTGGCTAGGAGTTCTGGAATTACACTGGAAAAGAGTGGAGAGAGTGGACATCTTGCCTTGTTCCTGATTTTAGAGGAAAGTGTTTTAGTTTAGTTTATTATGATATTGGCTGTTGGTATGTCATAGATAGCCTTTATTAAGTTGAGGTATGTTCCTTCTATTCCTAGCTTCACCAGAAATTTTAACAGGAATGGATATTCAATTTTCTCAAAAGCATCTGTTAAGATGATCATGTGATTCTTGTCTTTGGCTCTGTCTATGTTGTGTATTATGTTTATTGATTTACATATATTAAACAAGGCTTTCATCTCTGGGATAAAATCCACTTGATCATAGTGTATAATTTTTTGATTGGTTATTGAATTCTGATGGCAAGAACTTCATTAAGAAACTTTGTGGCCGGGCGCTGGTGGCTCACGCCTGTAATCCTAGCTACTCAGGAAGCTGAGATCTTAGGATCTCGGTTCAAAGCCAGCCTGGGCAGGAGAGAGTGAGACTCCTATCTCCAATAAACCACCAGAAAACCGGAAGTGGCGCTGTAGCTCAAGTGGTAGAGTCGCATGGAATTCAGCTGTGAATCCATTGGGACCTGGAGTTTTCCTTGCGGAAAGACTATTACTTTCTTAATCTCATTGCTTGTTATTGTTCTATTTAAATAGTTTGTATCTTCTTGGTTCAGGTAAGGCAGCATGTATGTCTTGGAATTTATCCATTTCTGCTATATGTTCCATCTTATTTTAGTATAGGTTTTGAATGTAGTACCTCATAGTCTTTTGCATTTCTTGGATGTGTTGTGGTGTTTCCTTTGTCATCTCTAATTTTGTTGATTTGAATCTCTTCTCTCCTTGTTTTCATCACCTTAGCTAAAGGTCTGCCAATTTCACTATGGCTTTTTTGATGATTAATTGGAAATCAGAGTCTCACAGACTTTCCTGCTTGGAATAGCTTTGAACCCCAATCCTCAGATCTTAGCCTCCTGACTAACTAGAATTACAGGCATTTGCCACCTGATGCCCAGCATAGACATACCATTATTACTAGTTCTTTCTTGTATATTAAGCTATTGGATCATATAAATTTATTTGCTTATAGGTGGAGGGGTTTTTTATAGCCTTGTAGAAGAAAATAATAATAATTTTTCCTCCTCTGAGGACTAACGCTAGAGTCTCAAGCATACTCTATCACTGTATACATTGAGCCCAATAATGATAATTCTAATGTTTCGATTTATATAAATTAATTGTGTCTTTCTGTATCAGGTAGTAGAACTACAAAATAGATTATCTGAAGAATCAAAGAAAGCAGATAAATTAGATTTTGAATACAAGCGACTAAAAGAGAAAGTAGACAGTCTTCAAAAAGAAAAGGATGTGAGTATATGTAGTAGGTATTTTTGTTTTCAGAATTGCTGAAATTAACACAATGATAATTATGTTTTCATTATATTAATTCCTTTTTCTATATAAATAAAATTAAAAATTCTATTTTTAAACTTCAGAAATAACTAATTAAAAGATACAAAGCAGGGGCTGGGAAGGTGGCTCAGTGGTAGAGCGCTTGCCTTGCATGCATGAGGCCCTGGGTTCGATTCCCCAGCACCACATAATCAAAAAGAAAAAAAGCCAGAAGTGATGCTGTGACTCAAGTGGTAGAGCACTAGCCTTGAGCTGAAGAGCTGAGGGACTGTGCCCAGGCCCAGAATTCAGGCCCCACGACCGGACTCAAAAAAAAAGATACAAAGCATATTTTGCATTTATTCAGATTCCTTTTAATACACCATTGTTGACCCTTTCAAATTGTGTTACTCTGTAAAATTGTGTAGCTTTTCTACTTCTTAGAATTAATAGAGAAGACAATTTTTTATCATTCAACATAGTTTGAATGTTAAAGATATTTTTATTTCCATGATTTGTGAATATGAAATCATCATTTTATTTTTATGAAAACTATGTTAATTACTTATTGTCAAAAAATGGAGTACATAGATTTGTTTCTTGTGTCTAAGTGTAGATTCCATGTTACCTTGTAATAGAAGATATTGTATCTTTTTCAGCTTCTGTGATCTTTCCATAAAAGATCAAAAGATAAAATATGTCCATGGTGGGGTGGAGGAGTGTAGTTGTGGAGGTGGGAGGGAAGGGATGGTAGGGAAAATACAAAGGAGGAGACAACAATGCTTGATGGGAAATGTGCTCATTACCTTGCTCATGTAACTGTAACCCCTCTGTACAGTATTTTTACAATAAAAAACTTATTTTTAAAAAAAGAGGGAACAAAAGATAAAGCTCTATGTTGAAAATAAAACAATCCATGGATAAAAAAAATATGTTCCATATTGACTATTGTTTACTGTTTTGTTAGAAAGTAAAGAGCACTGATTACTTACTTCATAAAACTTGAAGCTAACCCTTCTTGGTTTTGTATCCCTCCAGAGGCTAAGAACAGAAAGAGATTCTCTGAAGGAAACTATTGAAGAGCTTCGTTGTGTACAGGCACAAGAAGGGCAGCTTACCACTCAAGGTAAAACATCTAAACAAGATCATGTATTTTAATGATAACAGTAAAAGTATTAGATTTACTTTAGCATAATTAATTTGCCACCTTAAAAAAATAAAAATGTAAACATCTTAGTTGTATTAGCCCAAAAAGTTATATTAATTTATCTCTCTTAACTTAGAAACTCAACTCTGAAAAGATTTTCAGAACCTTTGTTTTTTTATTTTGAATATAGTTTTATTGTTATTAATATCTTGTACACAGGTATTACCATTTCATAAGTAGATAATGAGTTTCTTTTTGGACAGTATCACCCTTCCTTTGCTTTCCCCTAGTTTCCCCCTCTCAAGACTTTTTATTTTTCATTTTTTTTTGGGTCCGGTCGTGAGGCCTGAACTCTGGGCCTGGGCACTGTCCCTCAGCTCTTCAGCTCAAGGCTAGCACTCTACCACTTGAGCCACAGCGCCACTTCCGGCTTTTTTCTTTTTTCTTATGTGGTGTTGAGGAATCGAACCCAGGGCCTCATGCATGCAAGGCAAGCGCTCTACGACTGAGCCACCTTCCCAGCCCCTCTCAAGACTTTTTAAAGGCTGTATATCAAACTTTAGGCTGATGCTAGTGGCTTATACCTATAATCCTATCTACTCAAAAGGCTGAGATTTTAGTATTACAGTTCAAAAGGGTCCCAGGAAGGTATCTATTGAAACTTCCTTATCCTTCCCCCCTCCCTTTTTTTTTCTTTTTTTGCTGAGGTTCAAACACAGGGCCTTGTGCATGCTACACAAGCACTCTACCAGAGAGCTACCTGTCAGCATTACTAGTGAACCTTCTACAGGTGAAATTACAATAGTATCAAACAGGAATAAAATGCAAGGACCAGACATGGTCTGTAATTTCAGTACTTGAGAGGCTAAGACAAAAAGATCATGATTTTGAGGCTAGCCTGAGCTGCATAAGGAGACCCTATCTGAAATGAAATATAAAATAAAATACATGGGGCCTTAGAGTAACTCACTGATATAAACTTGGAATTGTAGGAGTCCATAGGTTCAATACCAGGGAGGGGAAGAGGCAGTGCTTTGGAAATAGTTTGGTGTGTCTTTAAGAAGTTAAAAATAAAATTATGATGTGATTTAGTGTTTCCACTTCTAATTCTGTTATACTCAAAAAAATTGATAGTTATGGCTCAAACCAGTATTATGTACAGATGTTAATAGCAGCATTCTTCGCAATTACCAAAAGGTGGAAACAACCCAAGACTCAGATGAATAAACAAAATATGACATATACATGCAATAGAATGTTATTCCACCATAAAGAGAAGGGAATTCCAATATATTCTGTAACATGGATGAAACTTTTTTTGGTTGTTTGTATTTTATGCCGGTCCTGGGCTTAAACACAGAGCCTGGGCACCGTCCTTGAGCCTTTGTGTTCAGGACTAGCATTCTGGCTCTTCAGCTATACCTCCACTACCAGCTTTTAGTGCCCAGGCTGGCTTCAAACCATGATCCCTAGATCTCAGCCTCCAGAGAGGCTAGGATTACTGGTGTGTGAGTTACCAGCACCCAGAGTATGGATCAGTCTTTAAAACATTAAGTAAGTCAGACACAAAAAGGCAAATATTGCCGGGCGCCGGTGGCTCATGCCTGTAATCCTAGCTACTTAGGAGGCTGAAATCTGAGGATTGCGGTTCAAAGCCAGCCCAAGCAGGAAAGTCCATGAGACTCTTATCTCCAATAAAAACAACTCAAAAACTGGAAGTGGTGCTGTGGTTCAAGCGGTAGAGTGCTTGCCTTGAGCTGAAGAGCTGAGGGACAGCGCCCAAGCCCAGAGTTCAAGCCCCACAACCAACCGGGAAAAAAAAAAAGGCAAATATTGTATGATTCCACCTATATGAGATGTCTAGAATGAACAAATCATTGAGACAAAGTAGAAAGATTACTTTGGAGAAGTAACATATATATAGTTATAGTTATATAGTTACAGTTATGTATAGATAGTTATTGACTAATGATAGTGAATTTCTGATATGGGTGTTGAAAATAGTGGTAATTCTTACCAACATAGCCTTATGAATGTCACAGCATTAAGAATGTTACACACCTGTCTCCAGACAGTTACCAAGAAGTTTCTAAGACTGTGGCTATGTTGCATTTCTCTCTGACTTGTTTTTTCCCTCTTCTTGTTTAAATTTCAAAAATACTTTAAAATGTGTACCCTTTCAAGGCATCCAATGTCACTGTGACAAATTAAGATAATATAGATAAAGCTTGAGTTGGGAAAAAAAGAATGCTATACAGCTGTACTCATAAAAATGGTTAAAATGAGCTGAGAGCAGTGGCTCATACCTGTAATCCTTAGGAGAATGAGAATGGAAGGAATACAGTTTGAGGTCCATCTCAACCAATAAAAAGCTAGTCATGGTGGTACAAATCTCAGCTACACAGCAAGTGAACTAAGAGAATCATAGTCCAGGCCAGCCAGCTATAAATATGAGATCCTTTTTTTTTTTTTTTGTCGGCCGTGGGGCTTGAACTCTGGGCCTGGGCGCTGTCCCTCAGCTCTTCAGCTCAAAGTGAGCGCTCTACCACTTGAGCTACAGCGCCACTTCCTAAATATGAGATCCTATAAGTGATGGCCTGCCAAACAAGGGCAAGGTCCTGAGTTCAAACCCCAATACAATATTTCAAAAGAAAAAAGAGGGCTGGGAAGGTGGCTCAGTGGTAAAGTGCTTGCCTTGCATGCATGAGGCCCTGAATTCGATTCCTCAACACCACATAAGCAGAAGAAAAAAAAAAGCTGGAAGTGACACTGTGGCTCAAGTGGTAGAGTGCTAACCTTGAGATGAAGGGCTGAGGGACAGTGCCCAGGCCCAGAGTTTCAGGCCCTACGACCAGACCAAAAAAAAAAAGAAAAATGAATAATTATTTCATCTTCAACTGAAAAGAAATGGTTATAATGTTAAATAACTTTCTAAGACTACTGTGGCATGGTTTTTTTATTTGAGAAAAATTACTTATTTTTCCTATATGAGGCATAGGTTTCTTGGTACATTTTAAAAAAAAATACTGGTGCTTTTAGCTATTAAAATAGCTCAAGGTAGGGATTTCTACAGAAATTTGAATCACGTGACTGAAAGATGGGTTTTCATTAACCTTGTATTCATGTCTCTATTTATAGGGTTAATACCCCTGGGAAGTCAGGAATCTTCAGACAGCCTTGCAGCAGAAATTATTACACCTGAAATCAGGTAAGGAAGTGGTGATGTTTACAGTCACCTTACACAGTATTTCTGGAGAAAATTTACAATATAAAAAGCACAAGTTTGGCCAGGCACACTGGTGGTTAATACCTGTAATCCTAGCTACTCAGGAGGCTGAGATCTGAGGATCACAGTTTGAATCCAGACTGGGCAATAAACCACTCAAAAACCAGAAGTGACACTGTGGCTCAAGTGGTAGAGTGCTAGCCTTGAGCACAGAGAGGATCAGGGACAGTGCAGGCCCCTGAGTTAAAGCCCCACAACCGACCCCTCCAAAAAATAGCATGAATTCCTTTATTAGTGAAACTTTAAAATGAACTCCATATTGAATTTTCAGTTTTTCAGTGCATTTTCTTCTCTGGCATCCAACAGACATTTTTCTCATTTTGATTTAAGACATACATAGCACACTAATATATCCTAAGCTTGGATAACCTCAGTGAACATTTAGCAATGAAAATACCTGTTTCAAAGATAAGAGTTATTAGCCTGTAAAATAATTGAGTTTTTTTTTCTACTAATCTCTTAGAATAATCTGGGAAAGATACAGTGCTGTAGATCAAAGAAAATCTTCCTATCTGTACTCTTCCATAGTACCTAACTTTTTTATTTAGCCATAGCATTTTTTGTTGTTGTTGGTCATGGGGCTTGAACTCTGGGCGCTGTCCCTCAGCTCTTCAGCTCAAGGCTAGCGCTCTACCACTTGAGCCACGGCACCACTTGGGGCTTTTTCAGTTTATGTGGTGCTGATCCCAGGGCCTCATGCATTCGAGGCAAGCACTCTATCAGCCATAGCATTTTTGTTTTGTTTTGTTTTTGTTTTTGTCAGTCATGGGGCTTGAAATCTGGTCCTGGGCCCTGTCCCTCAGCTCTTCAGCTCAAGGCTAGAGCACTTGAGCCACAGTGCCAGTTCTGGGATTCTGAGTGGCTTATTGGAGATAAGAGCCTGAAGGACTTTCCTGCCAGGCGGGCTTTGAATTGCAATCCTCAGATCTCAGCCTCCTGAGTAGTTAGGATTACAGGCATGAGCCACCAGGTGCCCAGCTAGCCATAGCATTTAAAAAATTCATTTCCTACCTTTTGTGTATATGAATGAAAAATGGAGGAGGGAACCAAGCAGCCAGAAAAATGAACCATCCTGAGCATGGCTTTTACCTTTTTTTGGATCTGTGTGTCCCTTTCTAAAATGGTCACTAGTTTTGATTCTTTTTTGATAACATTTTTGAAATTTTAAATGAGTAATTGTTATATGAGCTTTTTATCTTGAAAAATTGAAATAACTATTCAAGTACTCATTGAAGGAATAAAGATAATTTGATTGATTAGTATTTAAGCTTAGCAAACATAAGGAGTATAATGCAGCATCAAGACTAGGAACATCTTATCTTTTACTGTATATTTCTGTGCTTTGAAGCACTATTTTATATCATCAAAAGTCATAATTTTCCTATATCCAAAAAGAGCTATCAACAAAATGAAATGGTAAATACTGATGAAAATTTCTTAACATATGTCATAGATATTAGGTTAATGTTAGATATTTTACATTGATAGTAAGGACATTAAAAATTAGGAGCCTCAACTTTAGGATAAAAGATAAAAGTGGTATAACTCCAGAGCAAATAACCAGTATATTTTTCTTGTCTAAGAGAATTACTTTTCTGGATATTAATCTTAACAAACTAATCAAATATATATACAAGTAGTATAAAGCTAATCATCATCAACCTATAAAGTTCATAATTGATAATAAATATTTAATAATTAGGCATTATTAAATAATAATATTTATATTTTAATTATTAAATAATTAAAAGCATGATTAAATAATAATTATTTTATATATCCTAATATATGGTTTAAAATACTGAAGAATAATTGATAGTATGAAAAGATTATGAGATTTTTTTAACTTAAGTGACAAGTTCCAATGCAACATATATTGTATTATCAGTCTTTTTAATTGTTATCTTTAAATAGTTGTAAAGGAGGTGTCCAATTTAACATGTCCATTTGTATGTGCAGTGTATTTGTTGGTCACTTTTTTTGAATAAAAAATTGTATCAACCAAGTGCCAAGGCCTATAGTTCTTGCTACTCAGGAGGTTGAGATCTGAGACTCATGGCTCAAAGCCAGCCAGCTCAGGCAGGAATGTTTGTGAGATACTTTACCTCCAATTAGCCACAAAAAGGTCAGATACAGAGCTATGGCTCAAGTGAGAAAATGCTAGCCTTGAGCACAGAAACTCAGTTATACAGCACACAAGCTTTGAGTTCAAACCCCAGGACCAGCACCAAAAAAGAAAAAAAAAATTGTATCAGAACAGAATTAAGAGGCTATGTTTCAACAATTATTTTGCAACATTGAGTTAAAGGGATTTTCTTTTTATTTATACTTTTTTATACTTTTATTTATACAGCAAATGTATTTACTTTATAATTGAGCAATATAAAGTCAATGTTTCCTACATATAAAATATATTAACTTCTACCTAGGCATTGGTTAATTCATGTCTATAATCCTAGTTACTCAAGAGGCTGAGAGGTGAAGACCTAGGCTCAAAGTCAGCCCAGGCAGGAAAGTCCATGAGACTCTTATCTCCAATTAACTACCAAAATTCTGGAAATGGCACTATGGCTTAAAGTGGTAGTGCACTGGGCTTGAGTATAAAAGCTCAGGGGCAGCACCCCAGGACTAACAAAAAAAAAAAAAGAAGAAGAACCTTAATTTTTTGAATTGAATCACAAACATGAATCATTTTAATAGCAAAAGTGAAAATGTTTTATAAAACTTATGGTGTTCACAAAATTAGAAGTATTTTTTCTGTTTTTTCATTTTGGGTTTTTTGTTTGTTTTACATAGTAAGGACAGTTTTTTCATATTGTCTGGTATCTGATAGTACTGTCTCTATAAGGCTCTTTCCTCTGGAAAGAAAAGAGTGGATTATATCGTTAAAACAAGTTAATTTTCAGTTATACTTTTCCTGCAGTACATGTGTTGACAAGTTCTGAGTAAATGTTGTGTGGCAGTAGCACAAATGATACAATTCAGTGACCTGATTTTACTACTCTGACTTGTAAGAATAGTTTTACATATATATGTAGGAGTGGGCATACTGTATATTCAAAGACAGTCCTCACTGAGTGTATTTTACCAGGAAGAGTATATTTTGGTCATTCAAGAGCATGTATTTAGAGATCATGTTTTCCCATGAGAACCAAAGAACAAATATATTAATCATATCTTAAATATTAGAGTCAGGAAGGAAGTAAAATTTGGAAATTCCTTCATTAAAAGTCATAATATAGCTGGGCACCGGTGGCTTATGCTAAGGAGGCTAGATCTGAGGATCACAGTTCAAAGCCAGCCCAGGAAGGAAAGTCCATGAGACTTATCTCCAATAAACTACCAGAAAACCTGAAGTGGCACTGTGGTTCAAGTGGTAGAACTAGCCTTGAGCTGAAGAGCTGAGGGACAGCGCCCAGACCCAGTGTTCTCAAGTCCCACAATGGACAAAATAAATAATAATGTTTAGAAAATTGATTTTTATAATCTCAAATTATTCATTTTGAAAAGAACTTATCGCAGGTACTTCATTATTTTTCATTTGTAGTCTGTTTATTGAATCTGTAACTATGTATGGCTTATTTTGATACCTGTATTGAATTAATGTATCAGGTAATCGGTTTTTATTTTTCTCCTTCAGGGAGAAACTTATTCGGCTCCAACATGAGAATAAGATGCTAAAAATTCATCAAGAGGGTTCAGACAATGAAAAAATTGCCTTATTGCAGAGCCTTCTAGATGATGCAAACTTACGCAAGAATGAACTGGAGACAGAGAATAGGTATAGTATATATGAGTCAGCTTCAGCACAGCTTCTCCTTCTTTGCCTTGATTGTAATTCCCTTAAACAGAGATTTGAATTGTATTTTTTAAATGGCTATTGTACTTCCTTTTGACAGTAATCTATTTCTTTGCTTTTGGACTTACCAAAGAGTAGCATGCTTTTTTTAAAAATTAAGTAATTGTACAAAGGAGTTGTAATTTCACATATCAGGTTAGAAGTACAGTGCATCTTGATCAGTGTCACCCTTTCCATTGTGCTCCCTTATTTTTCCCCATTTCAGGCCTTCTCATGCTCTTTTTCCTGTTTAATTTTATTTTTATCTCTAAGTAGTTATACAAAGGAGTTACTATTCAACAAAGCAGTATATCTAAATACAATGAATCTTGATCAGTGTCACCCCTTCCACTGTTTTCCTTCTTTCCCCACCCCATCCCTACTCATACTCTTTATAGCAACATTATCCTCTTAATTTCTTCAAGATGATACCAAAGCTGTAGTCTTTCTAATAAGATTATCTAGAGGATTATCTATATATGGTGGTTTGTGCCTATAATCCCACTACTTTGGAAATAGAAGCAGGAAGATCTTGAGGCCAAGGCCAGCCCAAAGTATCAAGACTCCATCTCCAAAACAAATTGTTTTAAAAAGAGCTAGTAGAATAGCTCAAGTTACAGTGTTTTGCTTAGCATGATGGTTCTCAATTCAATCTATACTTCTCCCCAAAAAGTAAAAAAAAAAAAAAAAAGATAATTAAAAAGCAAGCTAGGGTCTGGGAAGTGGGCTCAGTGGTAGAGTGCTTGCCTCGAATGCATGAGGCCCTGGGTTCGATTCCTCAGCACTACATAAGCAGAAAAAAGCCGAAAGTGGAGCTGTGGCTCAAATGGTAGGGTGCTAGCCTTGAGTTGAGGAGCTGAGGAACAGCTCCTGGGCCCAGAGTTCAGCTGCCATGACCAACAAAAATAAATAAATAGCAAGCTAATCTTCAATTCCAATCTTTTACAATTGTATTTTATAGTTTATGATCAGGTTAAACCCTATCCCTTTCTCACTGACTGTTTAAAAAGATTACTCTAGGCCAGCACTGGTGGCTCAAGCCTGTACTGCTAGCTACTCAGAATGCTGATATATGAGGATCACAGTTCAAAGCCAGCCCAGGCAGGAAAGTCCATGAGACTCATTATTGCCAATTAACTACCAGAAAACCGGAAGTGGCACTGTGGCTCAAGTGATAGAGCGCTCGCCTTGAGCTGAAGAGCGCAAGAACAATGCCCAAGCCCAGAGTTGAAGCCCCATGACTAACAACCAAAAAAAAAAAAAACAAAAAAGAATATAGAAGTTTAACCAAGCAATCACTATTCTACTCAAATGTTTTTTGGTGTGTTTGGGTTAATACATTCTTTTAAAGCCAATTATATTAAAATCAGTAGTTTTCTCTGACAGGTTACTTTTCATATTTTGTTTGACTTGTCTCAGCACATTTCTGTTTCTGAAATCCTTTACAGATAACAATTGTAATCACATAGTCTTTTTTCTCATGGCCATAATATATTCTTCTTTTTAGGGATTTGAACATTTTTTTGTGGGGCTTGAACTCAGGGCCTTGTGCTCAGCTATGTTCACTCACAGTTGGTGCCCTGTTTCTACTTGAGATATATCTGCAGTCCATCATTTTGCTGACTACTTGGAGATATAGTCTGGTGAATTTTTCTGCTCTAAGATCCTCAAATCTCAGCCTCCTTAATAGCTAGTATTATAGGCATGGCCACCAGCACCAGTAGATTTGTCATTTTTATTAATAATTTTCTGTTATGACAGATCTGTGTTCTTTTATGCTTGACTTTATATTTCTCAGGTAGGAGTCAATCTTCTCAAGTAACCTGGTTGTGGGGCCTGAACTCTGGGCCTGGGCGCTGTCCCTCAGCTCTTCAGCTCAAGGCTAGCACTCTACCACTTGAGCCACAGCGCCACTTCCGGCTTTTTTTCTTTTTTGCTTCTTTGGTGCTGAGGAATTGAACCCAGGGCCTCATGCATGCAAGGCAAACGGTCTACCACTGAGCCATCTTCCCAGCCCTCAAGTAACAATTGTGACTTTTCTGTATCTTTCCATTCTTCCTGTAGGTTTAAGTTCTCAAGCTGTGGAGATATGAAACTGATTAAAAGAATATCATTGAGCATGAACTGGAAAACATTTTTGTACATGAACTCTTAGAAATATAGTGAATGAGTGCCTTTAAAAAAAATACTTGGATGGGGCTGGGAAGGTGGCTCAGTGGTAGAGCGCTTGCCTTGCATGCCTGAGGCCCTGGGTTCGATGCCTCAGCACCACACTTGAGCGCTGTGGCTCAAGTGGTAGAGCGCTAGCCTTGAGCTGAAGAGCTGAGGGACGGTGCCCAGGCCCAGAGTTCAGGCCCCACCACCGGACCCAAAAAAAAAAAAAAAAATACTTGGAGCAGAGCACTGGTGGCTCACATCTGTAATCCTAGCTACTCAGGAGGCTAAGATCTAAGGATTGCAGTTTGAAGCTAGCCCAGGCAGTAAAGTCCCCATGAGACTCTTATCTCCAATGAACTTCTAAAAAAAGCCTTACGTGGTGCTGTGGCTCAAGTGGTAGAGCACTTGAGTACAAAGAAGCTTAGGGACATTGCCCAGGTCCTAAGTTCAAGCCCTAGGACCAGCAAGAGAGAGAGAGAGAGGAGAGAGAGAGAACTGAAGAGAAAAAGGTTGAATAAGTATAGCAGCGGAGCTCACTGGACACTGATGAAAGTGAACTATACATCATGAGACAGGAGGGAGGGACTGGAAGAGAATGAGGGACTGGGAGAGGATGAGGGAACAGAAGACACTATATGAAAGGAAATATATTCATTACCTGACTCATGTAATTGCAGTCCCTCTGTATATCACCTCTGTAACAGCAATAAACTATTTTAAAAATAAAAAATAAAATTACAATGTCCAGCCAGGCCAAAAAGAAATGGATAAGAATTAAAATTAGAGGGGCTGGGAAGGTGGCTCAGTGGTAGAGCGCTTGCCTTGCATGCATGAGACTCTGGGTTCGATTCCTCAGCACCACATAAGCAAAAAGAAAAAAGCCGCAAGTGGCACTGTGGCTCAAGTGGTAGAGTGCTAGCCTTGAGCTGAAGAGCTGAGGGACAGCGCCCAGGCCCAGAGTTCAGGCCCCATGACCGGACCCAAAAAAAAAAAAAAAAAAGAATTAAAATTAGAGAAGATGGAGAAAGAAAGGTTATAGCATCCAGTAGTCTTACAGTCTCTGCTTTGGGTATTTTGTGGGTGCCCCTTACTAGTTTTTGCCTCTGGGATGCTTTTTTTTTTTTCTTTTTTTGCCAGTCCTGGCAGGGCCTAGGTGCTGTCCCTGAGATTTTGTGCTGTGGCTCTATCACTTGAGCCACAGCTCCTCTTGTGGCTTTTTGATGGTTAATTGGAAATAAGAGACCCAGACCCTAATAATCCCTCTTTTATTTGCAGACTTTTCCTTTTTTTTTAACCTAGGGTTCTAATATGAAATATGCAACTGCTTGTCTTTGTCTGTCTGACTTATTTCAACTTAACATGTTGACCTTTCAGTTCCCATCACTTTTCTGCAAATGGTAGGATTATGCTCTTAACAGTTAAATAAAACTTCATTGTTTATACATACCGTATTTTTTAAAATTCAGTCATTCTAGGCCGATTCCATTAGTTGGCTGTTGTGAATAGTGCTGTAATAAACATGAGTATGTAGCTATCTGTATTGTATGCTGACTTCAGCTGGATCATATGATAATTCTAATTTTTAGTATTTTGGTGAATCCCTTTGCTGATTCTTTAGTGGCTCTAATTTGTATTTCCTTCAGAAGTATAATAGAATTCCTTCATCTCTATGTCCTTGCCAGCATTTTTACCTTCTAAGTAATAGATACTCTAACCAGGATGAGATGACATCTCATTGTAGTTTCCATTTGTTTAGTTTCCCTGATAGCTAGAGATATTGAGCATTTTTTTCTTTTCTTTTTTTTGGGGGGAGTCCGGTCGTGGGGCCTGAGCTCTGGGCATGGGCGCTGTCCCTCAGCTCTTCAGCTCAAAGCTAGCGCTCTACCACTTGAGCCAGAGCGCCACTTCCAGCTTTTTTCTTTTTTTGCTTATGTGGTGCTGAGGAATCGAACCAGGGCCTCGAGCATGCAAGGCAAGCGCTCTATCACTGAGCCACCTTCCCAGCCCATGAGCATTTTTTTCTATGTCTATAATTTCATTTGTCAGTTCTAGCTTTTGTTTCCTGAGCTACTGAATTCCTATCTAGGAAATTACTGCCTATGCCATTATCTTGAAGTGTTTGCTTTTGTGTTTTCTTCTCATAGTTTCAAAGTTTCTAGGCTTAAATTAAGGATTTTGGTCCATTTTGAGTTGATTTTTTTATATGGTGAGAAATTATGGTTTACTTAAGAGTAAAACCCTTCTACTTAGGGATTTTTCAAGCACCATTTGTTAAAGAGGCTATCTTTTCTTCAGTGGATGTTTTTTGGCACCTCTTCCAAAAATCAGTTGGCTTAAAAGGAGTGGATTTATTTTCCAGCTTCTCCATACTGTTCCTTTGGCCTATGGATCTGTTATTATACTCTGCTATCTTTTGTAATCAAGTATGATTGTGGTTCCTTTAGCACTGGTCATCTTCTTCATGATTGCTTTGACCATTCAAAATCTTTGGTACATGAATTTTAGGATTATTCTTTTTTTATATGAGGAATGTTATTGGGATTTGGGGATTGCATTGAATCTATAAATTGTTTAGATGGTATGGCCATTTTCTGTCTGTATGTATGTATTTAATTTTGGTGGTCTGAACTCAGGACCTTTGTTCTTGCTAGGCAGGTATTCTATCACTAAATCATTCATTTATTGCTCTTTTTTTAGGTTTCTTTTCTTCTCTTTTCCTTTTTTCTTTTTTTTTGTTCTGGTCCTGGAGTACAGGAAGTACACCCATATTACTTTTTGGTTGTAGCTATTTTTCAAATACTCTGTTTTTGCCAGGGTTTTCCTGGACTGTGTGCCTCCTCTTTATACTACCTGTCTCTTTATTATTACAATTGAAATGCCATCACTTTCCGATTTTTTTGTATAGATTTTAATTGTAAAAATACTGTACAGAGGGGTTACAGTTACATGAGTAAGGTAATGAGTACATTTCCTATCAAGCATTGTTACGCCCTCCTTTGTTTTTCCCTTGCCATTCCTTCCCTCCCCACCTCCCCAACTCCTTTCCGCCATCCCCAAGTTGTAAAGTAAGTTTTCAGCATAGTATCTTGTATATCACATTGTTACAATGGGTCAACCTGTATCCTTATTTCAGCATTTTGTTATTTCCCTACCGCTCTCCAAATTAGTAAAATGTATATACAAGATGCAGAGCACTGGAATCAAATACAGAGAAAACAGGAATTATACCATGGGGAAAGAACATACAAAAGAAACAAAAAAAAAATCACATGGTACATTATAAATACATTAAAAACAACAGCAAGAAAGATAAAACCACTTGTGTCCATATCTTGGGGTTCATTTCGCTTAGCATCATCTTATATGGTCATATGTACATAGTTTTTTACTTTTTCGGCTTGTTCTAGTTATTGCAAATAAGAGAAACCATGGACCTATGTTTCTTTAGGCCTGGCATACTTCACTTAGTATAATTTTTTCCAAGTCTTTCCATTCCCTAACAAATGGGGCAATGTCATTCTTTCTGATGGAGGCATAGAATTCCATTGTGTATATATACCACATTTTCTTCACTCATCTACTTACTGAGGGGCATCTGAGTTGGTTCCATATCTTAGCTATGGTAAATAATGCTGCGATAAACACAGTTGTGCTGGTAGCTTTAGTATAGCCTTGTTTGTGATTGTTCGGGGAAATGACTAAAAGTGGGATTGCTGGGTCATAGGGGAGCTCTATGTGTAGTTTTTTGAGGAACTTCCATACTGCTTTCCAAAGTGGTTGAACAAGTTTACACTCCCACCAACAATGCATTAGGGTTCCCTTTTGGCCACCTCCCCTCCAGCATCTATTGTTACTAGATTTCTTGATTAGAGCCATTCTAACTGGGGTAAGGTGGAATCTCAATTTTGTTTAATTTGTATTTCTTTTATGGCCAGAAAAGTTGAGTATTTCTTCATGTGTCTATATTTTAGAGACCCTTGTCCGTTGTGTTGGTAGTGAAGATCTTCTCCCAATCCGTGGGCTTTCTGTTGATCTTGCTAGCTATGTCCTTTGCCATGCAGAAACTGCAGTTTCATGCAATCCCATTTGTCCAAACTTTCTTTGTTGTGTTTCTGGGTCTTTATTTAGAAAAATTCAGCCTGTGCCAAAGAGCCCTAGAGTTTCTCCTATTCCTTCTCATAATGTTTTCAGGGTATCTGCTTTGACTTCGAGGTCTTTGATCTATTTGGAGTTGATTCTGGTGCAGGTGATATATAAGGATCTAGCTTTAGTTTTCTACAGGTGTTTAACCAGTTTTGTCAGCACCATTTACTGAAGAGGCTGTCTTCGTTCAAGTCTATTTTTTTTTTTTTTTAGCTCTCTTATCGAAGATTAGATGGCTATAGGTCTGTGGATTCATTTCTGGGTCTTTGGTTCTATTCCATTGGCCCTCAGATCTGTTCTTGTGCCAGTACCAAGCTGTTTTGATTACTACACTCTCAGAGTTTTATTGGTTAAAATGGGTAGTCTCTTGAACTTCTTTCCTGGCATTTAATTTCTCCCTCCTGAATAGCAAAAATTTCAGATGTGAGCCACTGTATTTGGCATGGCTGACCTTTTTAGTAATAGTTCACAGTCTAAAATGCAGTGTGTGTATTCTAAATTTTTATATTTTCCTCTTCTTGCAAGTCTTTAATATCAACCCAAAACCTAGGAAGTAGAACTGATCTAATAGAGAACACAGCACAGTAAGCTGGAGAACTTAGGAGTTTGTGTGATTGCCATTATTAAAGTTTGTTTTGGTTATTCCTGTTTGCGCCAAATTTGAGAATTGTTGATTATGTGATATATTGCACATACTTAGTATTTGATATTAAGTGAAAAGGATATTGTCTGATTGTTCCTCTTCTGATTTCAGCCTTTTCCTCATACCATTCTTTTTTTTCCTCATACCATTCTTGAATTTTGTTTTTTCTATGCATCTCTGGACATAATCTTAAGTGTCTTGAATTATCTCTCAACCTTAACCACAGAAGTATTTTATTTGCTATTACAGTTTCAGTTGAAGTTAAACCTACTCTACCTCCTCCATGGAGTTGTTGATTTTCTGAGCAGTCATGATTTCTGTGTGTCTCTGTAAACTGCTTTGAAATAACTATATTATTGTATTTGTTGTTCTTTTTTGTTTTGGGGGTTGGGAGTTTTTTTGCCTCTCCATTTGACTGTACATTTCTTGGGGGCAGGGATAGCTCCATCCTATGCTGAGCATGTAGTTTTTATAAACACACTGAAATGAATTTCAGACAAATACTGAAATAATTTGTTTAAATTTGTCTAACAATACATTACATTTGGAATCATCATTCAAAATCCCAAGCACTGTAACAAACACTGTGAGGTAGTACCAGTCACACTTTTAAGATTCAAGTAAAAAGGCAGAGCACATACCCAAGTTGATAAGCTGAGGGTGTGTTAGAACTACAGTCCACCCTGCCTGTTGAGGCCCTGTGCTAGTCAGTCTGTAATGTCCTCAAGGCCAGAAGAATAGGTCTCTGGCTTTCAGACATGTGGCACTGGGATTCTAGCTCTAGAGTTAGCCAACTCATTGGAAATTGCAGACACTTTATAGTGTCCTAAATTTTATAAAACCTTTAGGTTTTGTGTATATTTTGGTTTGGTTTTGTTTTCTTATCTGCATTTTTAATCGAACTATATATGTGTATTTTTGTGTATATATGTATTGTGTGCATGTATGTACGTACGTATGTATAGCTCTATGTTTTACCAAGAAAAGGAAGAGGAAAAAAACAGAAATTTGAAGCATATGAAAAACAAACTTTACTCATAAATGAGGCTGCTATTTATAACATTAGGCTTTCATTTGTTAATGATGCTTTCTCTGTAATCAACAAGACAGCCAAAGGACTTTTGTTGCTAATGAAATCAGTTTTTGTAATGGCAGTCAACAAATAAAGGGACACTTATTATTCCAAAAAAAAAAAAAAGACAGCCAAAGGAAAAATGGTATAACAAGCCTATACTTAGAAAATTAATGTATATTTGATTTCTAGGCTCGTGAATCAAAGACTTCTAGAAGTGCAATCACAAGTTGAAGAACTACAAAAATCTTTACAGGATCAAGGCTCTAAAGCAGAAGATGTAAGTTTTAATATGCACTACCATGGTCCAAAATTTTCAAAATGTTGAGAAAAGCATAACTTTTCTTTTGGAAGATGGTCTCTATCAGAATAATTTGGTGTTATACTAGTTATAAAAAAAGACACATTTTTTTCCTTTTTACTAGCATTCCTTGTGAAAAGGCCCAGACTATATTGACTCTTTCATATTTACTTTGCTGAAAAATTATCAGCTAAGGAATTGAGACTTTATGTTTTGAATTTCAACTTCAAGGCAAAATATGGGGATTTTTTTTCTCTGATTAAAATGAAAACAAAAAAAAAGAGAGAGACAGACAGACAGACAGACAGACAGAGAGCCATGAACCAATGATGCATGCCTGTAAATCCTACCTACTCAAGAGGCCCAAAACTGATTTCGAGACAGCCCAGGCAGAAAAGTTCACCCGACTTTATCATCAATTAACTAGAAGAAAAGCTGGACTGAAAATGTGGCTTAGCGCATGAGGCCCTGAGTTGAAGCCTTAGTAGGAGAGGAGAATATGAGAGAGAGAAAGAGAAGGAAGCGGGCAGGAAAGGAGAGAGAGAAAAAAGAGATATGGCTTCAGGGGTAGAGTACCTGTCCAGCAAGCACGAGGCTCTGCATTCAAACCCTAGGGCAGAAAGAGAGAGAGGGATGTTTCACTGGTAATTTTTAATGCAAACTTGATGTTTAAGAAAATAATGCCATCCCTAGAATGCCAATAATCTCTATAATTTTAAATTCCTCCTACATGTCTACTTCCCCATGCTGAAGTTTTAAAGATTTCTTTAGTACCCTACATATTACAGCACAACTCTTCTGTGATGGCATATACTCCATGGAAAATAACACTGTGTTGAGCTGTTGAAGACAGGAAATCCATGGTTTTCTTCACTTCTACATGCAAACCATCCTTTACAGGGATTAGCTAGCACATTGTTACTCAGTTTCTAGTCAAAGTATAAATAACTTATTACTGGCAAATCCTTTACATTTATTGAAAAGTATAACTAAGACTTATAAAGTGCTCAAAATAATGTAGGAGGGGAAGCAAATTTTGTTGATCCATCTTTGCTTCAGCCAGCTGTTTGGTTTTCCTGTTAAATTGTAAGTTGCTATAATCTCTGGCATTTGAGTATAAACCTACTTATCTTTTTTCCATTGAAATAAACTGGTGTTCTGCCACTTATGCCACATCTCCAGGCTGTCTTTGAACCATAATTGTCTAGATCTCAGCCTCCTAAGTAGCTAGGATTACAGTTTGAGCCCAGCAGAGTTTATTCCTTTAAAAAAAAAAAAAGAGAGAAAGAAAGAGGGCTGGGAAGGTGGCTCAGTGGCAGAGCGCATGCCTTGCATGCCAGAGGCCCTGGGTTCGATTCCTCAGCACCACATAAGCAAAAGAAAAAAGCCAGAAGTGGCGCTGTGGCTCAAGTGGTAGAGCGCTAGCCTTGAGCTGAAGAGCTGAGGGACAGTGCCCAGCCCCAGAGTTCAGGCCCCATGACTGGTCCCAAAAAAAAAAGAAAGAAAGAAAGAAGAGAGAGAAAGAAGGAAGGAAGGAGGGAGGGAAGGAAGGAAGGAAGGAAGTTTGCCACAGCCTATCTGGTAATGTTATCTGGTTCTAACCTAAGCAGAAGTTCCCTCTCAGCTCTTTTCTGTCTGTAGACTAGATTCAGGTGAAAACTCTGTTTCAAGGCTCTTCTTCAAATGCCTTGATGGTTTTTGTCTTGCTTTTCTCTTCACTCACCTACAGTATTGTATCTGAACAGTAACCTTCCAGATGGATTGGTCCCCTCTGTGAAGAGCAACATAATTTTCTACCTTTTTCTGTAACAGTCTTCTCATATCTTAGGTCAGAGTAGGTTTTTTTTGCATATTTTTTATTATTTTTACGTCATTTGCTTTTAGTATGGGTGCAGAAAAGCCTTGTTAGATCTAATCATATGGATAATTTGAGATAGCCACAGTATATAAAACTCCAGAGAACAAGACAGGATGAGGAATCCATAGAAGAATGAAAATGTACAGTTCTGCGGGAAAAAAATGTATCTTTTACTTAATGTTCATAAATTACTAAATTGTTATTTCTCTTGATTGCTGTGTTTGCTTCATACTAATATGTCTTCTCTGTCTCTTGGCATGGTTTCTGCTCAAGGCTATTGTAAGTATGGCTTTCTGCTTGTTTTCATGTATTTACTACTTCTTAGATTTATATATTTATCTGATATCATAGGTGACAATACTGACATTTTAAATTAAGACAATTGTATGCAAAATGAATCTTTTAGCAAAAGCCAGGTGATGGTAGTACATGCCTATATCCTAGTTACTCAGGAGGCTGAGATCTAAGGATCCTCCTTTGAAGTCAGCCAGGACAAGAAAGTCAATGAAACTCTTATCGCTGGTTAACCACCAAAAATCTGGAAGTGGAGCTGTGGCTCAAGAAGTAGAGCACTACCCTTGAGCTAAAGAGGTCAGGGACATCACTCAGGCCCTGAGTTCAAGCCCCAGAACCAGCACACAAAAACAAAGTTATAAAAAGTTAAACCCTAGAAAAGTCTGTTCTTGAGATGTGGGTCTCTTCCCACATCTCACCCATACCTTGCTGTTTCGATAGTTTATTTATGTAAGTTACTTTGATAATAGCTTCCAATTGCAATCTGCCTCTTCTTGCACACATTTTTTTTGGGGGGCGGGGGGGAGGGTCCAGTTATGGGGCCTGAACTCTGGGCCTGGGCGCTGTCCTTCAGCTCTTCAGCTCAAGGCTAGCACTCTACCACTTGAACCACAGCGCCACTTCCAGCTTTTTTCTTTTTGCTTATGTGGTGCTGAGGAATCGAACCCAGGGCCTCCTGCATGCAAGGCAAGCGCTCTACCACTGAGCCACCTTCCCAGCCCTCTTGCACACATTTTAACAGTACCAGTGTTCCCTTTGGAGAGACCTTGTAGCAAAGAAAAGATGAGAGAGCAGACTATGGAGACTAGAAAAACCTAGGTTTTAAATTGAGATCTGCTACTTAAAAGCTAGCAAATATTTTCAGTCATATCTTACTCCTTTGTAAGATGGGGCTAATATTACAGTGTTGTCAGATATATATACAAGGCATTTGTACATGACATGCTCTACCATAGTGCTTGGCATATTTAATTATTATAACATCAACTAAGAGTTAAAATTAACTTTGTTAGAGTTTAATTAATTTGTACATATACATTTTGTACATAATTAAACTTTTTTAAAAATTACATTGTATCCTCTGTACTAAAGAAAATAAGCAATAATCAAAAGTAGTGAAGTTATTGTCTTTTTGTTTTTAATATGCTTTTCAGGAAGAGTGTGTGTCTGTGTGTCTGTGTGTCTGTGTGTGTGTCTGTGTGTCTGTCTGTGTGTGTGTGTCTGTCTGTCTGTCTGTCTGTCTGTCTGTCTGTCTGTCTGTCTGTCTGTGTGTGTCTACTAGTCCTGGGGCTGTCTTGGGTGCTGTCCCTGATCTATTTTGCTCAAGGCTAGTTAATTGGAGATAAGAGTTTCACAGAATTTCCTGCCTGGGCTGGCTTTAAACCATGGTCCTTATATACCAGCCTCCTGAGTAGCTGAAATTACAGACATGAGCAACTGGTGCCTAGCAGGAGAAAGTTTTTTTTAAAAATCAAGTCTAAGCTGCATTCACTACCAAATTAAAATCTGTGCATAATTGCCATTTTCCACATTTCCCATACCATCTTGTAAATTATTTATAACTGTGCATAAGTGAAAATGTACATAGTTCTGTACATATATAGAAATTGATCCAAGATCTTATTATGATTCAAGGATAAAAATACAGAAGATAAGTCTATCTTAGGATAAGTCTATTATTAGGGTATTTATTGGCCTATTGAGTCCAGGAATGTTGAGTCTTTATGAAAGTTACTTTGAAAGTCCTTATCTGACTATCAATAAAGGAGTTAAATATTCCATTTCTAGGTATTTTATACTAATCACCTGCACTTACGGACAGCTCTCTTCTTTTATTCAAGAGAAGTAAACTGGAATACATTGCTTTTTGAGCTCTTTGACCAAAGAAATTACTGAGAGCAAACTTTGTTTCTACTATATTCTTAAATTTTTAAAAATAATTTGTTGGTTAAAATTTTCAAGTAATTAATTTTTATTTTTCATTTTCAGTCAATACTTCTAAAAAAGAAGCTTGAAGAACATCTGTAAGTAGAAAAGTTGTCAAAACTCATTCTATTCTGGGAATAAGGTCTTTGTGTTAGGGCTGGAGAGGTCTTAGGCAATGGCATGTGTGTCCTTGATGATAAAGGTAATTCTGCTGCATATTAATAGTGTTTACAGTGTCATTTCCATCCAACATCTATAGCTCTGAACAGTGACTGTTTGAACTATTTTCTCACATTTTATGCTTCATATCTTGTTGAAATCTTTATAATCATAGTTAGGAATTTTGATGCTAAACAAAAAAGGCAAGAATTTTTTCCTTTTTTTTGGGGGGGGGTCCAGTTGTGGGACCTGAACTCTGGGTCTGGGCGCTGTCCCTCAGCTCTTCAGCTCAAGGCTAGCGCTCTACCACTTGAGCCACAGCGCCACTTCTGGCTTTTTTCTTTTTGCTTATGTGGTGCTAAGGAATCGAACCCAGGGCCTCATGCATGCAAGGCAAGCGCTCTACCACTGAGCCACCTTCCCAGCCAAAGAGCTTTTTCCTTTGAAGGGCTATGTAATAATTACTTTGGTCCTGGCCTCTGTCCCTATAGTCTGCATGGTAGCTTGAAAGTAGTCATGCACAGTATCAAATGCATTAGTGACTATATTCTAATAAAATTTCATATACAAAGATAGGTATTCAACTGCCTATAAGACTACAAGCTGCAGTTTATCAACCCTAAAGGGTAGCTACCTGAAGATTCCTTTTTCAATGTTTTTAATAGTACATACCTTAACTGACATGTTGAATTAAAACCCATTGTACAACTACTTAGAGTTAACAAATTTAAATATAAAACTTACCAGTAACATTTTCAAATATTTCCTTAAGTTACAAAAGATGAATATTTTTAGCTGGGTGCTAGGGCTCACATCCTTTTTTTTTTTTTAATCGATCATGGGGCTTGAACTCACAGCCTGCACTGTACCCCTTTGCACTTGAGCCATAGCACCACTTCCTCACCTCTTTAATCCTAGCAACTCAACTCTGGAGGTTTAAGATGTAAGGATCACAGTTCAGAGTAAGCCCAGAGTAAGGAGTCAATGAGACTCTTTTCTCCAATTAATCACCAAAAAAGCCAGAAGTAGAGCAATGACACAAGTGGTATAACACCAGCCTTGAGGTAAGAGCCTGAGGGACAGTGCTTAGGCCCTGAGTTCAAGCCCCAGTTCTGTAACAAAAACAAAAAGATGAATTAACTCTGATATTTCATAAAGAAATTTTCATCTATCTATCTTTATTCACAATTTTAGGGACGTTAATAATTTTTCTGACACCCAGTAATAACCTTAATTCTTTTTATCACTTTGTAGCAAAACTCCTTGCAGGAAATAAACATGTGATTATCATGCATTGATGGTCTGTTGGAGTGTTAAATGTTACACTGCACAAACCAAACACCTTCACCACAAAGATGATTTTAACTTGTTACACTATGATTTGAATGACAGTCTATACCCTGAAAATTTTACTTGTACTATTCAGGTTTTTATTAGCATCAACTAGTTGTACAAGGGTATTTCATTTTAACACGTCCATTTATGAATATGTTGTTCATATCCATAAATACATCTTGATCAATCACCACCATCCTTCTCTTTCTTCCCTATAACCCACTTCCTCAACCAGTCTCACTGAGTTTCTTTGTTCCACTTTCACACAGGATAAATTATTATATTTGACCTCCTTCCCCCTCTGCTTGTTTGCCTCCCTTCTAGTCCAATGTTTTTAAATATGGGAGATATATGTACAATATACCTAGTAAATGAGACTTATGATAACTAACAATAAGTAGATTCTTTATATATTAGAAAAACAAAGAGTATTTTTCCTGTCTTTGTATTCCTTTTTTTTTTTTTGGGGGGGGGGGGGTCTGGTCATAGGGCCTGAACTCTGGGCCTACGCGCTATCCCTCAGCTCTTCAGCTGAAGGCTAGTGCTCTACCACTTGAGCCACAGTGCCACTTCTGGCTTTTTTTGTTTATGCGGTGCTGAGGAATCGAACTCAGGGCCTCATGCATGCAAGGCAAGCGCTCTACCACTGAGCTACCTTCCCAGCCCCTTTCCTGTCTTTGTAAAGGATAAGAATTTGGTACACATAGGATGAGCATTCTGTTTTTGTTTTTGTGTTTTTCTTGTTGTTGTTTCCATCATTATTTTATGACAAATTAGCTTACCAAAGAGTCATTGTTCTGTATTAGTCATTTACATGGTAAAAATACCTTCATTAGGATGGATTTATTGCTGAAGATGGAGACTTATTAGTTTCATATGACTGTCATAAAAATTACCATAAAGACAACAAAAAACTAGTGACACATACCTAAGGAAGCTGTGAATCAAAATCTAGAAGCTCAGAAGGAGAATCTTCCATGTCTGTTCCTAGCTTCTGGAGGCTGCTGACAATCCTTGGTGTTCCTTAAAGGTCCACTCCATCTTCAAATGCTGATCTTCCATCTTCAGGGCATGTGGAAAACCAGGATTACTTCTGAATCTTACATACTATGTTTTTTCCTATGCTTCTGTGCCTGTAATAAGGTTTATAAACTAAGCCCTGTAAGAGATTAACAACAATATGCAATAATAAAAAAAATAGGACAATGTAACCATATACTGATTCACTGACACTGTATCTGACAACCAAGATCCACTAATTGACTAATAGGAAGTAGCCTACACAGTGTGGATGTACTGAACCCAGTATTATCCATAGAGAATTATCATAGAGAACCACAGGAAACTGCATCATGCTACTCAGCACATCATTTATGTATTGTTTATTTCTGGATGTTTCCATTTAACATTTTGGACCATCATTGACCATGAACAACTACAATGATTGGATGGAAAACCACAGATAAGGAAGAACTACTGGTCATGTGCCTGTAGCTCTGCCTTGTAACCCTAGCTACTCAGGAATGTGAGACCTGAAGACCGCAATTAGGAAGCCAGTCTGGACATGAAAGTCCATGAGACTTTTTTTTTTGGGGGTGGGGGGGGGGGTCCCAGTCGTGAGGCCTGAACTCTGGGCCTGGGCGCTGTCCTTCAGCTCTTCAGCTCAAGGCTAGCGCTCTACCACTTGAGCCACAGCGCCACTTCCGGCTTTTTTCTTTTTGCTTATGTGGTGCTGAGGAATAGAACCCAGGGCCCCAGGCATGCAAGGCAAGTGCTCTACCACAGAGCCACCTTCCCAGCCCCCATGAGACTCTTATTTCCAGTTAACTACCAAGAAGCCAGAAGTGGAACCATGGCACAAGTGGTACAATGTTAGCCTTGAGCAAAACAGCTCAAGGATAGCACCCAGGCACTGAACCTGCCCAGAACCAGCACAAAAATAAGTACATAAATAAAGAATAAAAGAAACTAGGAGAGAGTGAGGGAAGGGGCAACATTGTCCCAAAGGACATATGTAACTAAAAGTCCTCTGTGCATCATCTTTATAATAACAATAAAAAAGTAAAAATTGAAAGAAAAAAGCAAAACCAAAAGAATAAAAGGATGAATTATACATGTTTGTGTCCTCTAATGGCCTTTTTTTTTTAAATTTTTCCAGTGTGGGGCCTGAACTCTGGGCCTGGGCACTGTCCCTCAGCTCTTCAGCTCAAGGCGAGCGCTCTACCACTTGAGCCACAGCACCACTTCTGGTTTTTTCTGCGTATAAGGTCCTGATGAAACGAACCCAGGGCCTTGTGCATGCAAGGCCAGCACTCTACCACTGAGCTACCTTCCCAGCCCCCTCTCATAGCCTTTCTGTGAGGACACTAGGGATTAGATTAGTGTCCAACTTAGTCCAGTATGACCTCTTGTTGATGAGGTCATATAAAGACTCAATTTCCAAATAGTACTAGAGGTTAGAACTTTAACTTATATTTGAGAGACACAATTTAACTCACTACAGGGCTTCTTTACATCTCAAACAATGGTCAATCTCATAGAATTTTTTTTCTTTTTTAAAATGTATCCATTGAAAATCTCCAATGTACTTCTTTTTTTTAATTTTCATTTATTTATTTTTGTTTCTGTGGTACCAAGGAATCAAACCTAGGGCCTCATGCATGCTAGGCAAGCAGTACCACTAAGCCACATTCCTAGCTCGCATAAATTTTTTTTAAAAATCACAACTAGTGTTACTAAAGATGTTACACAATGGTGATTTTCATTCACAATACTTTATTTGACATATCAGTTCCACTATCTATATCTGAGATTTCTGGAGATGACTGTTATCCATGCGTAATAGGTATCATGTAGAAGACATATACATAATAAGTAAAATATAAAGCAGAAGTTTGGAGAAATTAAACTATATTGTCTAGGAGTAATAAAAGCATCATAAAAATCATAGGACTTGGGGCTGGGAATGTGGCCTGGTGGTAGAGTGCTTGCCTACCATGCATGAAGCCCTGGGTTCGATTCTGGTGCTGTGGCTCAAGTGGTAGAGTGCTAGCCTTGAGTAAAAGAAACTCAGGGACAGTGCCCAGGCCCAGAGTTCAGTCCTCTGGACTGGCAAAAAGAAAAATCATAGGACTGATTAAAAAGTTTGGTGTTTGGTTACCCCTGGGAAGAACATAGAGATGTATGACTTCTAAAGTTTTTGGATGAGTTTTGTTTGGAACCTAGTGGTAATTCACCGGACCATTTTTTTTGTTTTTCTTTTTCTTTTTTCTTTTCTTTTTCTTTTTTGTGCCAATAGGGGCTTAAACTCTAACCTGTGCTCTCAGCTTTTTCACTCATGCTAGCTCTCTACCACTTGAGCCATACCTCCAATTCTTACTTTTTGCTGGTTAGAGACAAAATTTAGATTTTCCAATCTGGAGATGTCTGCCCAAGCTATCTTTGAATTGTGATCCTCTGATCTCAGACTCCTAACTAGCTAGAATTACAGATGTCAACCTACTACTGATTCTCAGTGGTTTTTGTACTTCTTTAAGCTGCATATATTTGTATTGTATATGTCACATCTTCAAAAACTAATTATTGGCACTGTGGCTCAAAACAGTAGCACTAGCCTTGAGCAAGATAGCTCAGGGACAGCACCCAAGCCCCTATCTAGTTCAAGCTCCACAACTAACAACAACAACAACAGCAGCAAATACACACACACACACACACACACACACGTGAAAGGCTTTAATATAGTAATATGCATGAAAACTATGAGAATTAAACAACAAAGTTTTCCATTTTTATCAATGTTTTTTCTCTATCTTTCACCTTTACAGCCCTTTTTCCTATTCCTATTATTTAGTATCAGAATTAAATACTGCAGAGAATTATACATATTATGCAAATTACTATATATCATATAAAGACCAGGAAAATATCTTCTGTTAATTCTTTCTTTTATCTTGGAATATAGCATGCATACAGGATAGTTCATATCCTAAGCTCCTAACAGAACAACTTGATGAGTGTTTACCTCCATATTTAAGTGACATATCAATATAGCCACCTAACAGGATTTTTCCTTCTCCCTCCCAGATGATTGATTACATCCCTAAACCAGACACAATACTGATCATTATTACTTTTTAAAGTCTTGACACTTCTGCAACCTTGTATAAATGACATCATGTATTAATCCCCTGACATACTTTGGTTCTGTAAAATTTATTTAAATGGTTTCCTGTTCATTCTTTTTATTGATGTGTAGTGTCCCTTGTTATTCCTGATTTTTAGAACTTTGCTTTTGGAAAAAGGTTTTCCTTTTAACTTCCTAAAAGTTTAAATTTTTTATTTTATACCTTCATTCCTAGGGGGGAAAAAACCAATCTGTACCCTCATATACATTTATGTAGAAGAACTAACTACTTTTTCAGTCCAAAAGAGATATTTTTGTCTTTAAATTTATTTAGTTATACAGTAAATTCATGTTGATTTGGGTTTCTTTCTTTTTTTTTGACGGTTGTGGGGCCTGAACTCTGGGCCTGGGCACTGTCCCTTAGCTCTTCTGCTCAAGGCTAGCACTCTACCACTTGAACCACAGAGCCACTTCTGACTTTTTCTGCTTATGTGGTACTGAGGAATTGAACCCAGGGCCTCATGCATGCAAGGCAAGCACTCTACCACTGAGCCACCTTCCCAGCCCTGATTTGGGTTTCTTATAGCACTTCTAGGTAATGCAAGTGTATTCCAAGAATAAAGAATATGAATCTTTAATGTGAAGTGAAAAACAAAAACAAAAGTGGGTATGATAGTGTTATGTATTTTGTTATAGAGAGAAGCTGCATGAAGCCAATAATGAACTACAGAAGAAGAGAGCCATTATCGAAGATCTTGAACCAAGATTTAATAACAGCTGTGAGTTTTTTTTCCTAATTAGCATCATTAACTAAAAACTATCTTACTGATAGTGAATTTGGTAATATAACTTTAGAAATAGGCTTTGTAATAAATTATAGCTGGGCGGGGAAGGTGGCTCAGTGATAGAGCACTTGCCTTGCATGCATGAGGCCCTGGGTTCGATTCCTCAGCACCACATAAGCAAAAAAAAAAAAAAAAGCTGGAAGTGGCGCTGTGGCTCAAGTGGTAGAGTGCTAGCCTTGAGCTGAAGAGCTGAGGGCCGGCGCCCAGGCCCAGAGTTCAGGCCCCACAACCGGACCCTCCCCCCCCCAAAAAAAAATAGAATCTAATGCCTGTGAAGTAAGATATTTTCATAGTGTAAGTTTGACAAACTTGCACTTTCATTGATATTTAAACCTATGAATGGCTTGTACTTCTTTATGCAAGTGAGAGGACAGGCTTCTGCTTTTTAAAAAATACAGCAAATATGTAAATAATCATTTGAAATGTGTAGTTCAGTAACTGTAAGTACATATACATTATTGTATAGCCATCAGCAGTACTTAGCTAAATACTTTTCTCATTACCAAGTAGAAGTCCACATACATTAAATAATAACTTGCCATTCCTTTCTTCCTAACCTATGGTAATCACAACTCTACTTTCTGTCTCTGAATTAACTATTTTAGGCAACTCATTGGTAGAACCATAGGACATTTATCCTTTCCTGTCTGGTTTATTTTACTTAGCATAATGCCTTTACTTAGCATACTTTCCATTTAACATAATGTCTATTTTGTATCATGTATTAGAATTAAGTCTGAATAATATTGCATTATATAAATATTCATTTTGTTCATTCATCTGTCAAAGGATAGTTTTTTACTTTCTAATATTTGAGTTCTTGTTTATAAGAAAATAAATTATTAGTTGGTTTTTAAAGAAAAATCATGAGTGAGACATGATAGTCATACCCAGCTCTCTGATGGTAGAGATCAAGAGTATCAAGGATCAAAGCCAGCATAGGGTCAGAAACTTCTCAACTAATAAAAAGCTGCGGCTGAGAAGGTGGGTCAGTGGTAGAATGCTTGCCTTGCATGCATGATGCCCTGGGTTCGATTCCTCAGCACCCCATAAGCAAAAAGAAAAAAGCCGGAAATGGCGCTGTGGCTCAAGTGGTAGGCCTTGAGCTGAAGAGCTGAAGAACAGCACCCAGGCCCAGAGTTCAGGCCCCACGACCAAGACCCAAAAATAGAATCACAGGCTAGGCCAGATGGCCTGAGCATAAATGTGAGAGACCCAATTGAAAAAGTAACTAAAGCAAAAAGAACTAGGGAATATAGCTTAAGTTACAAAATCCTTGCCTGAGAAATTCAAGTCCACAAGCTCAATCCCCAATACTATAAAACAAAACAAAAGTATAGCTGGTACTGGTAACTCATGTCTTTAATCCTAACTACTTAGGAGGATCTAAGTATCTCAGTTCAAAAACAGCTCAAGCAGGAAAGCTTGTATAACTTTTATCTCCAATTAACTACCAAAAAAAAAAAAAAAAAAAACCCAAAAAACAAAAAAGAAAAGGCAGAGGTGGTGCTGTATAGCTCAAGTAATAGAACAGTAGCTTTGAACAAAAAAAAGCTTCAAGACAGCACTGAGGCCCTGAGTTGACGCCCCAGAACCAGCACGACAGAAGAAGGAAGAGAAGAGGGGGGAGAGGGAAAAGAAAAGACAAGGAAGAGGCAGAGGAAGAAAAAAAAGGAGGGAGCAAGAGGAAGAAGAAAATTATCTATAAGAATAGACTAAACAGCCAGGCGCCAGTGGCTCAGGCCTGTAATCCTAGCTACTCAGGAGGCTGAGATCTGAGGATTGCCTTCAAAGCCAGCCTGGGCAGGAAACTCCATGAAACTTTTTTTTTTTTTTTTTGTCGGTCGTGGGGCTTGAACTCTGGGCCTGGGCGCTATCCCTCAGCTCTTCAGCTCAAGGCGAGCGCTCTACCACTTGAGCTACAGCATCACTTCCGGTTTTCTGGTGGTTTATTGGAGATAGGAGTCTCACAGTCTCTCCTGCCCGGGCTGGCTTTGAACCGCGATCCTCAGATCTCAGCCTCCTGAGTAGCTAGGATTACAGGCGTGAGCCACCGGCGCCCGGCCCGAAACTCTTATCTCCAATAAAGCACTAGAAAACCGGAAGTGGCACTGTGGCTCAAGTGGTAGAGTGCTCGCCTTGATTGAAGAGTGCAGGGACAATGCCCAAGCCCAGAGTTCAAGCCCCATGACCAACCAAAAAAAAAAAAAAAAAGAATAGACTAAACAGTCTCTCAAACCTGTTAATTATTTAGCAATTAAAATAAGATAGGTGTTGGTGTTTCACACCTGTAATCCTAGCTTCTCAGGAGGTTGAAGTCTGAGGATCTCGGTTCAAAGCGGTCCCACATAGTAAAGTCCTCAAGACTCTTTTTTGCCAGTTAACCACCAAAAAGTTGGAAGTATAGCTGTGACTCTAGAGGTAGAGCACAAACTTTAAGCAAAAAAGCTCAGGGACAGCAGTTCAAGCCATAGGATCAGCACCAAAAAAAAAAAAATATATATATATATATATATTAAAGATGTTATCAAAATTTCACTGTCTCACTGTGTTGAAAATGAACTGTACAACTTGTAGTTGGGAACAGGGGGGAAAAAGAGAGTGAGGGAAGGGTTAGTAACTGTCCAAAGAGAAAGTGTTCTTTACCTCACTTAGGTGTAATCCCTCTGTATATCACCTTTGTAATCTCAATAATTTCTTTTAAAATTTTACTGTCTCATCCACAGCCTTAAAAATTGAAGAATTACAAGAAGCTTTACGGAAGAAAGAAGAAGAAATGAAGCAAATGGAAGAACGATATAAAAAATACTTAGAGAAAGCCAAAAGTGTAAGTATGCATTTGTAGGTATCTTACTCTACTTTCTGGACATATTTTATTGGATTCCTAAATATAGTGCCCATAGGCTAGATGTATGGTGTAAGTGAAAGAATTTCTAGCCTAGCAAGAACAAAGCCTTAGTTCAAAACCCAGTACCACCAAAACACACCCAAATACACACACATTCCATATACATACTTAAATTAACATCTAATGAGGAAACCTTGTGATAAAGATATACTAAGAAATCTATTAAACCTGGCTGGGAAAGCGACTCAGTGGTTGTAGTGCTTGCCTTGCATGCATGAGGCCCTGGGTTCGATTCCTCAGTACCACATAAGCAGAAAAAGCTGGAAGTGGCGCTGTGGCTCGAGGTCAGGGCCCCACAACTGACACACACACACACACACACACACAAACACAAAAAGAAATCTATTAAACCGAGCACTGGTGGCTCACACCTGTAATCCTAGCTACCCAGGAGCCTGAAGTCTGAGGATCGAAGTTCAAAGCCAGTCCAGGCAAGAAAGTCTCTGAGACTTTTTTTTTTTTTCCTGCCTGTCGTGGCCTGAATTCTGGGCCTGGGTGCTGCCCCTCAGCTCTTCAGCTCAAGGCTAGAGCTCTACCACTTGAACCACACACAGCACTTCCAGCTTTTTCTGTTTACACTGTGCTGAGGAATGGAACCCAGGGCCTCATGATTGCAATGCAAGCACTGAGCCACCTTCCCGGCCCCCGTGAGACTCTTATCTCCAATAAACCACTCAGAAAACTGGAAGTGGCCCAGCGGCTCAATTGGTAGAGCACTAGCCTTGAGCTGAGAGCTGAGGGACAGCATTCAGGCCCAGAGTTCAAGTCCCATGACCAACAAAAAAAGAAAGAATCCTGAACAAAATATTGTGATCAGAATTACTTAGTAATTAACAAGGAGAAAATTTAACTTAATAGAAAGCAAGTGACCAGGGCTGGGAAGGTAGCTCAGTGGTAGAGCGCTTGCTTTGCATGCATGAGGCCCTGGATTCGATTCCTCAGCACCACACAAGCAAAAAGAAAAAAGCCAGAAGTGGCGCTATGGCTCAAGTGGTAGAGCGCTAGCCTTGAGCTGAAGAGCTGAAGGACAGTGACTAGGCCCAGAGTTCAGGCCCCACGACCAGACCCAAAAAAAAAAAAAGTGACCATTACCAATTTAGCCAGTAATTAGATGAGCAACACATGGTCTTACAAACAATCCCTATAGCTTCCTGATAAGATATCCCTGTCTGTGACAATCAACCTGAATCCAGCAGTTATCTGTAACCAGCTTCCATGTCAAAGGAAATAAGGTTCTCTATATATCTATAGATAATAGATATTGGAACAAATTAATACCTTTAAGCTGTCAGATAACTTGGAAGATAAAAGTATCATGAAAACAAAATAGACAGTGGAGTGTTGGTAGCACTAGGAGACAGGCTATTACTACTTTAAAAGAGCCCTTACTAACTGCCAACATTCATCTTTTGAGTTCTGGAGTGGTAGCAGAAAGAGTCAGTGTGAAAGACATTTTGGGCCCTGGCATCAGTGGCTCATGTCTGTAATCCTAGTTACTTGGGAGACTGAAATCTGAAGTTCAAAGCCAGCCCAGATAGGGGCTTTTAACCAATCAACCACCAGAAGTCTAGAAGTGGAAGGGTGGCTAAGGTGACAGAGTGCCAACGTTGCATGAAAAGGCTAAAGAGCAGCACCCAGGCCCCTAGTTCAAGCCCCAGTACTAGCACTAAAAGAAAATGTAATCAAAAGGAAAAAAGGCATTTTGGAGACATCTGTGAAAGTATGGACTTGGCGTGAACCAAGTAATGGCAGTTTTAAAGAAATTTTCTAATAGATATTAGTATCACAATTATGTGCTATAATCTCTTTAATTTAAAGATGTGCATGCTCAGGAATTGAAGGGTTATATATCATGAGGTCATTAGTTGCCAAAGCAAGTATGTGTATTTGCTCTTGTGTATTAAGGAGAAAGAGGATATATTAGATAGGGCATTGTAGCAATAGGTGAATCTATGTTCAATGTAAATGGCCTTTTTGTTGTTTAAGCTTTCTATAGCTTTGAACATTTTGATAGTAAAGTGGAAAGGAGGAGTTAAAAAATGTCTTCCCTGTAAGTCTTCCATTTGTTGAGCGAGTATTGACCCCACTGCCACCACTCATGCCCAAACCACATATGAGCAGAGGAGGCAACAGGGACACAGTCGTATGTTTGTGCTCTTTAGGACACACTCTCAAGTACCTAACTCCTTAGAAGCCATGGTGAGCTGAAACAAAGAAGAGGCAGGGAGAGGAGAGAGCTGTCCGTCGTGTCTGCTTAATTGTATTTATTGATGTAAGCCAGAATTAGCTTTTATAATTGATTCTTCTATATAATTCTTTATATATTCAAAAGTTGAAAAAGTAATATTATTTTATACATTTTTATTTTAAAGTGCTTTTTAAAATAGCCTTTGATCTTATAACTTTCCTTTTTGTGCCTTTTTTGGTTCTTGTTTAGCTATGTTGTGTTGCTAGGTATGAAACACAGGGCCTCAGGCATTGATTAGGTAGGTGCCCTACCACTAAGTTATATACCCAACTCTATCCTTTTCAGGGTTAGGTTTTTTTTATTTTATTTATTTTTTGCCAGTCTTGGGGCTTGAACTGAGGGTCTGAGCACTTCTTTTGCTCAAAGCTAGCTAGCTCTCTACTTCTGGCTTTTTTTTGTCGGTCATGCGGACTGAACTTGGCCTGCACGCTGTCCCTCAGCTCTTCAGCTCAAGGCTCACACCCTACCACTTGAACCACAGTGCCACTTACGTGGTGTTGAGGAATTGAGCCCAGGGCCTCGTGCATGCGAAGCAAGCACTCTACCACTGAGCCAACTTCCCAGGCCCCACTTCTGGCATTTTTCCTGTGATTAATTAGACATAAGAGTCTCATGGACTTTTTTGCCCAGACTGTCCTCAAACCACAAAATCCTCAGATCTCAGCCTCCTGAGTAGGTAAGATTACAGTCCTGAGCCACCAGCAGTTGGCTTTAATTGATTTTTTTTTTTTTTAAATTTTTTGGGTCCAGTCGTGGGGCCTGAACTCTGGGCCTAAGCACTGTCCCTCAGCTCTTCAGCTCAAGACTAGCACTCTACCACTTGAGCCACAGCACCACTTCCGGCTTTTTTCTTTTTGCTTATGTGGTGCTGAGGAATCGAACCCAGGGCCTCATGCATGCAAGGCAAGCACTCTACCACTGAGCCACTTTCCCAGCCCTTGCTTTAATTGATTTTTAAAGGTTATATTCTTTGAGTTTGAGACTTCTTATTACTGTTGGCAGGTTATCCGGACTTTAGATCCTAAACAGAATCAAGGAGCAGCACCAGAAATACAAGCTCTTAAAAATCAACTCCAGGAACGAGAGCGGCTGTTCCATTCATTAGAGGTAGTTCACTGCACTGTGATGGGCCATAAAATTCTGGGTTCTGATTTCTGAGATCCTTGTTATATTGTAAGCTTTGTATCCATTGGTTTACATACTTAATTATTCCTTATATTGATTGTATTTTTACATATTTACATGTTCTTAATTTTAGAAAGAATATGAGAAAACGAAGAGTCAAAGAGAGATGGAAGAGAAATACATAGTTAGTGCCTGGTACAATATGGTAAGAAAATAATGCTTCAGAACATAATGCAACATTTACCAAATACTAGTTTATCAAATTACTAGATTGCCTTTTCTGAAGAAGCAATTTTAACAAAAGAACTTGAAAGTAAATATTACCCTAACACACTAACAAAGCTTCCCTGCTGACAGCAAAGAAGATATAACCCACAAACAGAATGGTATTGTGAAAGTATCATTCATAATTCCCAGAAACATAAAGACAAATGTCAGCGTAGTTTTTGTTCCTCAGAGCCGTTTGCTGTAGGAAGGCACACAAAGAAGTAGTAGCTCTACTTTGTTGTAACCTTTTCAGGATGGGATAGTTTACTTTCTCAGGGGATATAGAAGATGTTAACAGTGTCAGATCCTGAATATTCCAACACAACAAAACTTCTTGGCAAGGACACTAATACTCATAGCATTCTGTTGTGGATTAGACTAGCCATGAATTTTATAGGGAATGCTGCATTTTTTCAGTACTTTATCCCAACTCTTGTTGTCATCTTTTTTTTTCTTCCCATTGAAAAAACTGCCTTTTCAAAAGTTTTCTGAAATGACAGCTAGTTTCCAACAAGTTCAAATTTTTTTCAACTTCTGATCTCCACTGTTGGCATAAAGACATTGGTTTTTTTTTTTTTTATGGTGGGTGGTGGTGTATGTGTACAGATTCTGGAGCTTGACCTCTGGGCCTTGGTGCTGTCCATGAGCATTTTTTCTCACGGCTAGCACACTAACATTTGAGCCACAGCTCCACTTCTGACATTTTGGTAGTTAATTGGAATTAAAGAGTCTCAGCAGACTTCCCTGCCCAGGCTGGTTTTTAACCACAGTCTTCAGATCTCAGCCTCCTGAGTAGCTAGGATTACAGTCATGAGCCATCAGTACACTGCCATGGTTTTGTTTTACTGTTAAAATTATACTGCATCTTAAAGGCTAGTGCCCCTGGCCTAATATGATTTGACCTATTGCTAAAAATTTTATGACATGTCCATACTTATACCTGGCTTGGTCAAAATTACATATTTAAGAATTTATCACAATTTCTAAAGGAGAAAGTTTGAGGTTTATAGTATTCTTTTATCAAATACTGATTTCTTGAAATTTCAATTTTAAAAATGAAAGAAAACTTGCCAGGCATTAGTGATTCACATCTGTAATCCTAGCCTAGACACTCAGGAGTCTGAAATCTGAGGATGACAGTTCAAAGACTGCCCAAGCAGAAAAATCTATGAGATTCATCTCCAATTAACCACCAAAAAATTAGAATTGAAGTTGTGGCTCACGTGGTAGAGTGCCAGCCTTGAGCAAAAAAAGTCAAGTAAGAGTGTGAGGCCTGAGTTCAAGCCTCAGTACCAGCACACAAAAGGAAAAAAGGGGGGGCGGGGTGCGCTACATAATTAAAGAAGTTTTCTGGGAGTTAATCCTGACTCCTGTTTTATCTCTTGTCTTCTCAAAGCTTAGTATTCTCAGTCTTAATAGCTTTGCATTTTAGTTTTTATTAGTAATTTCATATAGTTTTAACTATTTTTGCATATATTAGTAATTTCATATAGTTTTACATATTATTTGTTCTGTAACTTAGTACTAATAATAGTCCTAGTTTTGAATACTTCAGAGTTACATTCAGAAATGTCAGCATCGGGGCTGGGAAGGTGGCTCAGTGGTAGAGTGCTTGCCTTGCATGCATGAGGCCCTGGGTTCGATTCCTCAGCACCACATAAGCAGAAAAAGCTGGAAGTGGTGCTGTGGCTCAAGTAGTAGAGCACTAGCCTTGAGCTAAAGAGCTGAGGGACAGTGCCCAGGCCCAGAGTTCAGGCACCAGGACTGGCAAAAAAAAAAAAAAGGAATGTCAGCATCTACACAGTTTTAATAGAAATGATGATGAGTACTAGGAAGAGGTATTCAGTAGCTCAAGAATGGCCTTGGATAGGATAGTGTATAAAGGGGTTCTGGGGATGTAGCTTAATGATACAGCACTTGATTCGCATACCTGCAGAAAGAAAAAAAATGAGTAGAGGACTTGAGATATAGTAGAACTCTGAATCACAGTATACAAGTTACACCAAAAAAAAAGTATACAAAAAATTTTAATGAATTGTTGAAATGTGACAAGTCATGGTATTTTGTTTTTGTTTTGTTTTGTTTTGTTTTTTTGTCCCTTGTGGGGCATGAACTCTGGGCCTGGATGCTGTCCCTCAGATCTTCAGCTCAAGGCAAGTGCCACAGTGCCACTTTCAGGTTTCTGAGTGGTTTATTGGAGATAAGAGTCTCACGGACTTTCCTGCCCCTGCTGGCTTTGAACTGCAATCCTCAGATCTCGGCCTGCTGAGTAGCTAGGATTACAGGCATGAACCACCGGTGCCTGGCAGTTATAGTATTATAAATAAGATGTATTTATCTAAATTAATAGATTAAGTTTATTTGTAGATTTTTGTTCAAATCCTCAAATGATTTGATGGAAGCTAGGATGTGGTTCACACCTGTATGTCCTAGCTACTCAGGAGGCTGAGATATGAAGATTGTGGTTTGAAGCCAGCCAAGGTAGGAAAGTCCATGAGACTCTCTTCAGTTAATCACCAAAAAGCTAAAAGTGGAGCTGTGGCTCAAGTGAACATCAGCCTTGAGCAAAAAAGCTAATGGACAATGCCCAGGCCCTGGGTCCAAGTCCTAGTATTCTCATTCTTTCCATCTCCTTCTCTCCCTCTCCTTCTCCCTCTCCCTCTCCCCCTCCCCCTCCCCCTCCCCCTCCCTCCCTGCCTCCCTGCCTCCCTGCCTCCCTGCCTCCCTCCCTCCCTCCCTCCCTCTCTCGCTCTCTTTCTCTCTCTCTCTCTTCTTCCTCTCTGTTCAAGGCTACTGGAAGCAAGAATCTAGTAAGACCTCATCTCAGCCAACAAGCTGAGTGTGGTAGTTTTCGTCTGTAATTCCAGCTATGTGATTTAGAGGATGACAGTCAGAGTCCAACCTCTTTCAAAAAACTGAGACCATTATCTGAAAAATCACTAAAATAAAAGGGCTTGAAGTATGTCTGAAGTGGTAGAGTTCCTGCCCAGCAAATGGGAGTTCAAACCCAGCAAAAGAAAAAAAAAATTTTTAACTTGTATCAGATATGTTTGTGCACATCTCTATCTCCAGCACTAGGGAAAAAGCTGAGGAAGAAAGAATGTGAGTTCAAGACCTACCTGAGCTACATTTCAGATTCAAGGCCAACTTAGAGTACATAGTGGAACCCTGTCTCAAATAAAGATTGGATTTTCCTTTGTTGTCAACCTCCAGTTCTTCCCATTTTACCTATGTTCAGTTCTTAAAGTTTCTCTGGCTAGAAATGCTCATCAATTTTTTTATTTATTTATTTATTGTTGGTGGTGGTGGGTCTTCAACACTGGGCCTGGGCACTGTCCTTCAGCTCTTCAGCTCAAGGCAGGCACTCTACCACTTGAACCACAACACCACTTCTAGTTTTGTGGTGGTTAATTGGAGGTAAGAGTCTCACGAACTTTCTTGCCCAGGCTGTCTTTGAACCGCATTCCTCAGATCTCAGCCTCCTGAGTAGCTAGGATTACAGGCATAAGCCACCAGCACCCAGCTATGTTCATCAATTTTTTTTTTAAATATCAGAACTGTTCTTTTCCTAACCTTCTCTTTAGTAAATTCAAGCCCTTTTTGTCACTATTGTTTTTCCTCCACATTCTGGAAGCACCTGGAGATAACTTGACTTTTTTAAGGGCTTTCACCCACCAATTGTGCCGCCTTTCTCCTTAGAGGTACAGATCCTTTTGTCTTCAAGGAAAGGATCGTAGTTGGGTCTTCTTTTGTGGCTATTGAGAATTTTGCTTAATTTAAGAATATAAGTCTGCCTTGAAGTGAAGAAAAACAACAAAGTATGGTATGTATACTTAGATTGGCTTTCCATCTTAAGAAATAAGTACATTTTGCTTTTCTGAATATGCCCTATGATTTCTAAAGCCAATGTAAATCAACTGCTGTTAATCAATTGCACTTTTTTCTTGGAAAATCACTATACATTTGATTTAAAAGAGAAATATGATAGAATATAAGTAATGTATTACAAAAATCTGTTTGCATTATCTGTTGTTTTGGTTAATATAAATCCAAAAAATTAAGTCTCAGTTTTGCCAAAGCAAGATTTATTCTTAATTTTAGAACTAAAAATGCTTCTTTTAACATTTTAATCTATAGAGTTGAATTAATATTTGTAATTACTTGTGCTTTGCTGTATAATGTATTAAATCTTGCATGATGAAATTTTCTTTTGTGAGCATGTACTGTACTTATATTGTACTTTCATTGATTCCTTGTTCTTCTTTGTTTTTAATGTTGAAGGGAATGACTCTGCATAAAAAAGCAGCTGAAGATAGACTGGCTAGCACAGGTTCAGGGCAGTCATTTTTAGCTAGACAAAGACAAGCCACCAGCGCAAGAAGATCCTACCCAGGCCATGTCCAACCAGCAACAGCAAGGTAGAGAAGCCGGAAATAACCTGCATCAAAGCATACTTGTGTCACATATAGCAACATTTCAGGAAGTTCACCAAAAGTCAATATTTAATGTTGCTCATTGGAGGGCTTTCTCTCTGTCTTATATCTTTGTTTCAGTTTCTTTGTCCTTTATTTTGTAGTCCTTTCAGTTCCTTTTAATGTGCCAAAAATTTGTAAATGTACAATTTTAAGTGTTGTATAATAGTGTAATACTTTACTTTGTATGAATATGTCCTTTTCCCCAATGGTGTAGGCTTTGTTATGAATTAGATTTTCTGCCAATAATTGATACACACTTTGTATTCTTTATTGTGCCTATGTGTTATCATGCTTTATATGAATGTCTGTTTGAAAGGAACTTAATCTTTTTATGATATTAGTCTATTTTCAATTGTTTTCCAGATGCTCTTCAAATAACATACATACTACAAAAAGTGGTTAGCAAGCGCACTTTTTGCAGAAACTTAAATACAGTGACAGAAGTGCTAATCAAATCTCCTAAGGCACATAGGGGAATGATTTAGAGGGAGAAAAATGGTTTTCACATTGTTTTATAGGAAATTAAATTTGTTTGAATATTTAGAGACAATTTGTAAAACATAAACAGAAAACTCATTGTTTTGTGCTATCTTGAGTACATTGATAACTTGAGTACATTGATAAGGTTATTTGGGGAGAAATTACACAAGAAAAATTCAGGCAGTCTGTCTTTTTTTCTTTCTCTGAAATATCATTTTAGTAACTAAGAATCAGATTCTAGTTATGTGCTTGACATGTATACATTCAGTTCTACACATATAAAAGATTTATTTTTCATATACTTACAAGTAATAGGTAATGTTACTCTTTGGGCAGTTAGTGGTCTTGTATCTCATTTGTTTTGTTTATTCCTTAATATAAACTTCCTTTCTCAATATTTTGCATTACTTACATCTTAATACACATGACTTCTTGTATGTATTATTATGATTTCTATCTTAATTCTTTCTGAAGTCTTACCTACTATTCCAGGACTCTGTTACTGAATAGATTTTCTTGGATATTTTGCCTCAAAGTGCTTACCTTTTAAGACATGTTTCTTACATTGCTTAATACTGTCAAGTAATCATTATGAAGCACTTTGTCTATAAGGTGCTATATAAAAAAGAGTATTCATTTGAAAATGAACTGCCTTCTGTTTAATGACAAATTCGGTACCATATAATATTTAAGTTCACCTCCAACCTTTTTATTCTACCATAGCATACTTTTTAAAGCAAAAAAAAAAAAAAAGAAAATTCATTCAAGCCCCATGACTGACAAAAAAATTATGAAAATTCTGAAATTAGCTTCGATTTTTTTTGTTTATTTGTTTTACATGGGTTATCTAATAGGATGTTATTTTATATACTCACAGTTTGAAAATTCAGATTTTATTCAGTTTTTTGTGTTACATATAAGTAACTTTAAATCATGTTTAGTATAATTAAGAATTTTCAGAATCTGTGTTCATGTGTTTGATTTTACATTCATACTTCATCTTTTAAGGTTGACCTAAAATCTGTAGTGCTTTAACACACACACACACACACACACACACACACAACACAGCCCATCACTTTAACCGTTCAGCCATTTTATCCTACTTTATGGGGTTTTTTTGTTTTTGTTTTTGTTTTTTTTGGGGGGGGAGTCCAGTCGCGGGGCCTGAACTCTGGGCCTGGGCACTGTCCCTCAGCTCTTCAGCTCAAGGCTAGCGCTCTACCACTTGAGCCACAGTGCCTCTTCTGGCTATTTTTCTTTTTGCTTATGTGGTATTGAGGAATCGAACCCAGGGCCTCATGTATGCAAGGCAAGCTCTCTACCACTGAGCCACCTTCCCAGCCCCCTACTTCATGTTTTAAAGACAGAGTTTTACTATGTGGTCTAGGCTGGCCTTCAATTTGCAATCCTTCTGCCTCAGCCTCCTGAGTGATTACAGGTTTACACCACCATCCCTGGCTGTCATAATGTGGTTTGTTTTATATCAAGCAAAAAAGTCTAAGACTGCTTCTTCTTGCTATGACTATAAAACAACAAGAATTAATAAAGTGAGTCATGTGAGTAGATAGCTGACTTGGTCAACATATTAAGTCCTTCCTTTTTCCCTTTCTTTTTCCTTTCCCTCCCTCCCTCCTTCCCTCTCTCCCTCCTACCTTCCTTCCTTCCTTCCTTCTTTCCAGATGGTCTCACTGTTTTCAGTTCTGGCTCCAAACCTCTGCACTCTTTCTTCAGCCTCCTAAACAACAAAATACGCTTGTAGCACCTTGCCCAGTTTATGAATTAAGTTTTAACAATAAAGACTAAAAACAACTTAAGACAGTTCTCACAATCACCTTTATTTCAGAAATAGCATAAAGTTTCAACTGTTTTTAAAATAAATTAGGATGAAGGCCCAATCTTGGTAAAATTAAAATTATCAGGAAATTATACCTACAGAATAAGGTGGATGAAAACAAGAGATTCTCCCAGTATTCAAATGAAAGTATTTCCATAAGGCTAGGTTTTCATTTTCATTCTCTATGAAATGTCCAGTCCTTCCCACTTACCTACCTAGATATTTTTCTCTAGATGGGTTGAAAATGTATCAGGCTTTTAGGAGCAAGTTTTACTTCTTACTTTCTTTGTCTGTTGTATGCTGTGAGTTTAGATTCATAACTTTTACTCCTTTGCTACCTTTGAATTTGGCATAATACCTTTATTACACAAAAGAAATTACATTTCTAGGGCTGGGAAAGTGGCTCAGTGGTAGAGTGCTTGCCTTGCATGCATGAGGCCCTGGGTTCAATTCCTCAGCACCACATAAGCAGAAGAAGCTGTAAGTGGTAGAGTGCTCACCTTGAGCTGAAGAGCTCAGGAACAGCACCCAGGCCCAGAGTTCAAGCCCCACGACCAACAAAAAAATAAAAAAAAAAAGAAATTACATTTCTAAACATTTTATGTTACTTACAAACAAATAGCAGTAGTGACTCCCTTTGTCTAGCTTTGGACAGGATTTATGTCTAGTTGTGATTAGTAATATCTCAGATGGGCTATGATCATTTATGGTCTCTAAGAAGTTTGGAAACATTTGGAGCTTGATTTAGAGAAGAGTAATACTATGCTGTATTTTCAAGAACTCTTACAAGCAACAGTTTTGTGATACCTGTGTACTCACTAGTCCTGGCATCTGCAGAGGACTGAGCCTCATTACTTGCTATGATGAGCTGTCACCACAGTGCCTGAATTTTCATAAACAAAAAGCATATTTGTTTCTATGTTCTTTCTAGCCAGAAAATAAAAGTAAATTACTAAAGAATATTAACATTTATGTTAGATGGTCCATGTTTAAGAAAGCTATAATAGGAAAATAATGTATTTCATATATAGCTTATACATCTAAAGTGAGAACAAATAATACAGTTGGACATATTTTAAATAAACTCTCAAGAACTGGATAGCTTCTTACCATTTATCTAATTATTTACTGATAATCAAGAAAAAGTCCCTAAATAAGTGACCCACATTCCAAAATGTATAAAGCTTGAGTTATTTCTGTTAGATATCCTTAGCGTGATAAAATTGGCTTAATGAAATGGTTGTAGTAAAGGTGATACTGTAGTCTTTAATTTTCTTGGAATTTTCTTATCAATACAAGAAAAGCTTAATTGTACAAAATCAAGATAAATGTTATCCAGTGAGAAACATAATCTACTTCATTAATTCTTACAAACAAAAAAAGTTCACCCTGTGCAAATGGATTGTAGTGATGAATGAGACATTTTTTATCATTTGGTAGTAGTTTGGCTTCATCTTGTAAACTAGGACATCAACTATTTTTTTCATGTTTCCATTTCCATACAAGCATTCATCTATTGTTTTAATGAAATGACAACTTTAAAATTGTTTCCCAATGTAAGAATTACCTTTAAACAAAAAGAAAAGAAAAGAAAAATTTAACCTTAACTCCTATAATTCATCTTCAGTTATCCTGATTTCACATTCCAGGAATGTTAGAAGAATGCCTATTGAAAAATGTAAGGTTTGGGGCTGGGAAGGTGGTAGAGTGGTTACCTTGCATATATGAGGCCCTGGTTCGATTCTCAGCACCACATAAGCAGAAAAAGCCGGAAGTGGCGCTGTAATGCTAGCCTTTTGCTGGAGAACTGAGGGACAGGGCCCAGGCCCAGAGTTCAGGCCCTGTGATTGACAGAAAGAGAGAGGAGAGAGAGAGAGAAGTGAGGTTTATCTGGAAAAAAATTCAAAGATCACAGGGAGCAGAAACCTAACCCTAACGAGTTTGCAGCCATTTTGACAATAGTCTCTTTGATCTTTAGCTTTATACTGAGGAAAGAATAACAATAAAATCTTGCTTTTTCCTACAGGAAAAATAGTGGCGAATATTTTGATTTTTTTTGTGTGTGTGTGTGCCAGTCCTGGGGCTTTAACTCTGGGTTTGGACACTATCCTTGCTCCTTTTGCTCATGTCTAGCACTCTACCACTTGAGCCATAGCACCACTTCTGTCCTTTTCTATGATTAATTGGAGATAAGAGTCTCTCAAACATTTCCTACCAGGGTTGGCTCCAAACCATGAACCTCAGATCTCAGCCTTCTGTTTAGCTAAGATTACAGGTGTGAGCCACTAGTGCCTGGCTGTTTTGACAGTTTATCTTCATAGTACGGAGGGATTTTCATTGTTACTGTTGCCTTATAGTTCTTAACAGTCCTGAAACAGGACAGCTGACTCTGTGTTAAAAAGACAAAGATAAAGAATGTGCTGATGAGAATAAAATAAGATATTAGAATCTGTGAAAATCATTTTATTAATTTTCATTATTTTTTCATATAAGGTTTTCCATTCAGTAAAGATGATCTGTTTTCCTATAAGCCTTTCATAATTGCAGCTTATTTTGGAAGTTCTCCAATTTTACTGCATTTAGAAAATGATTTCAAAGCTTGTTATAAATGACTCGAATATGTTGTAAAAAAAAAACAGAGACAGGCTATTCTAGGCATAACCAATGTTCTTTGTATAAGGTACATTTAAATAGTGTTATTTTTCTTTTTTAAAGAAATTAAAATATTTTATTGTCCAATTTTAGTACAATAATATGTTAAACCTTTGTTATAAATCTTATTTGGTTTTTTGAAAATTCATCAAATACTTTGCTATTTACATAGCTGTCTGCTCTTTCCTATTCCCACAAATTATGAAAGTATTATAAAATGAAAAACAGCACAAATATGATGATTGCTTATCTCTTTTTTAAGTCACTGTGATGTGCCCTTGGGAAGTACAGACTGGTAATTTTTAGCAGCCTTTCATTAGCCCAACTCACATGTATTATGTGTATTAATACAAAGTTAAAATCTACATTTAATGTCTCTAAATATGAATCTTTCCATTTTTCCCATTGCACTGAAATAATAGAGAAGGGACATTAGTTTAAGAAAAAGACCTGAGCCGGGCGCTGGTGGCTCACGCCTGTAATCCTAGCTACTCAGGAGGCTGAGATCTGAGGATCGCAGTTCAAAGCCAGCCCGGGCAGGAGAGACCGTGAGACTCCTATCTCCAATAAACCACCAGAAAACCGGAAGTGGCGCTGTAGCTCAAGTGGTAGAGCGCTCGCCTTGAGCTGAAGAGCTGAGGGACAGCGCCCAGGCCCAGAGTTCAAGCCCCACGACCGACAAAAAAAAAAAAGAGACCTGAACTTAATTATGGCAAGTATATGAATTTTAACAATCTTAAGATTTTTATATCTTCCTATATTTATTTATATATGTGTATATGTATGATTTATTCATACCTGCAATCTCAGAATTTTTCTGTTTATATTTTCTAATATTGTGTAAGAAATACATGTAGTAAGTTTACATGCAATGTGTAAGTGAGACTAGAAATCAAAGGAAGAAGGTTATTAAGGATGAAGATCCAGTCTTAAGAGTGGAGTGGACATTGGGATAAAAAGTATTAATATGTAGGCAGATGAAATTATTCATACAATGAAAACATTTCAAAGCTCTATCTTAACAAATGATCCTGAATTAATAGCTCTCATAAAATACTGTTAGTATTTGGTATTATACATTCATTTGATAAGAGCAGACAAAGATCTAGTTTCTAGTTGTGTTTCCTTTCAATGAATATTGACTAGATTCATAATAAAACTGTTTATTAGTGGAGAAGAAACCATTTCATTTTGAAACTGTTTGCCATTAGTAAGTCTGTAATAGTAATTTTAGCCCAGTTAAAATTCCTATGATATGGTGAAATAGAAATAAGGGGGAAAAAATCAGTCCACAGTGGTCAAAAATCATGACCAACTTGCCAACAGTTATCTAAGTATGCTACTTTATCTAGTTTACAAACCATAGGCCTAAATTTTATATCCCCTTTAACTATACAGCCCCACAAAGAGGGTTTAAAATGAAGACAAAGGTATGCCAGTCCTGGGGCTTGAGCTCAGGGCCTGGGTGCTGTCCCTAAGCTTTTGTGCATGTTCTAGTGTTCTACTTCACTTCACTTCCAGCTTTTTGAAAAAAAAGAGAAAAGAG